GTGAGATTTGCTTCTTTGTACATATTCGTAAATATAAAATTTAGTTTATAAAATTTGTATGAATTTTCAGAATTATCAGGCCCTTTAATTTCGTATCGTACAGTTCGCAGTCTGATGCACGTTAAAACTTATTCTTGTGTCCGAAACTGCTCCAAGTGTGACAACACAACTGAAATGTATATTGGGAGAAGCCATTGTATATTTGTTACCGGGCAAGAACAAAATATTATATAAGAATATTTAAAATCATTCCAAACCAATCCAAGTGCATGATTTGAAAGTATTTTCAAAACTAGGCTGAGCCGGAAATTTTAAAAACTAGGCTGAGCCGGAAATTTTAAAAACTAGGCTGAGCCGGAAATTTTAAAAACTAGGCTGAGCCGGAAATTTAAGAGAACAATTCTCTAGATTTTAATCTGAGAAATAGAGAAATATAAGATACAAAATAATATATGGCCCAAAAACAAAAATATCTATATTTATAAAAAAAAAAAGGCCATCCATCAATATCAGTCTTACAACTATATGAAAACCATCTTCTATAGTTGGTGCCCACATTAAACTAGACAAATATATGCGACGCTACTTTGTGACCTCGTAGCTCCCCTAATTTGCTCTTCTTATTAGCTCTGTAATAAGAGGGGGTTGTGGAAGACGATACCTAGCCGCCTAAAACAAGATCCACAAGAATGAGATAGAACGGATACGGGGCATTGTACTTTGAATCCACACGTGTGATCTTGATATCAACTCTTCTTCTGAACCCTCTAGTAATAAGTTATAAGAAATATATATACTGGAAGTTACTTTATGCGTTTCATTAGAGTTTGACCTTACGTCATCTATAGGGTTATCATTTAAAACATTTAAGAATTTTATCTCTGCAAGTACAATTTACTTTAGTTTAACGTGTTCATTCACAAATATATATATTAGACTCTCCGACAATAGATCTGGATCTAATGAGCACTGGTAGCCATGCTCTTTTATATGATTATAGAAAAAGTTTTGACATATGGAAGAATGAGAGAGAGAGAGATAGTTATGCCAAGGATAAATATGTGAATAGATTATTTTCTATTTTTATCCAAATATAACTAGAATAACACCTGTATATAAGCAGGTAGGTATACATTATACAACAGCTAGGTTTACTTAGTTTTATGGAAACTGTCATACATGGATACACGGAGACACGGATATACGGAGACACGGATATAGGGATTAAAAGCAATATAAAACAGGGTTTCATAGATATAGGGATACAGGGATCTGGAATATAGATGTAAAGTATTCAGTGATACATGAAGGGGCAGACTTGCTGTTGCAGGGATAAACGGATACAAGGATACCGGTATAAAAGGATACAAGGATACAGGGATATACAGATACAGGGATACAGGGAAACAGGGATAATTGGATAAAAGGAAACAGGGGTACAGGAATGCACGAATCCACGGATACAGGGTTGCTCAGACACTATACGTGGATGAGCTTCTCTCCCTGTCTGTATGTAATATATCTTTATTCTAGGTATACCGTATATTATAATGTTCTACTGTTTACTTCATTTACATACAATCAATAATTTAAGAATATATTTTTCACGTTCAACATATTTTCAACGTTTTTTGTACGTCTCAAAATATACATGTAAAAATTGTAGTCAGAAATTTTAAAATGTTTGTCCTTGAAATAATACAGACAGTTAGTCCTTATTATATAATAATATTACAAAAAAATAAAATACAAGTGCTTTTTAAACAGGTGTTGAAATATTGCGCATGACTCAACTTTTATATTCAGTTCAATAAAATACGCTTAGCTGCTCTATTGTTATATTTTATAATTCAAGCTGTCCCATATATTTAGTTTTCTTCTTTTACTTTATTTTTTATTGAAGCTTTGTAAATGCCGCTGGTTTTTTTTAAAGGGACTGTAAGCGTAATTTCAAGTGAACCTCCATACACAGATGGTAATGCACGATTCCCAAGGGTACCATTTAATTCTTTATTTGATTAAAAATGTGGAAGATAAGTGTTGTTTTTATGGGTTTAAAAGTGTTTAATTATAATTATGGCATGTTTTCTTGCAGCAGAAATGCGCAAGTCACTGCTGTAGAGAAACCACAATTGAAAATAATCAGTTTTCCTAATTATAAACATGAATGTCTAATTCATATTTAATCAGAAAAAGATTTCCAGGGTACTGTTGTAAATCTATGGCATTGCATATCTAAAGTGAATTTGTGCATACTGCTTATATCTAAAGTGAAATTGTGCATACTGCTTTTATCTAAAGTGAATTTGTTTTTCGTTCCCGGATTAATTGTATCTGGGCGGAATTTGTAAACAATAATAGATGCATCTGTGTTCGTCTAGTATCAGATGAAGAAGAAAGCATTTAATTTTTTTTTTAATTTTGATAATTCACATAATAGTTTCCTATGACCAGAATATTTCATCGATTATTTTTGTGAAAATGAATTCCATGTCAGGCTATGACATCCGTCTTGTGTTTACTTTTCCGCCCAAAGACAGTACACTGCAGTACAAAAAATGCGTACACCTCTGAAATAACTTTCCTTGCATTAGTACCTTGGTTGAAACTATCTTGCAAGTCCCTGAAGGAAATATATATAGCCAGGTGGTGTATACTAAAGTATAACAATTAAATTAAAAATTAAAATCAGATAAAAGATATCAAATAGAAATGTGGAAACAAGTAAAGACATTGATACGGAAAAAAACGGAACTACATATTTTAATTATTCTTTTGCATTTTAAGGCCGAGTTCGTTTTGGAAAATTGAAGACGACATTTACCACTCTTAAAGAACTTTAAAATTGTTCATTGTCAACTTTAAGGCCAATATTTACGAGGTTGATTATTTATGAAAAATCAATTTTCCAAAAAGTTTTGAATTTAATCTCATCGCCTTTAGAAATGCAAATTTTTGTATTTCTCATGAAAAAAATCGCAGAGCTCGATGTTTTGAAACTGTTGTATACTTATCATTCTTCCTCACTTCATCGTGATTTTCATAATGTAAGTGCTATAAAGTAAACATCGTGCTATAAAGTTAATTTAGCTGTACATTATAGTACTGTGCATGGTATAAAGTAATCATCGAGGTATAAAGTTTTGATTGGATCCTGGATTTTCTCCAAAAAATTTAGGATATTTCCAAAATAGTTTTTTTTGATTGAAATGAAAATTAAATTGAATTGAAATATAAAATTTTGACTTCTGCTTTGTTTCAAAGCTTATTTAATCTACAAATAGCCATTGAAATAAGACAAGTACACATAAGTTTCATAAAATAACACTATTAGTTTGACACGACGTGCTATAAAGTCTTTGTTCTTCAATTTTCTCTAAAACTCAAAGGTTCTCGAAAAGAGAAAATTTCTGTCCAAAAACTTTAAAACACTGCGAACCAAAATAACAGTGTTATTAGATTATATTTAAATTATTATTCCAGGAATAAATCATATCTCAGTTATCAGAGATATCTGTTAAGAGATTTTTTTAAGATAAATTATAAAAGTAATAAGATTCTAATATTGCAGAAATTTTCCGTTTTTAAATTAATGCTAATCTGCTAATGAAAATCTAAATCCATTATGCATTTACTTCAAAGACTACTTTTAACTAGTTTCATCCAAAAGAAGTAATATGCATTTTGAACTTTTCACTCTTTAAAAAATAAAAAAATAGTTATTTTAATAAATGCTGATTGCTTACATTATATTTCGATTGCTTTAAGCATAGAGCCTGTAGGGTTCAAAACAGCAACCTTTAAACCTTCATCTTATAAATAATTCAGAAGATATCGTCGTTTTCTAGCTTGAAAATTGTCCAATTCTGACCAATTGCCTGCAATGTTTTAGAAGCATTTATTTTTAAAAAGAAGATATTTTATGTAAACTTGGTCTGAAAACTTCTTAAAGGCAACATTGTGAATCGGCCATGCGCCTCTGTAAATCAGAAGCCACTACATATATTGTATACAGTTCCTTTAAATACGTAGTTTAATTTAATCTACGATACCTTTAAATACGTAGTTTAATTTCATCTACAGTTTCTTTAAATACGTATTTTAATTTCATCTACAGTTCCTTTACATATGTAGTTTAATTTCATCTACAGTTCCTTTAAATATGTAGTTTAATTTCATCTACAGTTCCTTTAATTATGTAGATTAATTTCATCCACAGTTCCTTTAAATATGTAGTTTAATTTCATCTACAGTTCCTTTAAATATGTAGTTTAATTTCATCTACAGTTCCTTTAAATATGTAGTTTAATTTCATCTACAGTTCCTTTAATTATGTAGTTTAATTTAATCTACAGTTCCTTTACATATGTAGTTTAATTTCGCATACAGTTCCTTTAAATGTGTAGCTTAATTTCATCTACAGTTCCTTTAAATATGCAGTTTAATATCGTTTACAGCATTTACAGTTCGTTTTAATATGTAGTTTAATTTCGTATACAGTTCCTTTAAATATTTAGTTTAGTATCGTATACAGTTCCTTTAAATATGTAGCTTAATTTCATACACAGTTCCTTTAAATATGTAGTTTAATTTCATCTACAGTTCCTTTTAATATAAAGGTTAATTTCGTATACAATTCCTTTAAATATGTAGTTTAATATCGTTTACAGCGTTTACAGTTCCTTTAAATATGTAGTTTAATTTAATTATCTAAGATTTTAATTTTAGATAAAAAAAATAAAGGCTTATGACATTAGTAAAAATAAAATTTCTGTTCGATCATGCCTTCAAAGGGATTGAAAGATAGTAAATTACATGATTCAGGTCTGGTTAACTTTATTACAGTTAAGTTCAAATATAAAGAGACATGAAGAATTCATCAAATGTCGTATTCTTAACTTTCTGATAATGGAATGTTGCAGATATTTAGTTTTTTAATTAAAATTATTATATGGAACTTTTTAAAACTGTTCCCGCATATTCATGGCTATTTTTTTATNGTTCAGGATTCCAGGAAGCATCTCAGTTATTTGTTTGTTCTCTGCGTGCCCTGTGACTGCGAATGTGTTGGCTGCTAGAGATGCCTGAACCTGAGGATTGTTGAAGTGAATTACTGTGCCGTCGTCTTTAATCATGTTAACTTCCTCAATTCCGGGAATATTGTTAACTGACAATTTTTTAAGACTGGACTGTAGTTTTTTATCATCTGTTGAAGCTGTTCTGTGAATGACCTTCTTCTTTCGTCGAGCTGTTCCCTTTCCACCGATTCTGACATTTGCAACCTGGGCCTGAAGCTGCTTCAACTTTTCTGGATTCATCTTGTACTTCTCTTGTAGAAGTGAATCAAGCAATATTAGCTTGGTCGTTTTAGACAGTTGTTATAAATGATAAATATTTCTGCTAATTTAATTCTCTAGTCTGTTCTACATATTCCTGATTTCATTATCATGTTGGCCTCTCAACCAAGACGTCATAACTTACAATTCAAAGTTTTTTCAGGCAATATTTCATTTTTCAAAGATAAGAAAGTTCGTCATAAGTTTGATACTGTAGAGAAACGTTAAATCAAACAATTTTATTGTTAGTTTAACAGGAAGCAGTTTATAAAAAAGTTGCGTTCAAATTCCTGTTATAAAACCTTTACCCCCCCCCCTCCCGGTAATTTCAGCCAACATTTTTTATTTGGTCCATTGCTTTTTTTTATAAAACGCTCTTATCTTTTGTACATTTGCTTATCTGTATTTCTAATATATGGATTTAACACCTTTATCTACCTTTGTTTACTCCAGATCCTTCTAGTGAAACCTAGTTGTAAGGAAGGTTTAGTACCTTATCTACCTTTGTTTACTCCAGATCCTTCTAGTGAAACCTAGTTGTAAGGAAGGTTTAGTACCTTATCTACCTTTGTTTACTCCAGATCCTTCTAGTGAAACCTAGTTGTAAGGAAGGTTTAGTACCTTACCTACCTTTGTTTACTCCAGATCCTTCTAGTGAAACCTAGTTGTAAGGAAGGTTTAGTACCTTACCTACCTTTGTTTACTCCAGATCCTTCTAGTGAAACCTAGTTGTAAGGAAGGTTTAGTACCTTACCTACCTTTGTTTACTCCAGATCCTTCTAGTGAAACCTAGTTGTAAGGAAGGTTTAGTACCTTACCTACCTTTGTTTACTCCAGATCCTTCTAGTGAAACCTAGTTGTAAGGAAGGTTTAGTACCTTACCTACCTTTGTTTACTCCAGATCCTTCTAGTGAAACCTAGTTGTAAGGAAGGTTTAGTACCTTACCTACCTTTGTTTACTCCAGATCCTTCTAGTGAAACCTAGTTGTAAGGAAGGTTTAGTACCTTACCTACCTTTGTTTACTCCAGATCCTTCTAGTGAAACCTAGTTGTAAGGAAGGTTTAGTACCTTACCTACCTTTGTTTACTCCAGATCCTTCTAGTGAAACCTAGTTGTAAGGAAGGTTTAGTACCTTACCTACCTTTGTTTACTCCAGATCCTTCTAGTGAAACCTAGTTGTAAGGAAGGTTTAGTACCTTACCTAGCTTTGTTTACTCCAGATCCTTCTAGTGAAACCTAGTTATAAGGAAGGTTTAGTACCTTACCTAGCTTTGTTTACTCCAGATCCTTCAAGTGAAACCTAGTTATAAGGAAGGTTTAGTACCTTACCTAGCTTTGTTTACTCCAGGTTCTTTAAGTGAAACCTAGCTAGTTGTTAGGAAGGTTTAGTACCTTACCTAGCTTTGTTTACTCCAAGTTCTTTTAGTGAAACCTAGTTGTAAGGAAGGTTTAGCACCTTACCTAGCTTTTAGGGAAACCTAATTGTAACTTTAAGGAAGGTTTAGCACCTTACCTAGCTTTTAGGGAAACCTAATTGTAACTGTAAGGAAGGTTTAGAACCTAACCTAGCTCGATTTGCTTCTCGTTTTTCATTGAATACTATCTTTACATACAATTTAGTGAAAGAAGGGGTAATAATAATAAGATGGTCTTCCGTTAGTACCTTTGCTAAATCTGTGTTAGTTCCAGGTTTTATAGGAAACACTAACTGTAATTAGTTAGGAAAACTTAAACTTATGTGTCAACCTGGGCACCACACTGTTAAATTATTGAGTGAGAAACAAAATAAGAGAAGTGAAATTAATAATTTAAGTAACGAAGATGACGTCTTCCTAAAAATGAGATTGGTGAAAAGCAAAAAAGTCAAAAAATATCAAATCATACTTAAAGAGAATGTATGCAAGAATTCAGTGGTGTTCCTGAACCATGAGTTTTCAAAATATTTATAAGTAAACACAAAGAATACATAAAAACTAAGCAAAAAATAATATAAAAAAATGCTCATAGGATAAAGTTAAAATTAAAATTCTTTACAATGGTAAAAATTATCAAGAAAAAAGAAAAAAAGAGGTCACGATGAAATGTTTTTAAAAGTTCCTCGGAAGTTTTTTGAATTTCCACAAGCCGTCTCTTTAAATGTTGGAAAAATGGCCCAGCTAGTCCTTTAAATAAATATTTATTATAACAACAATATATCCATAAATCTGAATAATATACAAGTAAATGTGAGGGGAAAATAGAAGAATAGATTAATTATCATAGAAATGTATTTAGACGGAAACTTTTAAATGTTTCGAAAAAATTTTGAATTAAAGAGACATCATGTGACTAAATAAACAAACAAATTATGCCATTTAAAAACCAACCGTTCTTAATGACAAAAAACTAAACTAATTATTTCCTTAAAAACTAGCTTAAAACTTTGCCCTTCAAAACTAAATTTTTCTTTCAAACTTAAACTTCAAAATATTTTCCATTCGCTTCATAAAAATAACAAATAACTAAACTAACTATTTCTTTAAAAACAAACTTGAAACTATGCCCCTTAAAAACAAACTTGAAACTATGCCCCTCAAAAACAAACTTGAAACTATGCCCCTTAAAAACAAACTTGAAACTATGCCCCTTAAAAACAAACTTGAAACTATGCCCCTCAAAAACAAACTTGAAACTATGCCCCTCAAAAACAAACTTGAAACTATGCCCCTCAAAAACAAACTATTTTCTTTTTAAAAAAAAACTTTGCCCTTCAAAGCAAACAAATTGTGCCTTTCATGAATAAATCCAGACTAAATTGATTAAAATAATGCAAATATAATTCTGAGAGAAGGTTAAAAACTTGTTTCTAAACCGTGCATGTATCGTGGGAAAAAGTCTTAATCACATAAAGTCATTAAATATTATGTTTAAAAATCAACAGTTATAAATAATTCTATGCCTTAAATATTCTATTAAGCATTACCTTTTTCATGATTTTATTTCTTTTCTAAATTAAAAGTTGATAGATGTATATACTATAGATTTATATTATTTTTACTTTAAACATAAACATATTTCAGCAAAATACAACAAAAGTTTAAACTTGAAAAGCTAATATAAAGTGACCAGAAAGTTTGTGAGGATTAATGTAAACAACACTTGATACGGTCCCAATTATATTCTATTGAAGCCGTCTGAAATTATTATATGTACTTTATTGAGTTCCTGTATTTGAATTCAGATCTGCTAGAAGCTAGAGAGAGGGGGGAGGAGTGATTAAACCTAGATACCTGGGCCCACCTTTGAAGGGCGAGGAATAAATACTATTCCAAAATTACAAATTTTTCTCTGCATCCGTTGTAACTTTATTTTACAATTCGAACACATTATAATTTAAATCTATTCCTTTTAGGTAAAAATGAAATTTAAAAAGGTCAAAAAAAATTATAACTTTGAATTTTGGAATCTTGAGAACGGTTAAATGAATATAAGACTGATGCGTACGCACTGTTTGAGTAATGCGTAATGCGTATGCTACCATAGTTCGACGCAAAGCCTTGAACCCCGTTGTTGTTTAGACTCTATCCTTTACTTTAAGCCCCATGGCAATACAATCCGTTTGTTTCAGTAAATAAACATGAAATGGAGACAACTTAACGAATCTAATTGTTTCATCTTCTTAAAAATTCATGGTTTTATTTTTGCTAAAAAATATTGTGGTTTCCATAATAGAATCTACTGTGAACAGTGAACACTGTACATTAAGGTATGTTCACTTTGAACACTGTTCATTACAGTATATGTTTAAGAAAAGGTTATTGAGTATATCTTACACTGTATACACTCAAAATAGATTAGATTTGGTATATACACTGCAGTACACAATTCACATGTACGTGAATATAAACTATTTGCTCAGTTACCATTTCTTCTATTTCATATTGACCCAACGGCCTTCGTCTGTCAAGCGTAAATTTCAAAAATGAAATATGATTTTTTTTTAATTTTAAAAATATTGATTTTTAAGTTCTACATATTAACTAATTTCTTACTAAGGAAATTTAAAGAGAGGAAATGATTATTAAAAGATGTGTGAAGCCCCCCCCCCCTCCTCTGTCTACTGTTTCCTAGCGCGCACATTGATCCGCGCGTTGAAAAGAACAGGACAAGAAAAATGGCTGCACAGTTGTAGAACCAGTTTTAGTCGTGGTTTAGGTGCTTCAGATGCAACTTCTCAGTTTTTTAAGTAAAACGGGGCGTACACACAAATGCATAGTGAATTATACTTGGTTTGCTAACGTCTAAGTGAATAGGTATAATTTGTATACATGCATATAAAGTGAATTTCTAATAATACAGTTAAATATTGCCAAAGCGAGTGCTCAGTGCTATAACTGAAAGTGCAACAATTTCAGAGCTTTCAATGACACCACCATGGGTATAAAAAAGCTGAAGAGTGGGTTTCGTCAACGATTCTCCTCTAAAAAATCCTCGAGATGGTTTCAAAATCGTCTGGTTGCTATAGGAGGAGGGGATGCTCCATATACGCAGCAAATAGAACCAGGAACTCAGGTAGTTTACAATATATCCTATCTCACGACTTTCATGGAAATGTTCTAACATAAAAAATGGCGTATATATATTCATACATGGTATATCAGCTGATGGTATATCTGAATGGATTAACGGTTTAGCGAACTCACTCTCACGATATTCTTGGATCTCTCCAACATCTTTCTAATATACTCTCACAAAAATCACACACAGAACATATGAACCTGGAGATTTTAAATATCAAATCATCAAATGTTATCAACTAAGAACCCAGTCAACAGATGAACGGGATGAACGTCTCCCCCCCCCCCTCCCCCAATCCTGGAAATTGAAGTTATTGCTGAAATGATGTTCTAATCATGCCTATAAAATCGTTTTTAATTGCTTGTAAATGTCTTTCTCATTGTTTTCATTCACATTTAAACTCTCCAACTTTCGCATCAAACTATTTTTTTATTTCGAAGGATTTACAAGTTTCTTGTATATATGTATATTTTATAATGGTGGATGGTTATGAATCGTTACTGAATTTTCTTCAAAATTACGTTCAAAATTCCTTGAAGAGTAATATTCTATTTCTAATTTGACACTGCACAGTTAGTTCCAGACTCTATTGGAGTGAATTAAATGGATTAGGACTTAAGTCTTTCAAAGTTTAATTCCAATTAGATCTCTATGAATCTGAATATGTTAGGAGAAGTTTAGGAAGTTAAGGACGGACATTGAGAAAAAGGTGAGGAACTTTATCAAATTTAGAGGTTCAAAGGTTTGGTAGGTTAAGAAAGGTTAGAAATATTAGGAAGGTTTGGAAGGATTTAAAAGGCGAGGAACGTTGGGAAGGATAGGAAGGTTTGGCCATGGTTAGAAATATTAGGAAGGAATATTAGGTAGGGTAGGAAGATTTAAAAGGTTAGAAAGATTTGAAAAGCGAGGAACGTTGGGAAGGATAGGAAGGTTGGGAAGGATAGGACGGTTAGAAAGTTTAGGACGGTTAGGAAGTTCAGAAAGGTTAGAAAGTTTAGGCAGCTTAGAAAATTTAGGAAGCTTAGTGAGCTTAGGAAATTTAGGAAGCTTAGTAAGCTTAGGAAGATTAGTAAGCTTAGGAAGATTAGGAAGCTGAGCAAGCTTAGGACGTTTTTAAAGCTTAGAAACCTTGTGAAGTTACAGATTTTATGGATTATAGGGGGATTTTGGAGATTGTGGAGTTTAGGAAGTTTAGGATGATTTAAATGATTAGGAAGTTTAGATGGTTTAGAGGTTCAGAGGTTTAGAGGTTCAGAGGCTTAGAGGTTCAGAGGTTAAGAGGTTCAGAGGTTTAGTAGGTTAAGAAAGGTTAAATAGGTTCGAAATGTTTGGGAGGTTAGGAAGATTTGAAAGGTTGTGAATATTTGAAAGGTTGTGAATATTTGAAAGGTTGTGAAGATTTAAAAGGTTATGAAGATTTAAAAGGCGAGGAAGATTGGGAAGGTTAGTAAGGTTGGAAAGGTTGGGAAGGTTGGGAAGGTTGGGAAGTTGAAGGTTAGAAAGGTTGAAAGGTTAGAAAGGTTGAAAGGTTAGAAGGGATGGAGGGTTGGGAGGGGTGGGAACGTTAAGAGGTCTACATCATCAGGTTAAAAAGAAAGATTAAGAAATTAAATCATAAATAAAGGAATCAGCTCTTAAACTGAAAAAAAGTATAGATAAAATATATTTTTCTATAAAAATTATGTTCACAGGAAAGAAAATGTTCTTTAAAATATCATCATGGATTTTTCTCTGCCTCTTAAAACTACTTTTTTCCCCGGTAATTGATACTTCTATTATTTACCAATTATGAGAAAGAAATAATGAGCGGATAAAGTCACGTCTCTCTCTTGAAGTTTTATTTTTCTGTATCGTATCCGTCTACCCAATCAAAATTTGAGGCAAATCGGTCCAGGAGTTCCTGAGTTATGATCGTACAAACAACCAGACAGACAGACAAACAAACGGAGATTACAACTTTATATATATAGATTTATAGATATCTAAGGATGTCTCGGTATATCTTGGTTTCTATTTTTATTTTACATTCAAAACCCCTAATTAGAATTATATTATCAGAATTATCTTTTTCATCCTCTTAGTTTCTTTTTAACTTGACAATATTATTTTATTAATTCTTTTGCCGTCATATCTCCGTCATAAACCGAGTACTTGGTTTTCATCGGTTTTTGTGTCTTCAGTGTTTGTATGATACAGAACCTAGTTTTAACAGACAGGAAAAGGACAGAAAAGTTAGCAGGACCTGGTAGGAAATCTGGGTAGGAAATCTGGGAAGGAAACCTGATAGGAAACCCGGTAGAAAACCTGATAGGAAACCCGGTAGGAAACCTGATAGGAAACCCGGTAGGAAACCCGGTAGGAAAACTGATAGGAAACCCGGTAGAAAACCCGGTAGGAAACTCGGTAGGTAGGAAACCCGGTAGAAAACCTGATAGGAAACCCGGTAGGAAACCTGATAGGAAACCCGGTAGGAAACCCGGTAGGAAAACTGATAGGAAACCCGGTAGAAAACCCGGTAGGAAACCCGGTAGGAAAACTAGGTAGGAAACCTGGTAGAAAACCTGGTAGGAAACCTGATAGGAAACCTAGATAGAAATTAGGGATAGGAAAACTGGACAGATAACCTGGACAGGAAATCTGGACAGGAAATCTGGACAGGAAATCTGGACAGGAAATCTGGACAGGAAATCTGGGATAGGACAACTGGAACAGGAAACCTGGTAGGAAATCTGGGCATTAAATCGGGAAAGGAAATCTGGGCTGGAAATCTGAGTAGGAAACCTGGGTAGGAAACCTGGGTAGGAAACCTAGATAGAAATTAGGGATATTCAAACTGTACAGAAAATCTGGACAGAAAATCTGAACAGGAAACCTTTATAGAAAACCTGGATATTTAAGAAACCAGGAAAGAAGTCCTGTATAAAAAAACTTGAACGAGAAACGTTAATAACAAACGTGATACGAAACCAATTATTTTTGTAAATTTTTCTTCTTCTAGATAACCTTCTGTGACAACACAATTAAGAGCTCGAAATATACTTTGTGGAATTTCTGGTTTCTCAATCTATTCGAGCAGTTCAGGAGAGTTGCGAATTTCTACTTTCTAATTGTAGCGGTGAGTTATATAATATAACTAATTAATGTCTTAAGGGATTATTTTCTATTCATTAAACAATTTTTTTAAGAAATGGATTTAGAATTTTCATATCTATTATTTTTTAATTTGTCGAAAATTAGATGATTTCTTAAAAAATTCAGGGTTTTTTTCAGTGCAAATTTTGTCAACAAATTCTCAATTTCTTCTTATGAATGACAAAAATATGATATTTCTAAAAGTCGGTTGTTAGAATTTTTTCATACTAACCCTAGTAATTCTTCTTTATTATTCTGATCGATTCTATAGAAAATTTGTATTTACATTGATTTTTTAATTTGACTAAACTTTCCTTGTTTTTAAGAACGGAAAATGATGCTCCCAAAAAAGTGATAAAAATTATTAGATATTAATTCCGTTCGCTTTGAAGTTTGAAAAGAATATAAGACGCAGAATTATAAGAGTTTGAAAACTTCCATGCTCAGATCATGTTAATTTAGTTTTCTTCCATGTTAAAGTTACAATGTCTTTACACAACCCTCCTTTTTCTCTTGTATCTCTATCTAAACTTTAAACTTAATTGTTTCAGGGGACCTTACTGAACTAATTAATTTATCATCCATTGAACCTTGTAAAATTTGAACTTACTCTAAATCTTACCTAGTATTAATTTTTCTCCAAACCTTGCCTAGTTATAATCCTTCTATAAACCTTGCCTAGTAGTAATCCTTCTCTAAACCTTGCCTACATTAATCCTTCTCTTAAACCTTGCCAGTCTGGTAATAATCCTTCTCTAAACCTTACCTAGTATTAATCCTTCTCTAAACCTTGCTTAAACACTAATCTTCTCTTATTCTTGCTTAAACACTAATCCTTCCCTTCTTCTTGCTTAAACCCTAATCCTTCTCTAAACATTGCTTAAAGACTAATTCTTCTCTTATTCTTGCTTAAACCCTAATCCTTCTCTAAACATTGCTTAAAGACTAATTCTTCTCTTATTCTTGCTTAAACCCTAATCCTTCTCTAAACATTGCTTAAAGACTAATTCTTCTCTTATTCTTGCTTAAACACTAATCCTTCTCTTATTCTTGCTTAAACACTAATCCTTCTCTTATTCTTGCTTAAACATTAATCCTTCTCTTATTCTTGCTTAAACACAAAACCTTTTCTTATTCTTGCTTAAACACTAATCTTTCTTCTCTTATTCTTGCTTAAGCACTAATCTTTCTTCTCTTTTTCTTGCTTAAACACTAATCCACTAATCTTCTCTTATTCTTGCTTAAACACTAATCCTTCTTTTATTCTTGCTTAAGCACTAATCCTTCTCTTATTCTTGCTTAAGCACTAATCCTTCTCTTATTCTTGCTTAAACACTAATCTTTCTTCTCTTATTCTTACTTAAACACTAATCCTTCTCTTCTTCTTGCTTAAATACTAATCCTTCCCTTCTTCTTGCTTAAACCCTAATCCTTATCTAAACATTGCTTAAAGACTAATCCTTCTCTTATTCTTGCTTAAACACTAATCTATCTCTTATTCTTGCTTAAACACTAATCCTTCTCTTATTCTTACTTAAAGACTAATCCTTCTCTTATTCTTGCTTAAACACTAATCCTTCTCTTATTCTTGCTTAAACACTAATCCTTCTCTTCTTCTTGCTTAAACACTAATCTTTCTTCTCTTATTCTTGCTTAAGCAGAAATCCTTCCCTTATTCTTGCTTAAACACTATAAATCCTTCTCTTATTCTTGCTTAAGCACTAATCATTCCCTTATTCTTACTTAAACAGTAATCCTTCTCTTAACCTTTCCTTAACAACAAATCCTTCTCTTGTTCTTGCTTAAACACTAATCCTTCTCTTCTTCTTGCTTAAACACTAATCTTTCTTCTCTTATTCTTGCTTAAGCAGTAATCCTTCCCTTATTCTTACTTAAACACTAATCCTTCTCTTCTTCTTGCTTAAACACTATAAATCCTTCTCTTATTCTTGCTTAAGCACTAATCCTTCTCTTTTTCTTAATTAAACACTAATCCTTCTGTTAACCGTTGCTTAACAACAAATCCTTCTCTTAACCTTTTAAAGAAATAATCATCCTTGTAACTAAACGTTAACGTAAGTATTCTCTTCCCCCTCTATGAAATAAAAAATCTTGTTTAATCCTGTCAAGAAATAATGATAAATCCGTCCTTTCTTCAACATAGGTTTAAACCTAATTGTTTATTCAACCTAACTGTAACTTTAATCCGATATATTTCAGATAATCCAGCTCTCTCTACCATCCCCTCCTGTCTCTCCTTTAACCTCAGTATCTCCACTAGGTAAGATTCAACGTGGAAACTTTTCATTTAACTGAGATATCCAGAAAGAATTAATTAAAAAGGTCTGCCCTAACTTCAACCATGATGATTCTTTATGTATGGCCCAATCTGTGATATAAACACTTTTATTTTTATAAACACTTTTATAAACTTTATATAACTTTTATAAACTTTTATAAACACTTTTATACTTTGCCAAAGCTACTAAGCTGAAATTTAGTACAAATATTCGAATCGAAAAATGTAAAACTAAATGCTCTGTTCCAGCTGAAGATCTTGANTAGGTCTGTTACAAGGTTTATACATGTTGATTATATTATTACAAGTAGTTTATATGTAAGTTGAGGACTCCAGGTTGCACACACAGGCCAGATTAAAGATAATGATATGAACACCTGCCTGGATACGGATACACAAACACATCAAATCAGAAAATCGTTTAAAATATTTTTTTTCTAAAAATAAGCATGCAATTGACACGTTTATCTTTTTATTTATAACTGTCTCAAATTTAAAGATTTAGCCAAGAAACTGCAGACAAGAATACGTCCAATATGAAGCCCTCGGAAACTAAACTATTTAAACTAAAACAAAAAGTTTTGGCTTGAAACAATCTTTGAAAATTGACAGTGACACACACACTGTTGATTGGAGGTTGGATTGGTGTTAAAATTTGATCTTTGACTCAGGGTTTGCGTAATATCCTTTATGTATACTTCTGTCTCTATATTCTCAACTGATGACGCAACCTAGGATTGTGCAGGAAAGGCCTGATTTAGACTCATTTCTATTTTAAGGGTTTTCTTGTCATTTTCCAGCAAATATTCGTAAGTTAGGGTTAGTAGCCTCCAGGTTTATCTCTGGGTTATTAACAGCATACAGGGTTACCCTCAAAGGATGAGACTGTAAAGACGACCAAAAACTCTTAAAATTTGACGATTTGAAGCTTTATTGTTGGTTTCTGTCTTCAGTTTAGTATTTTAAGGGTTTACTTAATTATTAACCACGGAAATAAGGCTGGTTTGGCCTGCAAGGAACCCTGAATGTAAGAAAAGGGACTAAAAAAATTCCGTACAGTCGTCTCTGAAGTCTCATCCTTTGTGGGTAACCCTGTACGTACATGGAGTTACTCAAACATTCTCCAAACATCACTATTAGCCAACATTGCATTAAACGTGCAAAAAATGTTTGCAAGGTGTGTTCTTTGTAATCAAAGGCCTAAGAGTACAAATGGTTCTTCATAGATTACTTGCTGAATTTATATTTTTAAGACATTCATTGATTTTTCTGAAAAATCAGTGATTTTACATCTCAGTATTTAGAGGGAGTGGCTGATGGGTCGAGTGACTTATCGAGTTTGACTGATAATAACTTTTCAAAATTAATTCATTTAACCGTTTTTATTTTTAGTTTTCGTTGTGGTTGTGACTATGATAAAGCAGGTAGCTGGTAACTTTAAATCTTTTATCCATTTTTTTCTCCTTTTCGTATTTTATCAATTTGCAATTTAAAAAATAATTTTTAAATAATTATCAAGTTTCGCATCTTTAACTAATATTTGTTCAGGGTTACGAGGATTACAAGCGACACAGTGCAGATAATCAGATAAATTGTACAAACGTAAATATTCTCAGATCAGGTCTGGTTGTCAAGGCCAGAAACAGAGATATTAAGGTAGGGAACAGTCTATTTAGGTAGGGAAGTTATAGTTTATTTTTTATTATTATGATTATGATTAGCCCCGATGGCGATCTGGGCATTCCAAGATGAGCGGGGGGGGGGGGTTAGATCTATATCTCATCTTATCTTGCAATCTGATATTTTGTTAAATCAGCATTCTGGTAAAGTAATTTGGTATTCTAGCAATCTAGTAATCTGGTAATCTGGTTTTCTGGGATTCTGTTTATCTGGTATTCTGGTAATCTTGTATTCTGTTAATCTGGTAATCTGGTTTTCTGGAATTCTGTTTATCTGGAATTCCGGTTATCTGGTATTCTTTTAATCTGGTAATCTGGTTTTCTGGAATTCTGTTTATCTGGTATTCCGGTAATCTGGATATCTGGTTTCCTGGTATTCTGGTACTTTGAAAATTTTTAATAACAGTTTTTTAGTGTTTTAGTATTTTTGTATTGCAATTCTGAGACTTTAATATTTTAGTACTGAATTATTTTGGAATTTTTCGATTCTGGTATTATGGTATTTGGGTTTTGGTATTTGGGTTTTGGTATTTGGGTTTTCTGTTAATCTAGAATAGAACGGGGGATTGCCTTTGCTCCGCGCACCCATGCATCGCGAACTAATCTAATCTCACGCAAAAATCGAGCAGTATTTTGCCAAATGCCAATATATCCTTTTAAACTTTAGCCTAGGGCTACAAAAAAGTAGTTTTGACTTGGTAAGGTAAAATCAAATCCCCTCCCGTTACGAGGGTTTAAAGTCGAGGCTAGCTGTCTAAAGATTTGATGACTAACTTTCATAGTTGTCTATCTATCTATCAGTGTCCCTATGTGTTACTCTGGTAGCTGTGTTGTAAAATTAAACCGATCACGTATTGAAGATCGTACTTATAAATATAATGATAAAACAATAGACACATAATTGCATTGTATCATTGTTTTAAATTGTTATAATAAAGGAATGCAGGATATTTCATGTTATTTAACTTCTCTACAGATAATGTCTATTGAAAATGTTAAGTATAGATTAGATCAGATTTGCAATGTCGCTTCAATGCGCAGTGTATTTCGTCATTGAATTTTGATTGATAATTGCACAGCTTGATATTTCAATGGGAATTAACTGTTTCCGTGATCTCTTGAGCAGTTTTGGTAACAGCCCCTGTAATTTTCCAGGTTGGAGATATTGTGATGGTTAAAGAGAATGAAACCTTTCCCGCAGATTTAGTTCTTCTGTCCACCTCCTCCTCCTCGGGCAAATGCTTTGTAATGACGGCAAACCTTGATGGAGAAACAAACCTTAAACCTCTCAGTCCAGCAAAGATTACAAAACATCTAAAGGTAAACTATTATTTAAATTTTTTTTTACTAACTTTTAGTATTTCTCCCGCATTCTTTATTTTCCTTTTTCAATAACAAAATACAATACAAAGTTCGAAAAAGCTGAGGTCTACGACATAGGTTTGCAAAGATATAAGGATTAGAAAATCATTTATTATTTATTTAAACCTATTTTATCTGTATAAACTGAGAACTGCTTACAAGCGAAACGGTTTTTTATTAGTTTGGTTATTGTCTATACTAACTATGTAGTTTGCGTAGTTCATGGCTGAAATTATGCATTTTTGGCTCTTTGTGTAGGTTCAGTTTGAAGCTTTGAACCTTGATAGGTCACTTTAATTCTTCCCAACCAAACAATGTAAACAGTACTCACGAGTTTAGGATGGCCGAGTGTACTCAAAGGTTGTCAGAGATTTAATATAGTGTCTCTTGCCACCCCCCACCCCCCCCATCCTTTCCAACACTAAATGGTTTTAACTTGCATAAAATTACGAAATGTTTTATATTAGTCTCCTGCGGAGTTGAATTCTATTTCGGGTCAGATCGAGTGTGAAAACCCGAACCCTGACCTTCAAAACTTTCTGGGACGGATAAAGGTGAGAAAATGTATACAGCTGCATTCTACAATATCGGTATAGAAAGATTTAATACAAATATTAGTTAATCTTTATCTATTATGTACAAAACTGTACAGCATCAACAAGAAGAAGAGTAAACAATGTCAAGGTATTCTTATAATACGATTAACCTCTTAATGGATTGATTGTTGTCTTCGTTCTTTCTTTTTATTAAAAATACCACTAAGGATTTGTAATTTGTAACTGTTACTCAGAAATATTGTGCTGTAAATCTTTAGATCAAGCATCTTATTAAGGTCTAGAAATAGATCTTATTCCCCGTCTATATCTCTTGGTGGGTGTATCCTGTAGGGATAACTTTAATCTAGGGATCAAAAATTTATCTTTAAATTTAAGTGCCCACGTTGGATATTGAGATAAAGAGTTTAAGATATTCAGAACTAAAGTTCTGACCTCCGCACTAGCACATCTTTAGAGATATCAGACCGTAAGAAACAATAAAATCCGTATAAATTGTATCATTGTCTCCAAGCTAAGCTGAGAAAAGAAATCAAGTATATATAGGATATCTAGGATATCAAGAATATCAAGGATATCAAGGATATCCAATGACATTCAGGGTTTCTAAGGGTTGAAAAAGATGAATTCTGCTCCAACCTGCAGTCTTTCAACCAAAATTGATTCACAGCTGACTGAGTTTATCTACCTGTCATAAAACTTGTCTCCGGCAGAATATTACAAATTTAACTTACTTTCGGAAATTTTCTAGAATATTTCATAATTAGCGAGAGTAGTATTAGATCATTCCAGATCCACCAGAAAACTTGAACTCGAGGATAAGCGTTTTTCCAATTCATCATCCTAACATCAACTATGTGTTGAATAACAAATTTATAAGATGAGGAAAAGTTTTGGTTTTTAAAAATACACTTCCGTTTCAGAATTTCTCAAATTGTCATACGGAACATAAATTAATATGCATTTCAATTATATAGAATGGGAAGTATTGTTAAACAAAACTACCAACTTTTTTCAGGTGGAAAATTCTAAGGAATTGTTTTTGCAAAAAATATATTTTATAATCAACAACTCTGAAAATTGTTTACGCACTTGAAATGAAGTTTACTTCTGTACAGGAATACGGAGTATGTGTACGGGTGTGCCGTGTACACGGGACGGGACACCAAGATGTCCCAGAACTCGAAGATCAACGGCAACAAGTTCTCCACCGTGGAGAAAACCATGAACAAGGAACAGTTCTCAAGAAAATTAATTCAATTAATTTCTCTTCAATCCTCTTCATGCATGAAAACCTTTTCTTTTTTCCAAAATTAACAAGGACGCCGAGAACAAAAGTATTTTAATGAACTTCATGATCAAAAGAACTGAAAACACAATTGTTAAAACATTTAATTTAAGATATTATTTTATCTCGAGCTCTTGTAGTTCTTGTTGTTCTTTATGCTCATCCTGGTCCTGGAAATGATCATCTCCACCGTCCTCAAATACGTCTATGGTCTAGATGTACAAGGTAAAAGTTAGAATTCATCTTGCTTTTTGTTATAGTCTTGAAAAGAAGAAAAACTTTAGTTCTATTTTACACAGCTGAGATGTATTTTTCACCTTTGTGTTCGTTCTCAGTGTTAGTCCTTAATGTGCGTCGATCGTCATCTGATCACGTTTAACTCCTAAAAATATGCTTAATTAAAATTCCAAAGTCTGAATAAAGGTTTTTTTACTCGAAAGTGTAAATAAATGTTAAAATTAATATAAGGCTGAAATCCCATATCTCTAGTTTACTTGATTACTGGCCTGGGAACCAAACGTTGCCGATGTTACTTGTAGTTACTCCCGCTGTTTACCCGCGCTTTGTTCTTAATTGCGATTTTAGCTATTTTTCACTATATTAGTCGCCCCACTCAACTTAGAATCTTAAACCAAGCTACGAATATTCCCGCGGTTCTCCCGAGTTTCCAAATCAAAATTTAGAGGCAAACAAAGAGAGATTAATACATGGATATATAATAGATGGATATATCATAGTCAAGGTTTGATGTAATTTTTTTCGCTGGGGTGTTATGCAGTACGTTAGACATTGGACCCTGGAACTTACAATTTGTCTTTGGTTTTCGTAAAATTAATAGATGTCAAAGGAGTAAAGAAAAACATTGCAAGTCTTTAAAACTTGATAAGATTTAGCCTCCTTCTTTGTATTATAAAAATTGTTGGAGATACTAAAGATTTAAACAACCTTGCTGATATTTAATATTTTGAATTTTAAACAAATTTCTCAATATCTTGGTCAATTCTTAAGGTACAAAAACGGCAGACCACATTTTGGAATTCTGAAAACAAGGCGTTTTTGATGCTACCAACTCTTTGAAGAAAATGCTATGATCACAAGATTTTAGCTACAGTATCTCATTTCTGCTTACTCCAGGGCCCACTATCTACCAAAGTTCTTCTCTAATTTGGACCCTGAACTTTACTTCAAACTTTTTTAAAAGTAAAAATTATTTTTATAGAATGAACAATAGCCAGAATAAAAATTTGTTATAGTAAAACCTAAAATTTGCTATGCAGAGGTTTTAGAAATTTCCTAAAAATATCTAGGGTACACTGAGATATAACAGCTGCGTAGCCCACCGACAAAGTTACATGTACACTAGCCCAGAATAGTATAGATCGGTAGATAGAAGCATACTTATAAGCGGGCCGTGGATTAATACTTAATACATAATATATAGATGATGTTTGTTCAATTTTAGAAAAGATGACCCATTGGTATCTTGGGGACAAACTGGAGATTAGTGGGACAGGAGTTGTAGAAGATCTATTCTCCTACCTTGTTCTATACAATTATATAATACCTATTAGGTAAAACTTTTTATTTACATTTGTCGTTATGTTCCAAATTACATATTTATCAAGATTTTTTTATTTGGCATTGAAACATTGACTGAGTGAAAATATCACAAATATAAAATGTATAATATTTCTTAAATCTCTTTTATATATTCTATAGTTTTTTCTATTTCGTGATATAAAATAGGACAAAAGATTATCTTCAAATTAAATACATATTTTCCAGAAGGGATATTATTATATTTTATATAAATAATTTCGAGAAAACTTGTATGGGAAATTATTTGAAATAGGTCTATTGATTAATTAACTTTTAATGAACTCAGAATGTATAAAGCTAAAATTAAACTCATAATATTTTCCAAGAATTTAAAATTTGGAAATTTAAATCCCAAACCTATTAAATTTTAAGTTTGGAATTGTCGTTATTAAATTTTGAGTGGCAAAACCTATGTAATAAAGTTCTTCCTCTAATATATATTTGTATGTTTGTATTTCAGTTTTTAAACTTCACATTCTATCAAAAAAAGAATTACACTAAACATAATGTTTCACGCCTCATTACGATCCTCAGTAGTCAAAATTCTTTGAACATCTGTTTGTATATATGTTAGCTATAGCTGGCCAAACGGCTGGACCGAATTTTCTGACATTTTTTTTTAATTCGATTCTTTAAAAAACTCCACGGGCAACGCCTGGCACTTTATTTAGTTTCTTAATATTTATTAGATACTAGCGGAAGTGCCCTGCGTTGCCCGTGAAATTTTTTTAAATCGAATTTTGAAAAAAAAATAATTAAATTTTAGAGAAAAAAAACTCGATTTTCTTAGCCATGTTACCCCCGGGGTACTCAAGGGTTTCCTAAAAAAATGTCAGCCCATTCGTTCCAGCCGATTGGCCAGCTATGACATATAAATATATATGCATACAAATATATATATATCAGCAAAGAGCTTTATTATATAGAAGATTACACCTTGCCCGTCTCCATTTTGTTTTTAAAATCAGCTGATAAAAATGGCTACCTATAAAAAATTCATAAATTTTCTCTTTCTCAGCTTGTATGTGACACTTGAGTTCCAAAAGTTTTGCGGATCTTTGTTCCTGGTTTGGGACCTTGATCTTTACGACATGGAGAACGGAGAGGGAGCTAAGTGTAATTCCTCCGATCTAAACGAGGAGTTGGGTCAGATACAGATTCTCTTCAGTGATAAGACGGGAACCTTGACTGAGAACATCATGATATTTAAGGGAAACTTTTCATTAAAAATGGTCGATCCAGGAAAGCCTAGATCGGCGAGGGACACATTAAATATGTTTTAATCCTTATTTATATCAACTTTGAGCTACAGAATAATATGGTTGATTGTTGGTTTTGTCCATGTTTTATCTAATAGTTAATGAAAATTTTCTTTGAATAGGAAGCGTCGATTAACGGACGCCAATACGGAGTACACGATCTCATGCCTAAACTTTTCTCCTCGTCTTTCTCCTCGTTTTCAAACGATCCTAATATGGGACATGGAGACGATTCATTCCTGGACGATTCGTATCGAGATCCCCAGGATGAACATCATATTAATGAGTTTCTCAGGTTAGTTTGTGGAAATTTGATTTTACTTTAAAACTCGAAGTGAATGGAGATATTTTAAGGGGAGTGACCGGCAATGTATGGTGGTTGAACTGAGTATGCAGTATTGTAGAGCATTTTTTAGGATTCATTTGAGACATATAAAAAAGTTTCCATGATGCATAATTACTGAGTTTGAGCGCAATGTAGGCGTTTAAAATCATGAATTTGGGTGGGTACGTTCTCAGAATCGGTTTTTTAAATTATTAAATAACGACGACGAAAAATAAAGAAAAAATTATAAAGTAAACTAATTAGATGTTTAGGAACATATTTCACAACAGAAATTTTTGTCAATAAAATCAATTTTAGAATCAATTATTTCGTTTTCATCATTATATTAAATTTCTTATTTTCTATGAATTTGTTCGCAGATTTCTACAAATTTTTCAAATATCGTCTTTTCGATAAAGATTCCAGAAAATCTGCCGAAGATCTTTGTGAATAATGAGAGATTATAGAAACTAATAATTGAATTAGATTTCTTATTTTTAATGATGAGCGTTAATTTTTATTTTCTCAACGTGTTCCTAGATAACTAATTAGTTTACTTTAGAATTTTTGTTGCATTTTTTTCGTCGTTTTATAATAATTTTAAAAAACCTATTCTAAAAACGAACCCACCTAAATTCATGATTTTGAACGTCGACTTTGCACTTAAAATCAGTAAATATACGCCGTAGAAACGTTTTATATGTCGCAAATATATCCTAAAAAAGTGTCCACAGTACAACATATTCAGTTCAACCACAGTACATTGCCGGTCACTCCCTTAAAATTAAATTATGTTGTTAGTGCTTTATGTGTTTGCCACACAGTCCGAGTAAACCAGCCTAAACCGAGCTCTGACCCTCCTCCTCCAAAGAAGACTAATAAACATCTTAAACCTTGGAAGTTGGGAGGGTTGGATAATCCTGGGTTCCGTCCTAGTAGTGTAGCCAGTAGTGTACCTGAGACTGTAACTGAGTCATCTGATATTCAGTATAATGCTTCTAGTCCGGATGAGAAAGCTCTAGGTAAAAACAATTAAAAGATATTTTAACTAAATTGGATTTTTTAGAAAAAATCTGCACTAAGCTCATCCCATCTTCTATTTCAACTTTTATTTGTCGCTCATTTCTACAATATCAAACAAAAACAAACAAAAGGTTCCCGGATTTCATATTAATTTTCGCGCATTTTTAAAATTTTTCAAAAAACAAACTTTTTGACACAAATTTAGTAATTTTGAGCATCCATAAACCTTTCCTGGGGTCATGTGAGGTCCCACACAAAATTTGGGCCCTGATCGGTTAAGTCGTTGTGACGTTTATTGGACACAAACAGACAAACAACCAAACAGAGCGATAAACAGTTTTTACACTCATGCATGCAAGAGCCTGAAATTTCAGACAGAGTATCGTAATAAAACCCAGTATCGGAAACCCTGTTTTATGATTAGGGTCAGGCAGTTTTGTAGATACCTACTCTGTACAGTGTACATTGTAATGTACATTGTACAGGTGACCATTTTTACATCTGCTGGAATTTTATCAAGTAAACTTATAAATCTATATTTTACAATTGATGTTCTGATTAAGGTAGGATTTAACTTAGATATGTGTTTTTTAACTTAAATAGTGTTTTTCTAAATTGCATTTAATCCCTTTTTTTCATAAAAATGTCAACAAGTAACAAAACATCAATGTACGTTTGTAAAAGACAGTTTTTTTCCTTTCAAATTATTTTTTAAAATAAGTACACACATGTTTTTTTAATTTATGTACATAATCCTAAAATAAATCTTCATGAGACATATATCTTGGTTTTAGTCGAAGCTTGTCAGAGGTTTGGAGTAACTTTTGTTGGAGAGAGAGAAACAGAAACTGAGAGCTGTATTGACCTTGTTGAGTCCAGATCAGGTGAATAAATTTATTCTAAAACTTTATTTGTCAATTAAAAACTCCCCCCCCCCATATTATGCGAGGTCTGAACTGTCTTAAAAGTAATACTTGCCTTGGATATGTTTTTGGATTTTTTAAATCTAAATCAGATATTTTCCATTCTAGTGCAAAAGATCTTAGTTCCCTACACTTTTTTTAAGCCAACCAGTTGAAACTAAGTGTGTTTAATAATCTTGTCGACCAAATTTCATTAAATGCATGCAATTTTAATATTTTTATATGCCAATTTTTACACAGTACAATTTACAAATGGTTTATTTATTGAAGGAACCCCTGTAGAGCGTGTGTACACCAGATTATACATCTTGGATTTTGACTCAACAAGGAAAAGAATGTCTGTGATAGCCCGAGATCCCTCAGGACGGATTATAATGATCACTAAAGGAGCTGAGTCTAGTGTTATTCCTAGGTATCTTTAATTACAAAATTTTAAATACTGATTTAATTTTACCAATATACATCGAGACCCCTTTAGGAGTAAATTTTAACCCTAGGGTGACCCTTTATAGAGATGCATTGGTAGCCTGCAAGAGAGACCAATTGACTAATTAGAACCCATTGGATATCTGAGACCAATGGGACCTGCTCAATCCAATTGGAACCCACTGGAGATCCATTTGGACCCGCTTTAAATCCATATCAGTTGAATTGGATCCTACTGGATACTCGGACACCCATTTGAAACCCACATGTAAACTTATTGAACTAACCAAAGGGGACCCAATGGAGCCAATTGGAAAACCATTTTTATGCATTGGGACCTACTGTCAATCATTGTAGAATGCTTAGAAATTTCTGTTGACCTAATGGAACCCATTGCAAAATCACTTGGGAAACTTATTGAGAACCACCATGAAGTTTAATAGTTTCCTACTAGATACCGCACGGTGGACTAGGGTCAATTAAAATTCGTACCGAACCGACCTCTTGTAGTGACGCGCGGCAAGTACCGGCCTGTCATAGACCTATATACTCCACTAGCTTAGTTTAGTGTGTACCAGTGGAGTCCTTTGCTTAGCCAATAATTAGAAACTCTGTGATAATGTCACGAACAGTTTTATTAGATTTACACGGTCTACTGTATAGGTGTAAGGAGGGTCCTATGTTCGACACTAACAAGCATATTGACGAGTATGCTCTGGTTGGGTTGAGAACACTAGCTATAGCTATTAGGGTTCTCTCCGAGCAGGAGCTCAAAACATTCGACCAAGCAATTTTCCAGGCTCGCCAAGCTATCGAAGGAAGAGAAGAGAAAATTATGGTAATTAAAAACACGTTGGTTGTCAGTAATTTAATTTTTAAAAAATTCCCTTAACTTCCCTTAACTTCCCTGGAAAGTAGATAGTTAAAATAATTAATCTTTAAATGTTGGTTTAACTGGAACTACTTAATTTCTGCTTGTTGCATTTTAAAAAAACAGTGAACGATTTCGCAGGATTTTCTGTGCTCATACGTGAATTTTTTTTTCATTTAAGATTTTTTTACTTACAAAAACTACATTTACATATTAACAATTTTAAAAGTATTTATTTCAGGCTGTTTATGATGATATGGAAAGAAATATGACTTTGCTAGGAATTTATCCCATTTTGACAAAGTTTTTTTTTATCAATATCATTCAAGTTGAGCCCCCCCCCCTTTAAAAGTAGGAAAACATTTCTAAATATTGATATTTAAAGTGTACCTACAAATTTTATAATTTCGTTTTTCTGAAATTTGTTATTCTTGACGAAAATGCCACTTTAAAAAAGTTAAAATACAAAACTTTTGTCCCCGGAAGTCCCCACAGTATAAATCAAAGGCTGAGATAAAAGTCCCAGAGTAATTAAAATTATGATAATAGTTTTAAACTTTGTTCAAGTTAAAGTTAGATTTCTCATCTAATTTTCTCCGCATGGTTCAACTCAAGTTTAATGGGATCTTCGATCTACAGGAGCAACAGCTGTGGAGGACAAACTTCAGTTCGGAGTCAAGGATACTTTAGGTAGGACGGAGTCAAAAATACTTCAGGAACGACGAAGTCAAGGATACTTTAGGAAGGACGGAGTTAAGGAATTTGAAGGATGGAGCTAAAGATAGTTTAGCATTTATGTAGGACGGAGTTAGAATGATTTATGTAGGACGGATTAAGGATAATTTAGGTAGGGCGGATTTAAGGATACTTTAGAAAGAACGATACTGAAGATGTTTTATATAGGACGGAGTTTAGAATACTTTAGGTAAGGCGGAGTCAAGTACTTTAAATAGGACGATTTATTAGACGGAATTTAAAATAGTTTACTAAGGATGGAGTTAAGAATAGTTTAAATAGGTAGAAGTAAGGGATGGATTATATACGAAGGAATAAAGAATAGTTTATGTACAACGAGTTTCTGGATAGTTAAGGTAGGACACAGTTAAGAATAGTTTAGATAGGACGAAGTTAAGAATAGATTATTTACGACGGTGTTCTGGATAGTTTAGATAGGACGCAGTTAAGAATAGTTTGAAGTAAGACTGAGATTAGAATAGTGTTGATAGGACAGATCTAATTAAGAATTAAGGATAGTTTAGGTAGGACAGTATTATGTTTAGTTTAGGTAAAACAGAACTATGTTTACTGTTTAGTTTAGGTAGGATAGAACTATGTTTAGTTTAGGTAGGACAGAATTAAGAATATTTTAAGTAGGGTAGAACTATGTTATGTTTAGGTAGGACAGAATTAAGGATAGTTTAGGAAGGACAGAATTGTGTTAAGTTAAGGTAGGACAGAAATAAGTTTAGCTTAGGTAGGACAGAATTAAGAATTGTTTAGGCAGGACAGAATTAAGGATAATTTAGGTAGGACAGAATTAAGATTTTTTTAGGGAGGACAGAATTAAGGATTGGTTAGGGGGGACAAAATTAAGAATTGGTTAGGGGGGACAAAATTAAGAATTGTTCAGGTAGGACAGAATTAACATTTGTTTAGGGAGGACAGAATTAAGGATTGGTTAGGGGGACTAAATTAAGAATTGTTCAGGTAGGACAGAATTAACATTTGTTTAGGGAGGACAGAATTAAGGATTGTTAAGGGAGAGAATTAGGAATAGTTTATGTATGACCAATAAAACGAAGAAAGAATATCAGAATTATCTTGTAGGTGGAAGATTTTTTTTAATATATCTATTAAGGCTATATCTCTAATATATCCTATATTTAGTTAAGCTAGGCCAGGCTGGTATCTCTGTCTGGATTCTAACCGGAGATAAAAAGGAAACTGCAATTAATATTTCCTACGCCTGCGGGCATCTTCTTCCCTCTCTAACCGTCCTGGATCTAACAGGGCTTCAAAGGAAACAGATCTTTTAGATAATTATTTATTTCAAAGGAAACAGATAGATACTTAAGGGTTAAAACATTTTACATTTTTGCGAAACATTTTATATTTTTGGAGAAAAAAATTTACATTTTTAAAAAACCATTTACGTTTTTTGGAAAAAATTACAGTTTTTTAAAATATTTACACTTTGGGAAAATATTTGCATTTTTGGAAAACATTTTACATTTTGGAAAACATTTACATTTTGGAAAACATTTACATTTTTGGAAAACATTTACATTTTTGGAAAATATTTTACATTTTTGGAAAACATTTATATTTTTGGAAAACATTTTACATTTTTGGAAAATATTTACATTTTTGGACAATATTTCACATTTTTGGAAAACATTTTACATTTTTGGAAAACATTTTACATTTTTGGAAAACATTTTACATTTTTGGAAAACATTTTACATTTTTGGAAAACATTTACATTTTTGGAAAAAATCTTACATTTTTGGAAAGTTTATTAATAATAATTTCATTGTAAAACTTAATGTTTTGCTAATCTTTGTTGTTTATTGAAGAGCCAGTTGTGAGCCATGATAAACCAGGCGCTGCAGAACATAGCAGTGTTGATTGGGATGTTTTGTTTAATCCAACCCAGTCCAGTTCAGGACCTAGTCCATGGTTACTATATACTTGTAGTATTAGTTTTAGTTTTTAATTTAAAACTAAATGTTTAATGTCTGATGATCTGTAACCCTTCAGTTCTACGGTTCTGGGTAAACTACAGAGATATGCTGAACAGGTGAAGAGTTCAGACGATATGTACGGACTAGTCGTGGACGGTGGGACTCTCACACTCATCATGCCTTACGAGGAAAACAAGGATTTTCTTTACCAGGTATCTTTTAGTATTCTATCAGACGCTTATTTCCTAATTTATGAAATTTTAATATTCTACTCTTAACATATTTCTCATGGTTTAACTCCAGGTTTTTAGTATTCTGTTCAGACATTTATTTAGTAATTTATGAACTTTTTATATTAAACTTCCTTCTTTAGTCCAACTCCAGAGTCCAGGTACTTAAAGTATTCTATTCAGACACTTATTTCTTACTTCATATGGTCAAATTTCAGGTACTTAAAGCATAGGGTTACCCACACCCTGCGAGACTTAAAAAAACGAATGTACAGATTTTATGAAGTATTCATGTTACATGCATGGTTTCCTGAATCTGTAATCTCATGCAATATATACCAATACAAGACTATATTCAAGGCAGAAAACAGGAATTTTAGGTCGTCGTTAATGTCTCATCCTTTGTGTGTAACCCTGTATAGTTTATGTATACTGCAGTTTCATTTAACTTTAGGTACAAATATTCATTTCAGTTACTTCTACTACGTACTATACGTAGTACCAAATTTCAATATCCTAGTTTAAACGTGTTTAATTTACAACTATATTTCATTTCTAAAAATTCATAAATTTGTTTAGATAGCGTCTAGATGTCAGTCTGTGGTTTGTTGTCGTATGTCACCTCTACAGAAGTCGGAGATAGTTCGGATGATGAAGAACAGTCCTGGAGCTCCTATTACAGCTGCTATCGGAGACGGTGGGAATGATGTTGCAATGATCCAGGTTCAGTATTCCCTAGTTTTATGTCAGGGGTGTTGTGAAAAATGCAAATATTACAAACTACCCCACTCAACCGACCTAGAGGGAACTGATCTAAGGGGTTTCCGACGTAAAATTGTGTTACATCCTATAAACAAGTTAGTTTAAGCTGGGTAGGTCGAGCTGGATGGGGATTAGAAATAGCGAATAGAAATCCTTCTCGCGTGGCGAGTAAAATTTACATGATATTTCCTTAACTCCTCGATAATTAGGTCGGATACCCTGTAGGTCAGTTTTCTCACAGTTTTTCCATAGTATCGATTATATAACGGATTTGATGGAATGTTGTTGTTGTATTTTTGATTCCAATCTTTAATATTCTCAAATTCAGAAACCTATGAGCAATATATATGACAAGTTTTACCAGTGTATGTATATTTTTTACTATTATCTATCTATGAAATATTGTTGTCATTTGCTTGGTTTGGGGATGATTTATGGGACTGGTCACTAAGAGATTTCCTAGTATAAATCAACGAATTGTAATAATTCTGTAATTCTCTCAAATTATTTTTTCTTGTATGGTCCTAACCCTTGATTTTGGTTATTATTATTTTAATATTTCTCTAGCATCGAATTTAAGTCAAATTTGGACAAGAAAAGAATTATTTAAAATTAAATTAAAAGCAATAAAGATAACATTTTGCGAACACTAATTAATCTATTATTAATGTAAAGAAAATTTATTTACCGAAAAGTCACAATTAAGGGTATATACGTTAATCCGGTCAAATGATGCACCTTCATTGTCAAGGTTTAAGTTTAAACCAGGAAAAAGCTTTGTATAAGGAGTATAAAATTATATTTATCGTTGCCTTGAAGGTTTATTTGAAATAAATGTCAAAATATTTCATTTTAAATTCTTCAAATCCTTCCTTTTCACACCTACGTAGAAAACTTGAAAATTCAAATTTTTTGACAAGTTTTTAATTCCATATTTACAGGAGGCCCACGTGGGACTAGGAATTATGGGGAAGGAAGGAAGAGCAGCGGTTCGTTCTGCAGACTTCGCCTTCTCTAAGTTCCATTATCTCCAGAAGGTGATATAAAAATTTACTATATTCAAGACTTAAAAACAAAAGGTAAACTGTCAAACCAAATGAATTTACAATACCGGATTAAAAAACTCACTATTCTACCATTGACTTATTTTTGGTATTGAATGGACTACTCTACCTCTGACACCTGTATGGTACCAACTGAACTACTCTACTTCTGACACCTGTATGGTATCGAATTAACTATACTCTACTCCTGGCACCTAGCTAATTGAATACTCTATACTGCTGATTCCTCTACTTTTACTCGTGTATATGTTCCTATTTCACTATTCTATTATTCTATTACTTCGCTATGGTATCGAATGAAATACTCTACTATTCACTTCCTATGGTACCGAATGAACTATTCTACTATTAACTCCTTTATGGTACCGAGTGAACTACCTTACTATTGACACCTCTATAGTACAGAGTGAACTACTCTTCTATTGACTCCTCTATGATACCGAGTGAACTACTCTACTAGTGACTCCTCTATGGTACCGAGTGTACTACTATACTAGTTACTCCTCTTTGGTACCGACTGAACTATTCTACAAGTGACTCCTCTATGGTACCGAGTGAACTACTCTACTAGTGACTCCTCTATGGTACCAGGTGAACTGCTCTACTAGGACTCCTCTATGGTACCAGGTGAACTGCTCTACTAGTAACTCCTCTCTGGATCCAAGTTTACTGTTCACTTCAATCAACTTAATAGAATATCCGGGCTCTAGTCCACAGTAGATAAAAGATGAAGAATGAAATCTGTGGATATCGGATCCTTTATATCATCTTAAATATTTAAACATTTAAAAGAGTTTCAGCCTATAGAGGAAGTTTGCTATAACTTATTGAGAGTTTTAACCTTCTCAGAGAGTTTTGCTTAATCCTGGCTGGAGAATTAAACCCTATCTGCCTGAAGAGTTTAATCCTGCCTGAAGAGTTTAATCCTGCCTAGTTAGTTTAATCCTGCCTGAAGAGTTTAATCCTGTCTGGAGAGTTTAATCCTGTCTGGAGAGTTTAATCCTGTCTAGAGAGTTCAATCCTGTCTGGAGTGTTTAATCCTGTCTGGAGTGTTTAATCCTGTCTGGAGTGTTAAATCCTGTCTGGAGTGTTTAATCCTGTCTGGAGTGTTAAATCCTGTCTGGAGTGTTTAATCCTGCCTGGAGAGTTTAATCCTGCCTAGTGAGTTTAATCCTGCCTGGAGGGTTTAATCCTGCCTGGAGGATTTAATCCTGCCTGGAGAGTTTAATCCTGCCTGGTGAGTTTAATCCTGCCTGGAGAGTTTAATCCTGCCTAGTGAGTTTAATCCTGCCTGGAGGGTTTAATCCTGCCTGGAGGGTTTAATCCTGCCTGGAGGGTTTAATCCTGCCTGGAGGGTTTAATCCTGTCTGTAGGGTTTAATCCTGTCTGGAGAGTTTAATCCTGTTTTGAGAGTTTATTCCTGTCTGGAGAGTTTAATCCTGTCTGGAGAGTTTAATCCTGTCTGAAGAGTTTAATCCTGCCTGGAGGGTTTATTCCTGCCCTGAGAGTTTAATCCTGTCTAGAGAGTTTAATCCTGTCTGGAGATTTTAATCCTGTCTGGAGATTTTAATCCTGTCTAGAGAGTTCAATCCTGTCTGGAGTGTTTAATCCTGTCTGGAGTGTTAAATCCTGTCTGGAGTGTTTACTCCTGTCTGGAGTGTTACATCCTGTCTGGGGTGTTTAATCCTGCCTGGAGAGTTTAATCCTGCCTAGTGAGTTTAATCCTGCCTGGAGGGTTTAATCCTGCCTGTAGGATTTAATCCTGCCTAGAGAGTTTAATCCTGCCTGGAGAGTTTAATCCTGCCTAGTGAGTTTAATCCTGCCTGGAGGGTTTAATCCTATCTGGAGGGTTTAATCCTGCCTGGAGGGTTTAATCCTGCCTGAAGAGTTTATTCCTGCCTGGAGACTTTAATCCTGCCTAGTGAGTTTAATCCTGCCTAGTGAGTTTAATCCTGCCTGAAGAGTTTAATCCTGCCTGGAGGGTTTAATCCTGCCTAGTGAGTTTAATCCTGTCTGGAGGGTTTAATCCTGCATGAAGAGTTTAATCCTGCCTGGAGGGTTTAATCCTGCCTGGAGAGTTTAATCCTGCCTGGAGGGTTTAATCCTGCCTGAAGAGTTTAATCCTGCCTGGAGAGTTTAATCCTGCCTGGAGAGTTTAATCCTGCCTGGAGAGTTTAATCCTGCCTGGAGAGTTTAATCCTACTTATAGTGAGTTTAAAACTGCCTGGAAAGTTTAATCCTGCCTGGAGAGTTTAATTCTGCCTGGAGAGTTTACTCCTGCCTGGATAGTTTAATTCTGCCTGGATGGTTTAATCCTGCCTAGAGAGTTTAATCCTGCCTGGAGAGTTTAATCCTGCCTGGAGAGTTTAATCCTACTTATAGTGAGTTTAATACTGCCTGGAAAGTTTAATCCTGCCTGGAGAGTTTAATTCTGCCTGGAGAGTTTAATCCTGCCTGGAGAGTTTAATCCTGCCTGGAGAGTTTAATCCTGCCTGGATGATTTAATCCTGCCTAGAGAGTTTAATCCTGCCTGCAGAGTTTAATCCTGCCTGGAGAGTTTAATCCTACCTGGAGAGTTTAATCCTGCCTGAAGAGTTTAATCCTGCCTGAAGGGTTTAATCCTGCCCGGAGGGTTTAATCCTGCCTAGAGAGTTTAATCCTGCCTGGAGAGTTTAATCCTGCCTGGAGAGTTTAATCCTGCCTGGAGGATTTAATCCTGCCTGGAGAGTTTAATTCTGCCTGGAGGGTTTAATCCTGCCTGGAGGGTTTAATCCTGCCTGGAGGGTTTAATCTTGCCTGGAGAGTTTAATCCTGCCTAGTTAGTTTAATCCTGTCTGGAGAGTTATATCCTGTCTGGAGAGCTTAATCCTGTGTGGAGGGTTTAATCCTACCCGGACCAAATCTCCGGATTTTATAAACCCCACACAGCAAGTTTAAACACCTATTCGTTTTAAATCCAAATCAAAAGATACATTTTCTTCAAACTAGTTTTTCTATTCTTAATTTATTCTCATCTTTTGATAAAGTTTGACGGAGAAGACTCACAAGTTGATATATTGTTGGATCAGAAGGATAGATCTAATTCACTTAAAATAAACTATTTTATTTATACACTACTATACACAGAGGATATTGTAATTAATGAAATTATGAAGAGATGGATTTGAACAATAAAGTTCGATAATAATTTTTTTCTCAGAATATTTTTATCGTTAATAAAAAGCACTCTATCATTCCATGTCTATTTCAATAAAACTGGATTTATGATTAATATTTTTGTTATTCAACATAATCTGCAGTACTCTGACAAAATAAATTCAATTTCTATTCTAAATATGCTTTAGGTTGTTCTTGTTCATGGACATTGGTACTACTACAGAGTCTCCCTGCTTGTACAGTACTTTTTCTACAAGGTTTGTACATTTATTTATTTACTGTCGACAACATTTAATAATGAGATATATTTATTAGACAAATCATTTTATCATTTCTTTCCAGACCTTCAAGGAAGAAACTGAAATATTTCAACGTTCTACTATTTTATCATTTCGAAAATTTGGGAAGAGTAGTTCAGACTAGCTTTTGAGTATTTAGTTGATACGTTCACAGTTTAAACATATTCATTTCTTATAATAATTATCTGTAGTGATTGTACGATGTACTGTACAGTGTTCCGAACAGTATACTGTACATTGTACAACGTACAAACTTTCGTAATCAATAAAATAAAATATCACATTTTTGTAGTTCAGACGGTGTACACTGTATATGTACTGTGTACTGTATATTTATTTCTGTCCTTTAAAAACTTCATAATATACATATTTATGAACTTTTGTTGGTTTATTTTTTATTTATATCTTAATGCTGAGTACTTGAACCATAATTATTTGTTGATGAAAAAAGAGAAGAATTTTTCTAATTTCTTTATCAAGCTAAAGATCAATTGTTCTAATTGCTTAATCAAGCTAAAGATCAATTGTTCTAATTGCTTAATCAAGCTTAAGATCAATTGTTCTAAGTGCTTAATCAAGATAAAGATCAATTGTTCTAATTGCTTTATCAAGCTAAAGATCAATTGTTCTAATTGCTTAATCAAGATAAAGATCAATTGTTCTGATTGCTTCATCAAGCTAAAGATCAATTGTTTTAATTGTTCAGAATGTTGCTTGTTTTACCTGTCAGTTCTACTACGCGTTCTATTCAAACTTCTCCACACAAACCTTGTTTGACGGGATCAGCTTGACCCTGTACAACATCTGCTACACTTCCTTCCCTATATTTGTATTCTCCCTCCTAGAGAAGGTAAATATTCTCTTCAATTTCAGGATTAAATTATGAAGATTCGTCACTAGGCGGTTAAATAATTTTATCAATGACTAGCTGCAGTGCCTGGCATTGCCCGTGTTTATATTATAATGCATTGTTGTTGTTGTAGTTGCCATAGAACCATGGACATGGACTTTTATTGTGAGTTTTTTTGGCCTCCAATTGAATAATGCATCTTCATAGTTAATCCCGTGGTTTATCCCTGCATGGTATTAAAACATGATTTTAGCTGAAGTGCCATGGATTCCCTTTCAAACAGTTAGCTGAAGCTGAATGTATTTGAATTGTAATTATTTACACTCTTAATATGGATTCATGTAAACCCCCTGGATTTAGGGTGGAGGGCAATGAATCCAAGAGCAACCCCCCCCCTTCCCTGCATACGCCTCTGATCAGGACCCTGAATCTTTTAAGATGATATTTCTACCTTCTTCCATTTAGTTCAACCAGAATCTAAAAATCAACAATGTTCTGATATACAAAAAGTACCATATTTTGTTCTTAGGAAAACTAAAACAACATTCAAATATTTGTTCTTGCATATTTCCGATTTATTATAGTTTTCCAAAGTTTCAATTGGTCGTCCTTTAAGACACATGCTTTATCAAAACTCGTTTATTCAAGAATAGGAAAAATATCTTTCTATTAGGAAGAAAGTTTGCTATTTCTCGAGTTCGGAGATAAAACTTAATTTACATATATTCATTTATTAAGAAAATTGTAAATTAGCATACTAATTAGTTAATTAATTAGAAAGTTGAATAATTAGCATACCTATACCCATTTAACACTGCTTATTATAATAATTATGCTTAATGCCAAATATTTATTTGCAAGGACAAGAACTATCCAAATATTTATTTGCAAGGACAAGAACTATCCAAATATTTATTTGCAAGGACAAATATCCAAATATTTATTTGCAAGGACAAGAACTATCCAAATTTTGTTGTAAGGACAAGAACTATCCATTCCAAATTATCGATTAGTCGACGGAAAGAATTCTCTTATTATCATTATTCGAATACTGATGAACTTTGAGATTTGTAAACGGAGGTGGAAATAGGGGGGTTATTGGGGTTATTGCGGTTATTTACTCCCCCCGTAATTACCCCTGAACAGCAGGGATCACTCACTTACTGCCCCTGCAAGTTATAACTCCGCAGAATTGCCCCCTTCAAAAAAAATTCCCTATTAATTAGTCTGCTTTTAACACCTTATTAAAACGACGACTATTTTCATGAAAGTAGAAGTTTTTGTGACATTCAGCAGGCTGCCTATTCCTAAACTCTGGCTCCTTCACTCACACACAACTGGTTATAATAAATCATAAATTATGATAATGATTTATAATATTTTTGTAGGTCAAGTCAACAAAGAACAGAATTAGTATTTAGTAAATTTATTTTGTAGTTTCATTAGAAAGACTGTGATCCACATTATATGTTTGTTTGGGCCAGCGAAGACTTTGAATATGTTGATTTTTATTTTTTCCTTAGCTTTAAAATTCTATTGTTTCTGTCCTAGAGAACGCTTTTTGCCCCTCCCCTCCCCTTTTTTTAAAGGTTAGAATAACAGAGACAAAATTAATGCAAAGTTTTGCAGAGCAGAATTGCTATTTACGCCACTGTTTGTAAAATATTAATAAAAAATGTATTTAGAATTTAGACAAGAGATATCTTCTCGAGAACCCTAGTCAGTACAAGAGACACTACAGGTTAGAAAAATATTTTCCCTGAAAAAAAATATCACCTAAATGTGGTACGAATTCAAAATAACTAAAACTAAGACAGTAAAAAATATTTACTAAATGCAATTGTAATTTTTGTAATTTTTGTTCGATATTGGTTTCAGTTTTGAAACTTTTTTATTAAACCAATATGTAAAATTCCTGTTTTCATTTATCAAAATTCCATTTTGGTTTTTGAAAATATTTGAGAAAAATATTATCTTTCTAGATATTACATTTGTGCGTTATTAATGAAAATTTTGTATATTTCGCTAAAATAAAATATTTAATATTTTAAATCATTAAAATGTTTCAGTAACAAGCTTTTACAGTGGAGAGAATTCTTTCTCTGGTTTTTTCAGGTCAGTTTCAGAAACATGAGAAGGATTCAAATGAGGAGTTTATTTTTTACTTTTCAGTAAAAGGTTTCCTTATCATTTTTTTCTGTCCATTGACATTAATCAGCATTTTTTCTCAAATTTTTTTTAAATACTAAAAAGTGTACAGAAATTAAATAACTCTTAATTCTCAGGCAGTCTGGCATTCTGTTGTTTTCTACTTCGGCTGGTATCTTTTCTGGTCATATATACCAACATCAGGTGAAACTTTGTGAAAGTGAATAGGGAATGGGGAAAATTAACGAGAAAAGAAATAATAAAAACTGATTTAGAAAACAGAAATCATGATGATTTGATTTTGAAATTTTGATTTTGTTAAATGATGTTTGGATATAATAGCTGTACCCTAGAATATAATAGCTAGATATAAAGTACCCTAGAAAAGTAGACGCTGGGTTAACCACACAAGATGAGACTTCAGACCCGAGTTTACGGAGTTGATTCTGTCTGTTTCCTTATAATTATGATTCCCTATAACTTTAAACTTCTTTCTTTCTTTGCTTAATCATTAAATAAGTCAGAAGATTTAAATTAACCATGATATCTTCATATTTCAAGAGTTTCGGGTCGTCTTTACAGTCCTTTGTGGGTAACCCTGAAAGTCAGTGCATAGTTTTAATTGTAAGATAAATTTACGATGGTTGTAATATGAACATATAGTTTATTATCAATCCAGATATTAGATTATTTAATTAATGGAGATCAGAGAGAACCTTGTATTTAACATCTTGGATAACCCTTGCTACAGTAGTACTCAGTTCCATTTACTGTTTAGCACTCATTTCAGGATTCGTCTCTAATTGGACGATGTGATAGTTAGATAAATTGATTGATTAGATGTTACCGCCGATGCCTTTTCTATTGGTTCTAAATAGTCACCAAGTACGTGATTGAACCCTGATGACATTAGACGCCACTAGAAAAACTAAACAACTACGTTCTGTATTTGTAATTTAATTGTTTAGGTGGATTAAGTTTAAATATGAGTGATGCCGCAAACCTGGATCAAACTAGTTTTGGAACTGCTATCTACTCATCTGTAGTAGCTCATGTTAACCTTAGGTAACAAATTTTGAGGTGGGGGGGCATCAAGAATACGGGGAGTGGGACAATGCTTTCTTACACAAAGAACAACGTATTTCACCATAAATTTTATCTCCCCTCGCTCTGAACAAATCCTTAATTCTACAATTGTACAATTTAAATTCTTTACTTTCAACATTTTTATTCTTGGAGTTTTCTCAAGCGATTAGATTTTGTCCCTAAACTTCTTGTTCTCTTTATTATTCAATCATAACCCTAATCCAGAGATATAAGATCTTTATATCAACCAGCATCTGTGATAATTTAGGTTACTTTTCCAGTCCCGTAGTTGGAACCCTGTTCTCATTTTTGGTATTATCGCCAGTATTATCTTCTATATTGGGTTCAACTTCCTCTGCCACTCTCTTAGGTAATTAAAATATAAATCTTTTTTAAAATGCAGGCCTCGGGAGTATTTATATGTTTACTAGCTGAAGGGCCCCGTTTTGCCCGTGGAAAAAAATATTTGGGAAAAAAATATTAAAAAAATTTGTTGTTGAAACAAAAAAATTTCGATCTTTTTAGCCTGTAACACCCCACGGCCACCCATGAGTGTCCACAAAAAATTTCAATCCTATCGGTCCAGCCGTAAGGCCACTATATGCAACATATATATGAATGTCTTGTTTTATTTTATAGATTTTTGTTTTAAAATCCTCGGCTCCATCCCCCCCTTATTAAACAATAATTTTTCTTCTTAGTTTAGTGTTTTTAAGCGATAACTTAATCATGAATGTCCAATTGTCCCTTTTCATTATTTTCCCCCCAAAAAGGTTTGTAAATCATTTTCAGGGACGGATTGGAGTGATGGGGAGTATTTTACCCCTGTGCCAATGAATTATATTCCCCTCCAGAGCTGTAATAATATATTTTATAGTTTACCCAGTGGAATATCCTCAACACTGGGAGAAAGTGTAGAATCTGATATCTGGGTTCCCTTCGACTTCTCCACTTACTGGGTCTATCATCATGTTCTCTCCTCTCCTGGAGTTTGGTTGTTTACCCTTCTTCTCCTTGTAATCGCAATCATGCCTGATGTTGTTATCCGGGTCCTTAGAAAACATTGGTTATCTATAGAAGGAGGAATATGGGTATGTAGTGTCACGTTTTGATTATACCCTGCAGCCAGCTTACAACATTTAAAAACTTGTTTTAAGCAATTATATGTTCAAACTTAAAATCTTTTTGACCGACCAAACCCTTTTCCATGGCGTCATGATGTTCCACACAAAAATTTGACCCGATCTTACGTAAACTATAGAGGTCCTGGTAAATAGTCTAGTAAGTCTTAGCTTTAGATCCCATTTCCATTCATTAAATGTAGAATTTTTTCGTTGTTACTATTAAATACTTTTTGTTTGGATGACTTCTACAGTTTTCTTACTGAGGTGCTTGGAGTAATATGTTGAATAATATAAATTTGTATTGCAGAGTGCCCGGAAGGCTGTGAACAGTACAATGAATAAAGGAAACTATGAACTAGACAATGTTTACAACAACTACGGATATTCTAATCAGGAGGTTCAGATTAGATCTGCTTCTCTTAAAGAATTTGAGATTCAAGAAATATCTTGAATTTAAACCTTGCTCAAGGTGTGCTTTGTACACGCGTGACAAGCTCAAGGTACTTTAGGTATTGAACAGATCTAGAAGATTCCAAATTTTTCTAAGAAAGGATGAAAAACTAAATTTGTTTAATTAGGCCATAAATGTAACCTGGTGCCAAGAATGGGATGATTAGATTACTTGGTTCAAATAACTAAAAATCTAACTGCGGACAGTTTACATCAAAATTTCCATATTGTATGAAAAAGAGTCAAAGCGGAATTTTTAACAGCATTTACAAAATAAATTAATGTACCACTTGAAGATATGTCTGTTCATAATTCATACTTTTCATTTTTCTAATTCCTGAAACATGTTGATTTGAATTTTTTAATTTTATTTATTATTTTTCCCGGTTTAAACATATATGTGATACTTCCATTGTTTCTTGTGATACTGTAATTATATTATCAAAGTTGTGTTTTTAATACTTTTGACTCTCGTATTTAATATTTTTACCTAACTTTACATCAGCAGAAGTAAATAACACTATAATTTTAATCCCTCTTTCTCTTGCAACTATTTTAGAATAATTCAGTTTTTTTTCACATTATCAAAGGGTTTTAATTCTATTGTATTAGTAATAATCTTAAAGAAGCTGGCATTATGTAATATATATTTATATCAAATTTATAGAATAAAAACATGAAATATACAATTATAATATTATATTTTAAAATTAGTTACTGAGAGTGTCAAGTATGTATTATGTATGAAGCTCTAGACAACATTTAGAAGCTTCTGATCTACATTCAGTTTAATACAAACCTGAAAAGAAAAACGAATATCAATAATTAAATCTTAATAAAAGATGAATATTGTTTAACCTCGATGAATCTATCGTAATCTATGGCATCTCCTTGATATTCCTTGATTTCCATAATCGCCTCAACAATAAGTTAAATAAGTTTAAGTATGTAATTATTAATCATCAAGAAAGAATAAAAGACTTCAATATTAAATTGTTAAGAATGAATTAAACTTATTCCTTTTCTGCTATAGCTCTGATCTCTCCTTTCCTAACCTCACCTAGAGCAACAGATAATATCTCCTCTAGGCCAGCTGTATTCAACTAATAAGAAATATTGATGAAAATATTTAAAGCACTCAGCACGTTGAAACCCACATATAAGCTCAAGTATACATTTTTAATCAAAAGTACTTCCAAACGAAGGAATAAATTGTAGATCAGAATCAAAATAAAAAACGTTGATCCAATTGTTAATCGGTTAAAATCAGCGTAGGCACGCTAGACCAAATATTTTCTTTTAAAATAATAATGATTAATTGGTTTTACCATTTCAGCATCGTCAAGTTTCATCAACCTAAACAACATATTTAAATCTTGCAAGTTATATTATTATTATTATTATTAAAGATTATTCACACACATTTAATATACATACATATATTACATATTACATATATTAATGGTATAGTTTAAATTTGTTTTGTTAGGAATGATATTAGATGTATTCATTATTCACTCTCATAATCTCCAATTTCATAAACCTGCTATTTTAAAGAAATCTATAGTCAGACTTTTGATAATATTTTTCTTTCAGGAATAAATTCCTTGCACTTAAAAAGTTGATTCAGGAAAAGTAACAATAAAAATGTAAGCAATATTTAGAACAGGTCAGCTTGTAATTAAAACATATTCTAACTGCATACAGACTTTTTCAGCATATTCTTGATGTTTCTAATAGACTTGACATCCAGACTAATCAAAGGGTGTAAACCCATTATCGATGTTGCAGGTAGACTTGACATCCACATTTCGCACTCATCAAAGGGTCTAATCCAATTTTTGTTTCTAGTAGACTTTTAACATCCACAATAATCAAAGGGTATAAACCCATTCTCGATGTTTCCCGTAGACTTTTAACATCCACAATAATCAAAGGGTATAAACCCATTCTCGATGTTTCTAGTAGACTTGACATCCACAATAATCAAGGACAGAAGTAATTTCTAGTGACCCTTTAATTATAGTCGAAACATGACAGTTAGAGCTTGAATATTGTTTTTGATCTAGAAATAATGTGCGGCATTCATTTGTCAACCTACCCTTGAAGCATAAATCACAAAATTTCCCAAGTCCCAAGGTACTAATGCAAGGAAAGTTATTTCAGAGATGTACGCATTTTTTGTGCTGCAGTGTACTGTCTTTGGGCGGATGTTCCAGCCTGACATGGGATCTATTTTCACAAAAATGATCTATGAAATATTCTAGTCAAAGCAAGCAAATCTGCCCCTTTAGTAAAAGTAAACTCAACCTATATGAAGCATAACGTCTGACCGCGTCAACCTTGTTGCACCGGCTAGTCCTGTCCATAGAGCTAGGTACAGTACAAGCTGGGACCGGAAAGGTTGACCAGGCTCGGAAATTCAAATGTACTGCGGCTGCCCGTGCTAGGAAACTATTATGTGTGCATTTTTTAAAATTATCAAAATTAAATGCTTTTATGCTCCGCGGATACTAGACGAACACTGATGCATCTATGCTTGTTTACAAATTCCGTCCAGAGAGAACTGGTTTCAATATGTACGCAGAGCATACGCGACCGCAATCAACTTTCCTTGCATTAGAACCTTGCCTAGTCCTAACATTTCATGTGCCTGTTCTAACTTGTTTGGGCTTTCAATATACAGGAGATATTAAGAATTTTGTTCATATTTCAATTTTTTAAATAACACCAAAATTGACTAAATCTGAACGACATTCTTAATCCGGTAGGTTTGAAAGCGAAAAAGTGTTTATGTACGTGATGTATATATGTTTGTTTATATATGTACCTGAAAAGAAAAGTAAGTCTATGTACTCTTGTAAGATGAGGAGATTTTCTCAGGTTAGGCTCGAATAAAGCGATCAGTTTGCAGAAATGGCTGAAATAATATTGATTATAGTTCTATTTTAATTAATTCAAGCAGTAAACTGTCTTGGGGGCAAACCAGTGATTATTTATGTTATACACAGCGTTTCTAACTGAAAAGACATCAATATATAGCTGGCTTTAGGTGTTTATTATGAATTATCCCTCTTCATAGACTTCACCTTAAGTCCATATACTCTGCCCTTTCTGCTGAAGGATTGAGATCGTAAGGGGGATAGAGAGCTGTACATGCCAGCTTTTCTGCCATAGGGTTCGCACCAAGAGATATAATAGCAGTCAGATCTTCCTTAGTTAGATATCCTAGACAAATATTTTCCTTAGTTAGATATCCGAGACAAATATATATTCCTTAGATAGATATCCTAGAAAAATTTCCTTAAGAATCTGAAGCGTATCCTGCATAAATAATGTTGGGCATACTGTATAAACTGTAATTTAAAACATGAAAGATTTTTTGGCTGTGAAGCTACAAGTTTGCTTTATAACGTTATTACTTTTTGTCAGAGTTACCATTTTGCATAATTTAATAAAAGTTTATTTTTAAATAAATTAATATTTCAAAGTGTATTAAACTTTTATTTTTGTCGAGCCGTTTTAAGGCAAAAGAGACCTGAAATGTTTAAGCAAGGGATAAAATTAAGTTATAGATAAATTTATTTAATTACAAATTAAATAAATTATTGAATTGACGAAACAAAACTTAAAACTTTTTCTTTTAACAGTTTAATTATGCATAAAAATGGACAGTGAAATTTAAGTAAAAAGTAAAATTTTTAATTGTTTTACTTTTATGCTTTCGAGATGTAAAATGATTGAAGTAAATCGAAAAAAACGGATAGATTTTACTCATTTATTTTAACATTGAAGTTTGCTTTAAACCCCTCACACCAGCCCGTCCCCATCCCTCTCACAAAAATGTTATCCCTGGTCTAAACAAACCTTTTAAAGTTAACAATGAATCCTAGAAAATAACAGAAAGAATTTAGAGATAAAAAGGTTTTATCTATTCATACACTCTGTATTCATGAATGACGTAGCAGATTTTTTATCATTCCATTTTATAATCTTATTAAATAATTTTACAGTCCAGAGGATTTGAGATTAAGTCTGAAAAAGACTTTTCAGGAAGATAAGAACCAGTCTAGGTTTTAACGGAGTCTTGTTACCTTTCTTTTGTTTGTCTAAAACATCAAATCTTTCACTTAATCTCGTCACAAATGCAGTCGACAAATCAGTTTCCTGTGCCAAAGCTTCGACATCTCGGCTGGGCTCATTTTTCGCAAACTTATTTCCCATTTTGTTAACTTGGCTTTAAATTTGTTTAAGGAAATACTCCCGGATTTAATAAGATGTTGTTTGCGGATTTCTAGAAACAGAAATCGGAGTTCATAAAGATATGAAGTTATTTATGAGATCATTTATTTGATAACTATATTTAATAATTCATGACATGTCCTTATTATATTTATTGTGCATAGAGAAAGTTGTGCGTACAGTGTACATTTTACATTTCACATTTATTTGATAATTAATTACATATGTAAGAATAATAGGGATAAGTTAAAGGGATCGGAAATATATAAATGCAATATTCAAATGAGAACAAAAAAAGTTTATAACTTTTCTCTAAAACATCTTAAGTACTGCTGAAGGTCAAAGATAGAACTAGTCTCAATTAATACCGCGATTTTTAAAAATGCTTTGAAAGGTTGCGTTTTATTTTTTAACATTTGAGCCTTAAACAAATTTAATAGATGCTAACAGAGTATTAAAATCAAAATCAGCAAACCAAACTTTTAAAAAATCTCCCAAAAACAATTTGACAAACGGTTGGCTTATCACACAGTAGATTCATTATATCAGTCTTTACGTTAATTTTACTGTATTATTATTATTATTATTATTCAATATACAAATACAATACCAATTTGATTAGTTATTTATTGATTAAACACATTTCGAATTTAAATAATCTAACAAGTAGATTATATTTACACTAACATTAACATTTGAATTCAAAGCAAGATCGACACTTCTTAAAAGTATTTTTTTAAACGGTGAAGTTCAAACTGAATAATATTATCTTTAAACATATTATAGAATAATTTAATGCATGAAAACCTAATCCTCAATATCACACAAAATGCATAAAAGTTGAATTTTTCTATTTCTCAGATCTAAATAGCATCGTCCCAACAAACGGACTCAAGCCGATATCCTCTCTTTACTCGTCCTAAAGGTCGGTTTCTCTGGTTATTAACTCGTCCGTCCTTTGCCCCTGCTTCTGCTCGTCCTGCCGCCACTACAGAACGCAAAAACTCGTCCTGGAAAATTTAAATTGCAGAGTAAAAAATATTTATGGCGGTCTTAACAAAAAATTAAGTGTCTTTTGTATTTTGCATTTTAAATCGAATGGTTTTGGATTGTTCGAAGATAACTCAAATTGAAGGAATAAGAAATGTGGTTTTTTACTTATATCAAAAGTGCGTGAAAAAAAAATCAGTGATAAAATAATAGAAAAATTGTTACTGTTTTAAAACCATATTTTGGGAAAGTTGAGGAGTAGTTTTTCATCCTTTTCTAAATATTGAGAACCAACCAACCTTAGTTTTCTATACATTGAGAACTACCAACCTTAGTTTTCAAAATATTGAGAACTACCAACCTTAGTTTTCTAAATATTGAGAACTACTAACCTTAGTTTTCTAAATATTGAGAACTACCAACCTTTGTATCAAACTCAGTCCCGACATCTGTGAGAACACTCACACTCTCGTTGTAATGACAGCGACGAATATACTCTGATATTAAACCTATATAATTAGATTTAACAAATAATTTTCCTTGAGTAGAGGAAAAAAGTCTATGACAGATTAGAGTGAATAAGAGAAAGAGCAGGGTTGAAATATCGAACTCTGAACAGGACGGAGTAGAAAAATATAAACTTAGAACGAATTGGTGTAATAAATTCTAACAGAGTATTAAAATCAANCAGTAAGAAGTAGAAAAATGTAAATAAGAACAGGAAGAAGTAAATAAATGTAAAATAGAAATGTAATGTAACCACCATCCGCAGAAGCCGCCTCAAAATAATTGGGGAATGGATAACCAGATCAATGCTTGAAATCCTTATTTTGCTAATCTAAATTTATTTTGTATCCAGAAAAGTGTCTAAAATTCAACCAATCAGTGTGGCGAATGCAGAATTTCGAACAACCAATCAGAAGTCGGGAAAATTCTTATTGGTCGGAATCCAATAGGGATATAAAAAAGAGGGGGAAAGAGTGGATGAAGCAGAAATCCCAAGCATTTACTGTGGATATTCAGACTATGCGATTATTTTTAAGGGTATCCCATTTTTAAGTATTCAGCTCGGTACAGAATAGATATATTAAGCCTATATAACAGGACACGAGATGTTTATGTAGAACAGGATGAATTTGATATATTGGTAATAGAAACTGATGAGGTATAGTAATAGATGTAGTGGAATAGATGTAGTGGAATTCACTAAAATAACTGCTATAAAAAGTTTCATCATTTTAAAGATCGGATCTACTTTAAAGTGTTGCAACACCTTAGCCTTTTATTTTGCCAGCCTAACTAACTTTTATTATTCTACAGCCAATAGACATTTACAGTAAACAACTTTAAAGTATTGTTTTTAACGTAGGTTTTTAAGACGTAAGTGGCTAAATACTGAACGATTTTAGCATGAGACTTTGCTAATTTTAGATCACTGAGTTTGGATAACGACGACATTAAGGATATTTATGACTAAAACTAAACAGACAATAAGGATAATTCTGTCTATACCTGATATATCCACGACATCAAGAATTGATCCCATAATCTCCTTATTCTTAGTCTGAGGTACTGAGTTGGTGACAATAACCTGTAAACAAACAAATAAACAATCTCTATCTTGAGTTATCAATATGTAACCTGAGGTATTGAGTTGGTGACAATAACCTGTAAACAAACAAACAAATCTCTACCTTGAGTTATCAATATGTAACCTGAGGTTCGTCCTTACCTTATCCAGGTTGTCTGCTTCACACAGGATATCCTTGGCATCTCCAGAGAACAAACCATGTGCAGCAAACACATAAACCCTCCTACATATACAACGGGTAAGAGAATGTTTTGAAAATAGTTTTGTATTAATCAGATCAAATTAGACTTTTTGGAAAACCTACTCCTAGCCCCCCTACTTGAAGAAAAATACTAAATATGGAATGAAATTAAGACTCGATTCGTTAGATATTTTCTAGTAGTGGTTTATCTGGTGCTTCCTCTCCTAGCTAGCCTGGGAAATCGCTACTAATTCACAGCTAGAAAATGTCTAACGAATCGGATATTAGTTTGTAATGGTCACACCATTTAAATAAAATATATTAAATCAAAATAATTCAAAATTTAAAAAAGACTACATTTCATTAACTGGAAGGGTTCCATAGAAATTTTTTGTATATAAATCTTATATTATGTATTACCCTGCTCCATGGGATTGTAGAACCTCCAGAGCAAGACGTATAGTTGCTCCAGTATCTATCATATCATCAACCAGGATACAATCGAACCCTTTTACCTCTCCAGAGATCTTAAGCAGACGATCTACCATAACTGGAGTCAATTGCAAGTTCTCAGGTGGTTCTATTCCTAAACATTAATTCTTCCGATTGTGATTATTTAAATAAAATATTTCAAAAGTGAAACCTTTTTTGTTCTTACCAGAGAGATGAACAATACTGTCTGTGGCGTCTTCCAGGTCTGGAGATGAGCTAGATCTTGTAGGACTCGTGCTTTTAGAAGATTCACCATTGGAAATCTTCCTGGTCTGAAGAGAGTTCTTGTAGCGGTTGTGGATCATTGCAAACTCCAGTTCTAGGTTAAATAGGGATTTACAGTTTTACAGATATCCTTTATAAACTCCAGTTCTAGTATAAATATAAAGGGGTTTACAGTCTTACAGATTCTTTATAAACTCCAGTTCTAGTATAAATATAAAGGGGTTTAGAGCAGTTTTACAGATCCTTTATAAACTCCAGTTCTAGTATAAATATAAAGGGGTGTTAACAGCCTTACAGGTTCTTATAAACTCCAGTTCTAGTATAAATATAAAGAGGTGTTTACAGTCTTACAGATCCTTTATAAACTCTAGTTCTAGTATAAATATAAAGGGGTGTTTACAGTCTTACAGATCCTTTATAAACTCCAGTTCTAGTATAAATATAAAGGGGTTTAGAGAAGTCTTACAGATCCTTTATTAACTCTAGTTCTATATTAAATATAAAGGTGTTCAGAACATTCTTAAAGATCCTGTAGGAGCTTCATTTCAAGTAAAAATTAAAGGGTTTCCATTGAAACCATCATGACTTGTTAAAGATAAGTCTGATGAATCCATCACCATACCAACAAAATTTAACACAATACATAAACGGGAAAATTTGAAAACCTTAACTTTAAACAATGTTAGGTTTTTTTAGTCGTTTGTTGTATTTCAGAGTTATCTTACCAAGAAAGTTTGCAATCATAACAGATCGTTTAGCACCTCCCTCATCAGGGGCAACGACAATACAATTCTTCCAGTTCGGGATATGATTCTTTATCCAAGTACAAAACAGAGGCTCAACCTAAACCAAAACTAAAGATTCGTCCTTGCAAGTGGAAATGATATAAAGTTCAAAGGCAAAATAAAACTTATGAATTGAGGTAAGCAGATCACTTACCATCTTCCAAACTATTAACAAATGACAGATTATATAAAGGCTTATTTTATTTAGACGAAAGGAGTTGAGTCTTGGCCACAAACTCAAATTTTCTAATCCCTATAATAAATTTAATCCCTGCCAGAATTCATTTTTTGAAATATCTAAGGTCTACGACATTGGGTTGCAAATATATAGGAATTAGAAAATATATAGGAATGCTGTGGCAAAGACTCATTTCCTTTTCATTTGTAGAATTTAAAGATTTTATAAATATAGGTTCTCATATTTGTTAGAACAAGATTGTCATTTTTTTTCAAAAGTTTTTCGACAAAAAAGACGTAGTGAATTACATTAACTGTATCAAAGTTTCTACCTTGAGTGAATCAACAGGAAGATCAAAGAATCCAACTAGTTGAGGTGAATGTGGGTCCAGCATCATGATATGCTCCGCCCCGGCGTTCTGTAACATGTTGGCCAGCAGCTTCGAGGTAATAGGAGATCTTAGAGAAGATTTTTGATCCCCCTGAAACAAGAAATAAAAATTGAGTTATCTGAAAATCACTATTTCAATATTAATTAATTATTTTACCTTTGAATACGGATAGTATGGAGTAATTACTGTTATTGTAGCAGCAGAAGCAAGCTTACAGGAGTTTATTATTAAAAGCAGTTCAATAATAGCATCATTACTGTTCACACCTCCAGTCTGAACAGTTTATTATTAGAAGCAGTTCAATAATAGCATCATTACTGTTCACACCTCCAGTCTGAACAGTTTATTATTAACATCAGTTCAATAATTGCATCATTACTGTTCACACCTCCTGTTAGCATACATCTTTTTTTAAATTTTAGTCGTTTCTAAACATTCAATATAAGATAATTCCTGAAAAGGATTAAAAGTTATGAATAAGGTGAAAATATTACCTGGATTATATAAATATCCCTGTCTCTGACATTGTCGTAAAGCTCAACCTGAGTTTCATTATTCTTGAATTTCCCAAGCTGAACCCGTCCTGTCTTAACTCCAACCTTCCTAGCTATCTGAGCAGTCAACTCTAAACATATCATAGTTAATTGCCGATATTCAGGGACGGGAGACGGAGGTTTTAAGAGAAGGGGGGTGGAGGGAGGAGTTACTAGGAAAGAGATGGGCGTCCTATGAGAGGTGGTTACAGAGTTTCTAGAGTTGATTGAGAGACTGGAGAAGGGAAGACGAATGTTCTGGAAGAAAGAGATGTGGATAAGAAAGAGATGTGGGTACTGTAGATGTCAAGAGGAAGGTTCGGAGATTGGGAAAAGGAGGTCAAGAGGGAGGTCGAGAGGGTGGGAAAAGAAGGTCGAGCGGGTGTAAGAAGGAGGTCCTAGAGAGTTAGATGGAGAAGAATGAGATAATATTTACCTGGACGGGATGATCGTCCAAGGACGGAAGTGTCCGTCTACTTGAAGAAGAATGAGATAATGTTTACCTGGATGGGATGATCCTCCAAGGACGAGAGTATCCATCTACTTGGAGAAGAATGAGATAATATTTACCTGGATGGGATGATCCTCCAAGGACGACCATACTAGATCTGCTGCCACGACGAAAATATTTGGACATTTTATTCTAAAAGTAGAAAGTTTATTTTAAATGTAAATTAACACAGGTACATTTAAATATTACTTATATACTTCTTCAAATTTTCAGAGGAAATATTGTAAACTTGTATTTTGTTCAAAACAGTAAAATGTGAAACTCACTTTCACTGTCCCTTTAAAGGGAGTGTTTGCTTAAAATTTAATCAGATGTTTCTGTAAAGGTAATGTTTCTCAAAATTTTAATCAGATGTTTCTGTAAAGGTAATGTATCTCAAAATTCAATCAGATGTTTCTGTAAAGGTAATGTTTCTCAATATTTCAATTTAGATGTTTCTGTAAAGGTAATGTTTCTCAATATTTCAATCAGATGTTTCTGTAAAGGTAATGTTTCTCAAAAATTCAATCAGATGTTTCTGCAAAGGTAATGTTTCTCAAAATTCAATCAGATGTATCTATACAGGTATTTTTTCTCAAAAATTTAATCAGATACTTTTGTAAAGGTAATGTTTCTCAAAATTCAATCAGATGTTTCTGTAAAGGTAATGTTACTCAAAATTTCTTGCCGGCTGTTCAGAAACAAACCTTTAAATATTTAAACAGCGTATTATGATATATATGAACTTAATTTTGCAGCTAAAATGGTAATATGTGTCCAAATAAACATTAAACATGGGAATCTCGATTCATCATGTCTGTGGTCTTCCTTCTATGTACCTTTAAACATTATGATAAAAATAGATTGGAAACCCAGCTCTGCCTACCCACTAAACTTTACCTTTATAAGTAAACCTACACAACTTAAACCTTTTAAACCAATCTAAGAACGTAAACCGTTGTTCAACGGATGAGTTAAGATCAGACATGCACACAAACAATCAGCGATTACTACTTTATATAAATAAATATAAGATTTAGTTTTTTTAGTTTTATTTAACACATTGCAGTTTGGACAACAATTTAAATACAGTGGTCAGCGATTATATCAATACAATAATGACGACCTCTTATTAATAATGCTTTGAACCCTCGAGCAGTTTTCAAATTAAAAGTTTACAAGAAAAAAAGAAGCTGTTAGTTGACAGCTTCTCTTTGTATGTGAGATGATGTGTCTCTGCTGTTTGAAAGATTGGAAGAATACAACCATTTCATGTTTCTCCGTCAATTTTAAAGATGCAACAGAAACATATTTTGGAAATGTCTAACAAAATGTTTTCGAACTTTTTTACATAGTGTCCCAAAAACATGGGAATTCATTGACGACTTTTATATAGTCTTCGATCTATGCGGCATTTTTTCATGAACACATTGCAGTTTTCCAGCTTAAACATCTAATATCAAAAAGCCCTGGTCTCGAGATTTGACATCACTTTGACAACACTTTTTATACGGTTTTCTATGGACAGCTAATGATATCGCGCCCTGAATAGTGGTGTACTTAAATGTCTCAAGTCCGTGCTTTACTCTATCAGCTTTATTCTCTACTGTAAATACCACACAAACTCTATACTCTCTACCTCTACAGGTTTACAATGTCCAAATTTAACGAGAGTCTGTATTGAACTAACTATATTTAGATATAAAAAGGTACAGGTAAATCGATCAATTGACCGCAACAAGGACCAAGTACTAAAAATAACTTGTATTTGAGAGTTACAAAGATACAATGAAATAGGTTAATATTTTTATGTGGCGCTCATTAGTCACGGGATTATAGCCGTGTGGATCATGTCCTAGTTGAAACATTGATCAATTGAATGCTAGTGTCCATATTGACATCGATAGTTAAGCTTGCGTCCCTGTGTGGCATGTAGAGCCTGGGATTCAGTCCTGGCGGAGTTTGAAAGCGGACGGACTGTACCTGGATAGATACGTTTCGAGACCTTGTTATGGAGTAGGCGTTTACTATATATACATTGCATACATTTAAATACTCTTCTACTTTTATTTCCCTTCCATATTTTAGTAAATGTTCAGGGTCAATTTTCATAACAACGAACATTATATTCTTATTTCCTCCTGCGAACCTTAAGAAATGAAAAATGACAAATCAAAACTTTAAAATACAAAATTTGTGCTAACGTTGAATAACGTTATTTAAATTATATTTTTGACGTTATATGACGTTCATGGGAGGTTACAAAAAGAAAAATTGATTTTCATTTTTTCAATTATAAACCAGAACTGAAAACTGTTTTTTAATACACAGTACACATATCTACAATCCCCACAGATACATTTATCTAAATATTGCTTGTCTATTCACAAAATCTGAGCCAAATATTTTTAGAACCATTGTGATCAATCAATTGTTCACATAGATCCAGACTGCTATAAAAAGTTGCATTGATTTTTAAGACTTGGTCGACTTTTAAGTGTTCCAACGTCTTGGCTTTTCAGTTTACATGACTTACTAACTCATACTTTTTCGTAGCAGCAGACATGTACATTTTAGAAACATAAATCATTTTGTCCAAGTAATTTTTGCGTTAGAACTTGCAACCTTTAGATTACTGTGTGTTAATTATCATTGTTAATGTAATTACTAAAGCTTGGTTAGTTGTTAGTGAAACATATTGAAATTAAGATTTGATGGATCTTGATTTCTTAGCGAATTAAGATTAAATCTAATTAATTAATGAATTTGAATGAATTGTCCCCAAATTTGAAATAAGATGATTAATAAACCAAATTCAGAATATTCCTAAATATTCCGTAGATATATATTTACATATATACATTAACATACAGGGTAAGTACAAAAATTGTATGTATATGTCAAATGCCAATCTTTAGGATGAATGATCAAAGAATGAAAGAATTAACACCAATTTTCTAAAAACAAAACTAAAGGTGAAAACTCAAAAGTTAAAAAAAATGTAATCCTACCATCTTTGTAATAAACCAAGACATGCATATATGTATATGTTCCCTCTGGCCGGCCAACCGGCTGGACCGAATGGGCTAAATTTTTTTGTGGACACTCATGGTTAGCCTGGGGGTGACCAAGGCTAACAAAATTTAGTTCAAATTTTTTTTTCTATGGGATACGCCGGGCCCTTGAGCTAGTATAAAATAAAGATGTTTAATGTATAAGAAAATATTGTTGCTATGCAGGAGATGAAAGAGTACACGGGTGATCAAAGCATGTATCCCAGACCTGAATCAACTCCAGAGTCAACATGATACCAACATTAAATAAAACTCTATTTTTCATTCAAACTGTGAAAAACTTTTTGATTAAATGTAGCAAGATTGTTTTAGCTCTATTTACAAAAAAATAAATATAAAAACTGAAAACAGAAGGGAGTAGAGATCATTACAAAAATTGTATAAATGCTTAACTGCGTCACAAAATATGTGCACCAGCTGCAACAAATGCAGCTGCTGTGGATTCAGTTATTTTAGTTTTACGCAAAAAATACGCAGTATTTAAACGCCCTTGATTCCAGATAGACATGGATTATCATTAAACTCACAATTATCAAATTTATCAAATTTAAAACACAGAAATTCACAATTGGTCAAAACAGAAACAATATCTTAATTTCTCAGATAGATTTTTAAATCTAGTATTTCATTCACCAAAATTGTTCAATTACAGCGCTATCGATATACATTTATAATTTCGCTCAAACATTGACAAACATGTTTATTGTAATACACGTAAGCGCTATTTTCTAATGTAAAACTGTTTGAATTAAACTTGGACAACATTCTGATCAAATCCAGGGCCGGCTGGATTCTATTATTTATGCTTTTAAATCTCTAGTCATGAATGTGAAATGTACACTATAATAAATAGTTCAATCACGAAGATGGATTTTCACGATAAATAACAAAATAATTTGTTAAAATTTAATTTGATCACTTGAATGACAGCTTCGAGCTCTGGCTGGCTCATTCACCCTAGGAAGCGTAGCAGCAACTAGACCTAGACCTACTATACTCTGAGTAACAAGTTTTCAATATTGAATCCTGATTTCTAGTGCAGCGTATCCTGGTTTTCAAGTACCCCAGCAGGGATAGGGTTAATAGATTATTATAAATTCAACGACTAGCCAACTAAGCATATTAGTTCAGTGTAAATATACAATACTCTTAAAGTAGTAAACCTTGCTTCCCTCATGCTTCAACGAAATGTTAAATTTTATCTTTTTACTATTGTCAGAAAATATTTAAATACAAATAAAATGTTAATGTCCTAAAAGGATTAAAATGCAACAAATATATAAACAAATACTTAAAAATATGCTTTCACGGCGCTTCGCGTCCATCTTTTATTTGAATTTTTAATTATTAAATTATTAAAACAAAAGAATTTCGCGGATTTAATCATATTATATTATTTCAAAATAATCGATTTTTTTTGACAAATTTTTGTAACTCAGGGTTTATGTCTATACAGGAACTGTCTATACATAAACTGTATCTATAGTTTAGGGTTTATGTCTACACAAGACTGTATCTATAGCTCAGGGTTTATGTCTATACAGGAACTGTCTATACATAAACTGTATCTATAGTTTCGGGTTTATGTCTACACAGGAGCTGTATCTATAGCTCAGGGTTTATGTCTATACAGGAACTGTCTATACATAAACTGTATCTATAGTTTAGGGTTTATGTCTATACAGGAACTGTATCTATAGCTCAGGGTTCATGTCTATACGGAAACTTTATTAATTGTTCATTTCTAATCATGAACGTTATAGTAAGGGTTCATGTCTATACGGGAACTTTATCAATTGTTCATTTCTAATCATGAACGTTATAGTTCAGGGTTAATGTCATTTATCAATACAGAAAATGTATAAGATTTATGTTTAAACTTGAACTTTGTAGTTCAAAGTTTATGGCAACTCAGAAACTTACGCTCACGCTTTATGAACAGGTTACCTTTTACTTAAATTAATCAAAAATGTGCTTTGCTAAATTTTTACGCATTTTCAGGATAATTATAATCTAAATGTGTAATCATATACATCAAGATTTAACCTAGTATGCCTTTTTCTCTTCTTATGTTGATCTAATTGTACAGGCTTCTGCAAGTATTCACCTTGACTGAGTAACTGACCATTTACTGGATGGATATGTCTGAGGAGAACACCGCCAGCTCTGTCAGGTACTAAGAGAATACTTACTAGATCAATCATATAGCTAGCTCTATAAAGTACCAAGAGAATACCTTCTAATTCTATCAGGTACCATGAGAATACCTACAGGGTGTCCCAAAAAACATGGGAATTCAGTGACGAATTTGATATCGTCTTTGTTATGAATTAGAATTGTAATACCTAATTTCAAAACCCATAATAATATTATGTCTGCTAGAATTTATTTTATGAAATTCTAAAAAACTGTAAAGATGTGTTTATAATGTCTCCGCAAGATGAACAGTGAAGACGGACAAGTTTACTCTGTATACTGCAATTTTCTTGTTTTACTAAGTACAACCGTATGCAGTCAAAACATAAACAAACAAAATGTGAACATTGCAGACGAAACTTTTACAGATTACAGTTTTCTGAGTAGGTATCACTATACTAAATCAAAGAATTATTTAAAAAGACGATATCGAATTCGTCACTGAATTCCCATGTTTATTGGGACACCCTGTACTAGATCTATCAGGTACCAGGGGAATACCTATTAGGTACCAAGAGAATACCTACTAGATCAATCATATACCAGGAAAATACCTGCGAGCTCTATAAAGTACCAAGAAATAACTTCTAATTCTATCAGGTACCATGAGAATACTTACTAGATCTATTAGGTACCATGAGAATACCTACTAGATCTATCAGGTACTAGGAGAATACCCACTAGATCTATCAGGTAATAGGAGAATACCTGCTAGCTCTATGAGGTACCAAGAGAATACCTACTAGATTTATTAGGTACCATGAGAATACCTACTAGATCTATTAGGTACCATGAGAATACCTACTAGATCTATTAGGTACCATGAGAATACCTACTAGATCTATAAGGTACCAGGAGAATACCTACTAGATAAATCAAATACCAGGAGAATACCTGCTAGCTCTATGAGGTACCAAGAGAATACCTTCTAATTGTATAAGGTACCATGAGAATACCTACTAGATCTATTAGGTACCATGAGAATACCTACTAGATCTATAAGGTACCAGGAGAATACCTACTAGATCAATCATATACCCTGAGAATACCTGCTAGCTCTATGAGGTACCAAGAGAATACCCTCTAATTCTATCAGGTACCATAAGAATACCTACTAGATCTATAAGGTGCTAGGAGAATACCTACTAGATCAATCATATACCAGGAGAATATCTTCTAGCTCTATCAGGTACCAAGAGAATACCTTCTAATTCTATCAGGTACCATGAGAATACCTACTAGATCTATCAGGTACTAAGAGAATACCAATTAGATCTATAAGGTACCATGAGAATACCTACTAGATCTATCAGGTACCATGAGAATACCTACTAGATCTATCAGGTACCATGAGAATACCTACTAGATCTATCAGGTACTAGGAGAATACCTACTAGATCTATTAGGAGAATATCTTCTAGCTCTATCAGGTACCAAGAGAATACCTTCTAATTCTATCAGGTACCATGAGAATACCTACTAGATCTATCAGGTACTAGGAGAATACCTACTAGATCTATTAGGTACCATGAGAATACCTACTAGATCTATAAGGTACCAGGAGAATACCTGCTAGCTCTATGAGGTACCAAGAGAATACCTTCTAATTCTATCAGGTACCATGAGAATACCTACTATATCTATTAGGTACCATGGAGAATATCTGCTATGATCTATCAGGTACTAGGAGAATACCTACTAGATCAATCAAATACCAGGAGAATACCTGCTAGCTCTATGAGGTACCAAGAGAATACCTTCTAATTGTATAAGGTACCATGAGAATACCTACTAGATCTATTAGGTACCATGAGAATACCTACTAGATCTATCAGGTACTAGGAGAATACCCACTAGATCTATCAGGTAATAGGAGAATACCTGCTAGCTCTATGAGGTACCAAGAGAATACCTTCTAATTATATCAGGTACCATGAGAATACCTACTAGATCTATAAGGTACTAGGAGAATACCTACTAGATCAATCATATACCAGGAGAATACCTACTAGATCTATAAGGTACCAGGAGAATAGCTACTAGATAAATCATAAACCAGGAGAATACCTGCTAGCTCTATGAGGTACTAGGAGAAATCATTAAATATACCATACGAAGACTACTCATTTGAGGCAGAATTCAGAATTTCAAACATGATTTTGTTTCATTTAAAGATTTCAGGTGGTTATTAAAGTCTCATTCTTTGTGAGTAACCCTGTAGAAATATATTTTTTTAGAGATCTTCGTCTTGTTCTTCTAATCATCTCAACCTGTTGTATCCTTCTCTCTGTTATCCTTATTTTAACCCTCACAGGTTGGGTTCTGCTCTCTAGGTTCTCCAGGCTCTCTGGATTCTCCGGGTCCTTACCCCCCTCTTCAACGAAGAACCCTGAAGCATCAAAGAGTAAAAGTGTAACTTTTTCTAACATCACAAGGAATACTAATTTGTCCGAAAAAGTATAAAAATTAAAGAGCTAAAGAAAGCCACCAGAGATATTTCAGTGTTGACAACCAATCGTCTACTAAAACTAGTGATTGAACCACGGTTCGTTTAATTGAAAACTTTTTAAAAACTTCCGTTATTTCAAAACTATATTCTGTTAAAGTTTGCATTTATCAAACTTTGCAATAATATTTATCCTCAGAGAAAATAGAATGGAAAACGAACTATAAAAAACGATTGTTTTGAAACAATCGTTTTTGGTTCGTTTCTTGCATATCATACCTATAAGGATCAAAATTTGGCAAAGTGCAAAGAAAGAAAATGTTGAGAATTGAACAATTTTTTATTGAATAGAATCTTGCCCACAAAAGTTAATTTTCTAATCCATATATCTTTGCAATCTGTAAACCTTTGATATTTCAAACTTGGATTATTGAACTAACAGAATTCAAAGTTTGAAAGGTCTACGTTATTAAATTGCAAAGATATAGGGATTAGAAAGTCAGAGTTTGTGGCAAAGATCTCAAAGAAGGTTTATGGTCTGATAAACAATCAAAATTGAATAATTTGGCCTAGAAAAAATGTCAACATTTAAAATTTCTAAAAATTCTACCAATTTAAACAGAATTTTTTAAAATTAATACAATGAAGACGACTTTTTTACTTGAGTTTTGATTTCTAACAAGCTTTTTTCAAATTACAAGTTTGCCAGTAAACAAAGAGAGGCTGCTAATTGACAGCTTCTATTTGTTTCCCTGTTTATGTGTATCCATACTATTTGAAAGTTTGGTAGAAATCAAAAATTAGAAACGAAAGTCGTCTTCATTGTGATGATATTTACGACGACGACTGAATTACGATTTACGATTACGAATTAATTTTGAATATTTTCTCTAAAACTGTAATTTAAAAATAAATAAATATGATAAAATAAATATAGAATAAAAGTTTCTTTTTAAAGCTAGATAATTCAATATTGTTATTCCAAAGACATGAATTAGATTTTTTCTTTCTTTCCTAAACCTTGTTTGTTTAAATCGTAAGTTACTTATTGTTTAAAGCGCCAATTCATTTATGTGAGTATAATTTGTACGAGAAATCAAAGTTTCAACTCTAAAATTTTTCTTTATCAAGATAAATAAAAACAGATATTTGTGAACAAGTATTCTAAGAATAAAAACAGATATATGTGAACAAGTATTCTAAGAATAAAAACAGATATATGTGAACAAGTATTTTAAGAATAAAAACAGATATATGTGAACAAGTATTCTAATAATAAAAAAGTAAGTATTATTTTTCTTTAATTAAAATAATTGCATTAAAAGCAATATCCCATCAAAGCATGAATTTCAAGAGATAGATTTATTAAATATAAAATATCCATTAATCACAGGAAAACAGGGGAATGATGACACGGAAGAGTGACCTCGTCAAAACTCAATTGACAGGTCTCCCTCGATTAAATGATATCTGATAAAAAAATACAATACAAAACAAATATACGAGCAGGGAAATATCCGACGGGAATAAGTGTCTATCTTTTTAACCGACGTGAGCGTGTATCCGCCGGGGCCTTGGGGTTCCTCCTCCACCACGGCGGCGGGTGGAACTACAACAGCCGGAGTCTCTTCGCCATTTTTCTCCAGCGGTTTTTCTTGCATGATTGCTGGAACCTTGGAGGTGATTTCGGTGGGAAGTTTTGTTTTAACTTCCTTTAATTTAGTTTCTAGGTTCCCGCCGAAACTATGTAGTTGCCCGCCGAGAGTTCCCGCCTTCTCTGGATGCTTTAAATCCAGGGTAGTGGAGACAATACGGAGAGAATCGAGAATTGCATTCTCCCGTTTCTTCTTGTTGTTCTCCGGGTCCTGAACCCACCGGGCGAGGTAGTTCACCACCATAAATTCGAGAAAGGACGCGTAGATGAAGAACATGCAGATTCCGTCCCACATGTTCATCGCAGTGAGGTTGGAAACGACCGGGAGCTTGGACCTGAACTTGTTAGAGGTTGTGAAGAAGTTAAGCATGGTGGTGACCCCCAGCATGACCCTGGAGGGCTCGGCATTCCACTCTATCCAGAAAGTTACGAAGGAAGATGTAACGAGGATCAACCCAGGAACAAATACTGAAAGTTAACAGAGTTAAAAACCCACTTTTAAAACAGAAGTTATTGCAAAAACTATTTCTGAGAAATGTATTAAGTTAAACACTTTAAATTTGGCTTAGAATGAAAGACCACATGCTTTTAATATGGTTATTTTGATTATTTTTAAAATAGTCCTTTAAAATGAATTGTACCATGACAAAAAGATGTTGATAAGTAAATCTAGTATCGAATTCTTGAATTTCTCATTTGCAGGAAAAGGGCAAAAGATACCGGATCAGTAAAACTTGTTCCGAGGATTCAAGAAAAAGAAACATTTTTAAAGAATGTTTCTCAGCTATTTTATGTCCAACTTGAATTAGGAATACTCAAATCAAGAATTGCAAAACAGGATCGAGACCTCTGGGTTAGATGATACAAAAAAATTAAAAGGTAATATTATGCTTTGGAAAAAAATCAGAGAATCAATTTCAATGATGTATAAAATAAGAAAATCATTAATGTTTGAAGGATTATAAGAAGATCAAGAAGATTAGAGTCAAGATACGGAGTCTGAAGGATCATAAGAAGATTAGAGTTGAGATATAGAGTTTAAAGGATCATAAGAAGATCAAGAAGATTAGAGTCGAGATATAGAGTTTAAAGGATGGCGGGAACAAATTAAGACGAGAGGGAATGGATTTGACAGAATTTTATTTAAAGAATTTTTGTAATTATAAAGTCAAGTCAAGATTTTAAGAAAACGAGATTTAAATAAAAGAATTAACTCAAGATTTAAAATATAGAATTAAGTCAAGTTTCAAGCATGGTTTGATTTAAATAAGAAAGAGAAAAGTCAAGATTTGAAAAATAAAACTAAAGATCTGAAGAATAGAAGAAAGTCAAGAGTTCAGGATAAGAGACCAGGTTTGAAGATTAAGTGTAAAAGCCAATATTTTAAAAATATACAAAAAGGGAGGAATTTGTTCATGCAACTGTAAGTTCAATACTGAAAGAATATGATTTAAAATTTAAAGAAATGAAGCCTTTGTCACAAACTCTGATATTCTAATCCCATATATTTGCAGCCTAATATGGCAGACCTTAGATATTTCAAACTATGAATTCTATTCGATCAAATATTATAAGTTTAAAATATCTGGTTAAAAAGATATTAGAAAATTTGAGTTTGTGGCAAAAACTCCATTCCTTTGGCTGTAGAATGACTTAAAGAGTAAGTTTTGTATTTCACCATATATTGTAATTCTGTCTGGTTTCTGGGAACAGGATACAGTCTTGATTTTTATACTCAAAAATAGCATCATTTGTCTTCAATTTAGGCTACCTCAAATATTTTATTTACATAAGGACGTTTAAATTTTAAAATTTTAGTCAAATTATATCTTGCTTAAAATAAAATAATACATTTTTGTTTAAAAAGAAAGTGTAGAATGTACTGCTCGACCGGAAAGCCTGACTAACGAAACATTCTTGAAAATTCTTGGAAAAATTCAGAATTCAAGTTGGGCAATGTTCCTTCGCTTTCAGATTGTTAACTAGAAGGTCAAGAGGATTACTCTCAAGGAAAAGTATTTTTCAAACCATATGTTCAGTTTGGGTTCTGGGTGTATTAGTAAACACGAGACCTGAGTGACGATTTAAAAATCGTCTCAGACCAAGACGGTGTTTTCCGTTAACACGAACATTTGAAATAGTTAATATCAAAGAAATTAAGATATTTACTCTGCCATTTCCGGTATATTTAAAAGTAACAGAAACATTAAGAGATTTCTTTATATTCTAAATAAAAGGCGGGTCCGTCCTAATATACGATTTTTTGATCAATTTTCTACATGACTACTTATTTTTAGGAAAATTAATATTATTTTTCTTGTATTATTTTAGGGTTAGGTAAGATTAATACAATTTCTGGGTCCAAAAATCCTTATAGGCTGCAGTGATAACCAGAAAACTTTGGAATATGAAGTCGACTTTTAGATATTCCAATGATCCAGAGGCACAGCAGTTGTGTAGTGTAAACAGTCTCATTTCACTTAATAAGTGATAAAATGACTGCAAAGATTTGTAACAACATCAAATGCACTTTAACATTGCTTTAATATCGTCTTCTTATTCTACAGTTGCATCTGGTAATCACTGTTTCACCATCAATAAACATTTGAAACCCCTCAGTTCATCTATTAGACTATTAATCATCGAAAATTAAAGAGCAATTTTAAGTCGTCTTCTAATTCCCATATATATTGTGACTCCTGCAGTGTACCTGTAGTGTAATAAAACCATTTATCTCTGGTGAAGTGAAGTTGAACCTGAAACAGAAATATAAAATCAAAGGGATACGTTGCTGGAACAGAAATATAGGATTAAAGGGATACGTTGCTGGAACAGAAATATAGGATTAAAGGGATACGTTGCTGGAACAGAAATATAGGATTAAAGGGATAAGTTGCTGGAACAGAAATATAGGATTAAAGGGATACGTTGCTGAAACAGAAATATCGGATTAAAGGGATACGTTGCTGGAACAGAAATATAGGATTAAAGGGATACGTTGCTGAAACAGAAATATCGGATTAAAGGGATATGTTGATGAAACAGAAATATAGAATTAAAGGGATACGTTGCTGGAACACAAATATAGGATTAAAGAGATACGTTGCTGGAACAGAAGAATAGGATTAAAGGGATAAGTTGCTGAAACAGAAATATTAAATTAAAGGGATACGTTGCTGGAACAGAAATATAGGATTAAAGGGACACATTGCTGGAACAGAAATATAGGATTAAAGGGATACGTTGCTGGAACAGAAATATAGGATTAAAGGGATAAGTTGCTGGAACAGAAATTGTTTAAAGGGGATTATAGCAAACAAAGAGATATATACATAGACTCTATCAATTTAAATCTAATAGTAAAAATGTATTGTGATTGCATATATTTTTTTTGATAAATAATTCGGTGAATTTCGATTAAAACAGCAAACAGCTGATTTAGATATTTGATTGTATACATTTTTCAAAAGCTAACATTTAAAGAAATACGAGAATCATAATCTGTTATTTAAATTCAGAAAACTAGGATGTCTCATTCGTACATATGATCCGAAAAAGGTATAAAAGGTTCTTTTGTGAATCACACATGCAACTCTAAAACTGAAAATTACGTGTTCAGTCCCTTTCAGCTTCTAACTGAACCTATATGTTTCGGATCGGAGCTGAAGCTTAGATTTTGTAAATATTTTCTGTTAGAGAGGATGTAATTGTAAATATCCAGCTCAGGAATTTATACAAAAAAATGAGGTAAACACCGAATATCACAAGGACAAGTTTCAACCTCATGACATGATTTAACGAAGCTTCTCCAGTTTTCCTATTCTTTTCTTCTCATTGCTGGATAATGTGTTTTAGTTATTTTAAGTTAATGAAATCTGGAAATAATTGCCGGAAACATTTCAACAAAGGATCAGAACACTTTTTTTTCATATTGAACGAAAAAATTGAACATTTTTATAATGGGGTTATTTCAAACCCCGATTTGTAGGGTAGGATCTAATATTAAGAAAGAAAAAATATTAAAAATGGTCATTGTAAATTATGAAATAATTTACACCTATATTTTTTTTCATTATCAAATGATTTCTAAGTAAGATTTAATGTAAAGCCCGGATAAGAACGTACCTTGAGACAACTAAAATCTCCTCTCCACTCCTCCCCTTCGCAAACCAAGGTCTCGTTATGAATGAGGTAAGCGTTGTGCTGTTTGAGAAGGGGTGAGAGAACAATACTCCCAGCTGAAGAATCATCTCCTCTCATTAATCCTGACCAGTGAAACTCCATCTGACTCCGGGTTGACGAGACGCTCTCGATAGAGAAAGTACACATAGGACTGTCAAACGGAAATATGTGAAGATCTCCGACACAGTTTAGAACTAGATGACGTCTCATTGTGTAAAATATTGTTCCATTCTTGTAAACACGGAGAGAAACCTCGGTTGGGTTGATACTCTTGTAGGATCCGTGTTTGATGATGTAGAGGTCAGGTTTCCAGATCTTTGTATGATGGGCTAGAGCGTTCAGATAGGGTCGGTTCCGAGCATCTGAGTAGGTTAATCTGAGGTTGCAATCCTTGATCCTGTAATTCCTTTTTGAAATTGTTTTACATTTTAGGAATACAATTTTTTTGCAGTTTTAGGCATAAAGGAGTTTGTTGTGGTAGTTTAGAAGAATTAAGATTTATAAAGATTTTTCCATTATTACATTGAATTTATCAGAATAGATAGAGAGATGTAAGTTGAATGGGGAAGATATATAGATAATAAATCAAGAATGTACATCATCCGTCTATAGGAAACATAAATAATTGATCAGGGAAACAAAACTTTTTGATCATTGTTATATGAAACATGGATCAAGAACACATTAATCATGGATCAAGACTATAAAATAACGGATCAAGGATGCCCTTGCCTCGGATCCGTCCACCTCTGATGCATGAGAAATTCTACTTCATAGTGAAGACTGGACTCGTCCGGGGACGACAGGGAGAGAAGGACGACACTAACATTTACATGAAGAGGCTTAATATCAGGTTTAATCCTACGATCGTATCTTTGAGAATGAACGAGACGATCCAGAATCTGTTTATCATTGAGGGATTCACTAAAGGTTGAAGTGCTCTGGGAGAGAGAGGAAGAGCAGGAGAGGAGAAGAAAAAGGATAGAAACTAAACTAATCCTCATTCCGAGCACTGAAAATATTAATCTTTTATTTGTGATTCAATTTTTTAAAGTACGAATGAAAGGCCGTGAAATAAAGTTAAGCTTACCAATGTATCCCATGCCAAATTGTTCCCGTGCCGGAGCATATTCTTGAGGAGAAGAATCACTATAAAACTCATAATACTCTCATGATCACCGGTAACCCAGGTTTATCATACTATCAGGGACCATAGTAAGGATAGGTGTAGAGAAGAGAACTGAAGGTTTGAGGAGTTCTATATCTCTGACCGGAGTAAGCTGGAACCTTGCCAAAAGTCCGGTCTCGTCCCATTCAAATTAAACCTATGAATAATAAATTCAGCTTGTAAATAAAACTGTTAAATGACAGGGCACTGCATACGGTACAGTTGAGTGCACATGAACCCTGTACATAAACCATCCCAGGGAGCATATTTTCACACCCTGGGAACTGTTGGAAAGGTTTGAGTTTTTTTTAAAGCTTTAAATGGGAGAAGGTTAGGGAGAGAGGGACGGATGGGGGCTTTCCCTGTTACTCCGGGTAGGTGTTCTAACAGAGATAGTTTGCAGCAGATACTTCACCAGTTACTTTCTAATCCTTGACAGGGATTTCCGGTGTTTAAGTTCTAATTCTTAATCCTAGATATCTACAGTTTCTCAATCCTTATCAGTCCCACACTTCTAGTCTTAATAATCCTTGCCTGTCTTTATCCTTATAATCCTTAAATCCCATTTCAATATCTGCTGTGCTATCTTTAATTCCTTCATCGATCTTTGACATTTTACTTCTTACTTCCGAAACTTATTATTCTTACTTCCAAAACTTATTGTTCTTACTTCCGAAACTTAATTTCTTACTTCCGAAACTTAATTTTTTTACTTTCAAACTTAATTTCTTACTTTTACTTCTGAATCTTAATTTTTACTTCCGAAACTAAATTTCTTACTTCCGAAACTTATTGTTCTTACTTCCGAAACTTAATTTCTTACTTCCGAAACTTAATTTTTTTACTTTCAAACTTAATTTCTTACTTTTACTTCTGAATCTTAATTTTTACTTCCGAAACTAAATTTCTTACTTCCGAAACTGAATTTCTTGATTCCGAAACGTAATTTTTTACCTATATTTAGTCCATCACAAAGATCTAATTTTGAATATTTTTAGATTTATGAAGATTTTACAATGACTGATATAGTACAGAGTGAGTGGGTTGTGGATCCCAAAAATTCAAATGTTATGATTCGTAGAGTCAGTCTCAGGCAAACTGGAGAACCTGCATACTGAATATTGTTTTAATTAATCCAAAATAGTTTTTTGTTTCTTATTTATTATTATTTAATTCCCATTTTACGAAAGATGATTTTTATTTCGTTGATCCGATCTGGATCAGAAAATATTTATTTTTAAAACCAAAGTGTTTTTGTTTTTGTTTGAGAAAACTGAATATTCACCTAAAATTAAAAATTTTAAAAATCTTTATATCTTTGCAATCTGATGTCTTAAGAATACTAAGTTTTCTGTGTGCTTTGCACCCCTTTTTCTATTAATAATTTAAGCTTCTAACTGTTGCTCTTCCAGTTGCCATTTTTCTTTGTAAATCGTATTTTGCCGATTTTTCTGAGTAAATTGCGCATTTTCAAAGACAAAAATGTCACCTTTTTTCCCCGGGCAAAGTTTTCATCTTTAACCATCCATATAAACCTTCCCTGAACTTTGCATGAGGTTATGTGAATTAGGGTCTGATCGGATAAGACATTTAATGAAGTTTATTTGAATACAAACAAACAAAGTATATATTTACATGATGGTTATAACCAATATGATGTGTCCTCCCGAGTCAAGCGACCCTTTATTCAGTCTCACATTTTCAGTATTTCTTTTCATTCCCTTCAAAAATTCAATTTCTTAGCTTTAGAAATTTCTTCCAAAGAGCATTGTTCTTTTATTTAAAAGTGGAACAATGTTTGTAATATTTAAAAATATACTTTGAGTCCTGTGATGACCTGATTTGGCTTGAATATATGACTCCTGCCTGACTGCTTGCAATATTGTTGTTCATTTAAAGCATTATTCACAAATTGAAACAGGTCGCCCTAAATTACACTAATCTGTATTTTTATTTTCATTTTTTCCACTCCCAGTTTTATGATAAAGATTCGTCATTACAGGAATCTTTTTTGTAAACAGAAACTATAATGACGTCATAATTATAATTGCTGAGCAAAACATTTTGCAAATCCAAAAATCTGCAGAATTTGTCAAATTATGCAAAATGCGAAAAACATTGATTTTGAAAATAACCTTTAAAATGAAAGCTCGTTTGTATAACAAAAATAAAATCTATTCTTGGTAATTTAATATACAGGGTGTTCCACGAAACATAACAGAAGCAAGACGACTTTAAGGCCGTCCATTTATTAAAGAAGGCCAATATTGTCGAAATCTGAACAAAATTCTTCTTTTCTCCGGTTATTTTTTAAGCACAAAAAGGCATACCAAATGGGTTATTTTGTGATTATCAAGAGTTTTAGTTCTTAAAATTATTTTACGAATTAATGTCGCAAATTATTTCAAAGATCAGAGACGACCTTTAAGTCGTCTTGCTACTGTCATATTTAGTGGCAAACCCTATAAATGTATACATGTACTACTAACTTTGAATTTCTTGGTAAAGAAAATATCGCGTATCCATATTTTTTATTTCTATTCTTTTTGTAATCGGGCGACAACAAAAACTATTTGTTTATATCTATTTGGTTTAATTTTTGTCCCGTTTGATGCTGTATCTCCAGTAAGGAACGAGAGTACTGGGACAGGGTTAATCATGAGGGAGAATCAGTTTTCTCTGTAGCTAGGTAAGAAAAAACTTAAGTAAACAAGGATCCTGGAGAAATCCAGATTAACTCTGTGACTGGAGATATAATCCAGGCTCCGGAGATTTCCAGGTATATGTGGTCCCGTGAGAAATACAGGTAAACGTGGTACCTGGAGAAATCCAGTGGAGTAAGATTCCTAAAAATATCTAGATAAAACCAGGTTCTTCAAAAATTCAGGTAAACGGTGTTCCTGGAGAACCCCAATGGAGCAAGATTCTTGGAAATATCAAGATGAACCAGGTTCTAAAAAAATCCAGGTAAACGTGGTTCCTGGAGAACCCCAGTGGAGTAAGGTTCTTGGAAATATCTAGATGAACCAGGTTCTAAAAAAATCCAGGTAAACATGGTTCCTGGAAAAATGGAGGTAAAAGTTGTTTATAGAGAAATCCAGTTGAGTATGGCTCCTGGAAAAGTCTAGATGTATCCTACAGATGTACCAGGTTCTGGAGAAATCTTACTAATCATGGTTCCTGGAGAAATCAAGGTAAACAAGGTTCTAGAATTTAATCCAAGTAAACATTGTTCTTGAAATGTATAGGTAAACTACATTCTGGGGAAATAGATGTAAAAAAGGTGGACTCTAGAGAAATTAAGATAACATAGATTCTAGAGAAAAAAAACATAAATAAGCTCCAAGAGAAATAAAACATAAATAAGACTCTAGAGAAATTTAGATAACATAGATTCTAGAGAAGAAAAAAAACATAAATAAGATTCTAGAGAAAGAAAATAGAGAAAATAAGATAAACAAGGTTCTAGAGAATATAATTAGATAATAATAAATTAATTAATTAATAATTAATTAATCAATATAAATAATAAGATAATTAGGGCTTTTATAGCGATTCAGAAAAATATTTAATGTAGATACTTTCTCAAGTATTTATGTATATTTTGCAAATGATCATTTAAAGATTCGTTTGAAATCTGCCAACTTTGATAAACCTTTGCCTGATCAAAAGATATTAATCTAGGCATTAAGACCCTGAAATTCAGAGAATAAAAAAACAATAAAAAACTACTTTTCAGGATGTTTGAAAACCAGGAGAAGGTGAACCCGTCCCAACCTGTCCATAAACCTGGGAAACTGAACCGACAGTCCTTTGTAGAAATATTCTCTAATGCAGGGTAGGAAATTCTTTTTACAAAATTGTGTTTATTAATTATTCTAATCCTTTACTAAATTATTTTTATTTCTTATTATTGCAGTGAGATAGCTAAACCTGAGATAAAGACAGGGCGGATTGATGTTCAAGAGTCTGTGTGGGAGTTAGGACTGGAGCAGGAGAGAGAAACTAAACCCAATATCAGAGTTGGAAAACTAAATACACAAAACCTTTTCCAGAACCAGGAGGAGAGAGAGGAAATGATTAAACCAAAGGAAAGGATACAAATTTTAACATTTTTTTTCCGGGAAGAGAAATCGTATGATAAATTCTATGAGTTTTCAAGACAAGAAATTTGTAACCAAACCAAGACAACAATGAATTTAGGCAATTGCACAAATGTGCTAATCGAAATATTTAAGATATTCATTTGTTTTTAAAATATGTTCGTCGAATTTGAGTAAGGGGTTGACTTTGTATCCTTCCATCAGGCGAATATAGGAAAGTTGGATCCACACCAGATCTTTAATTCGAAACAGGAGAACAAGGAGAACGTAAAGGAGGTTCCAAGAATAGGACGGATAAATCCAGAAACCGTTTTCCAACATAGTTTCTCCGAACCGTTGAGGTCTCCAGAAAATGCTCCAAAGATCGGAAAAATCGATTTGGGAAGTGTTTTTGAAAATGGGACTGAGGAGAACAAGGTTCAAGAACGTAAAGTCGGCAAACTCAGGGTACAGGTAACACATTTAAGCTAGAAGAAAAAAGTAGAAAAAGCGAAACGATCTATTAATTTAACCTAGAAATTCTGGGTTAAGGCAAGAAGAAGAAAAACTTGAATAAAAAGCATGTTTATGTTTACAACTTAACCCTTGAACATTCTAAACTTTGATTTATGACACCGGGGAAAAGTATCCCTCGGATCCAGGTTCCATTAAATCATTAGGATCAGATAATTCAGGCGGAAACTAGCTGATTTACAAGCAATTTGTTATTTTTCAGTTTTTGAACATCTCCTTACAGCTTCCTTACATCTAGAATGTGTTTTTTTAGTCATCAACCGTTACTTACTGCAAACAGATTTCTGAGGATCAGTGCATACTCCCCATTGTTTTCCCTACTTTCTCCTTTCCCCTCTCACTTTCTTTCCCCTAGGTCCCTTTTTCCTTTTCCACATGCGTTCCATCTTTCATTTTTGAATTTCCTTCCCTTTCGCTCCTTTCATTCTCATTCTCCTTTCCTCTTCTCTTTTCTACTTTTCTTTTGTTTACTTTAATTTTCTTTTCCATTTCTTCTATTTTCTACTTTATCTCGTTTAGATTTCTTTCTCACACTTATATTTTCCTTTCTCCTTTCTCCGATCTGTTTGTTTAAAGAGTTTGTTGATACCAAGCGTCCTTAAATCCTAGTTTCAGCTGCTCACACTCAGATAAACAGAAATATTTGGATCTAAAACGCCCAGAAACAAATCAAATTTTGCTTCTAGAATTTTGTTTGAAAAAACGTATAAAAAACCTACTTTGGCCAAATAGAAGCAAGCTAAAGGTCCGGACAAAATATTTTCAAAAGACCAAAACCTTCTCGATAAAAAGAAAATGTCTGTCTAATACCTACATGTACAAGCTGAAGGGCCCGGCGTTGCAAGAGGAAAAAATAAATTGGAAAAAAGAAAAAAAACAGTTTTTGATTTGTTTAGTCTATAATATCCCCGACCACCCATGAGTGTCCACAGTAAATTTCAGCTCCTTTGGTCAAGCCGTTTGGCCGGCTATAAGCAACATATATATATGAATGTTATATAGATTTGAATTGTATTGTGTAATGAGTATGATCTAATGTGTATTGTGTAATGAGTATGATCTAATGTGTATTGTGTAATGAGTATGATCTAATGTGTATTGTGTAATGAGTATGATCTGTGTATTGTGTAATGAGTATGATATAATATTTATTGTGTAATCAGTATGATCTAATGTGTATTGTGTAATGAGTATGATATAAGATTTATTGTGTAATGAGTATGTTCTAATGTGTATTGTGTAATCAGTATGATATAATATTTATTGTGTAATCAGTATGATCTAATGTGTATTGTGTAATGAGTATGATATAAGATTTATTGTGTAATCAGTATGATCTAATGTGTATTGTGTAATCAGTATGATCCAATGAATATCGTATAATCAGTATGATCTAATGTGTATTGAGTAATCAGTATGATCCAATGAATATTGTATAATCAGTATGATCTAATGCGTATCGTGTAATCAGTATGATCTAATGCGTACCGTGTAATCAGTATTGAAGTATATATTTTGAGTCTTTGGAATTTTTGGAGTTTTTGAAAAGTTTATCAAGTCCTTTTTTTAAAATCAAATGAAACCGATTTTCTTTTCAGGAGTCCAGTTTATTTGAGAACCCTGAGCCTAAGCCTAGAGTTGAGGTTGGAAAACTTAATCCTGAATCTATTTTTAAACCTTCTCCTCCGTCGGAAGAAAAATTTGAGATTAAAATTGGAAAGATTGATACGTCAAACCTATTTCGAGCTGTTGATCCAGTAGAACCCATAGTTCAACCCTTGATTTCTGTCGGAAAACTGAACCCTGCAAGAAATCCTTTCAGGGAACCCTCCCCGGAGGATAAACCTAGAGTTAAAGTTGGAAAAATTAAACCAAAACAATTTCTTCCTGATTCTCCGATAGATGACAAACCTGAGCTAGTTGTGGGAAAGCTAAACCCGGAGAATATATTCCCGCTCTCTCCATCCCATTCGGAGGAAGTAAAGTTCTACAAACCCACGGTTCAACCCAAGAAAATGAAGGTTGAGCAAGTTTTTCCGCTCCTCATGCAAGAGGAACCAAGAATCCAGGTAAACATTTCCGTTTTTATAATAACCAGATTTCGCTTACACTTATAAATTCAGGAAATCCACATAGATAAATCCAGATAGGATTTTTAAGACATGTCGGGGAAAATTTCGACTTCTTTGATTAAGTCGAGAAAGACTGAGAAGTTAAACACTCGCTTCGAACTCTTATTTTCGAAACACTTTATCTTTACAACCTGATATTTCAAGCTTTGACTATTTGATCTATTGAAGCTATACGAAATCAAATTGCAAAGATATAAAGATTAGAAAATTGGCGTTTTGGAAGTGTAATCTGTTCCATTCATCGGAATTTCAAATTTTGACATTTTTTGGAGAAAGTTCATTTCAACCATAAGTAAGTTTAGGTCGTAAGCATGTCTATCTTTAAGTCTTATTAGTGTAACAATCTTCAATCTACAATTATCTTGCATCCTAAATATCTCTATTGTGTAGAAGGAGGAGGTTAGGGTCGGTAAAATTTCTCTGGCAGCATTTAAACCTACGGAGGAAGATACTGAGTTGTCTCCCAGTCCTAGTCCTAAAGTTGGAAAACTAGATCCTTCTAAACTGTTTAACCAGGTTCAGGTAAAGGAATTGAGTATTTGCCACAAACTCTGTTTTTTAATCCCTATATCTTTGCAACCCAATGTCGCAGACCTTTGATATTTCAAGCTATAAATTCTGTTTTTCACCATCATGTTGCAAAGATATAGGGATTAGAAAATTTGAATCGGTGGTATAAATTTGAACCGGGATTAGGTAGTTTGAAATTTAGTTTAGTTTAGCAAGGTATACTTAAATTTGGTCACAGGTTTACTTAATTACTCTATGTTTTGTTCTAATCAACATAATTTTGATAGTTGTACACTGAACAGGGTTATATGTCAGAATAGAATGAAAATGAGAAAAGATAGTTTTCTAATAACCTATCTGCACATATAAGACAATTAAAGAAAAAGGCAAATTAGGCTTGGATAAAATTAAATGTGATGAAACACGAGGACAAGATGGAATGAAAATATTCTCTCGATCGAATTTTGCCGATGAGCCTTGACCCTGTTTAAAGATAAATTAAAATCTGATAGATTTCTTGTTATATCTCTGATGTTGCTGAGCTAGAATATTCTGAATAAATACATGTTTCGAAGAAAATAAATATTATCCCCAGGGAAGGATGGGGAGGGAGAGAGTTTGAGTAGGGAAAAGGTATTTGGAGGAAGGGGGGGGGATTAAAAACTTTTGGATACAACTTTTTTGTAATTCTGAGCGTCAATAAACCTTCCATGTGGTCATGTGAGGTCCCACACGAAATTTGGGTCCGATCGGTTCAGCCGTTTTGACGTTTATTAGAAAAAACAAACCTGAATAAATAAAAAAGACAAGAATTGCAAAATAAACATCATGGATGAAGTTGGCTTAATCTAAATAAGAATCTGAGATAAGTAGAATTTGCAAATATCACAAAATTTACTAATACCTTCATCTTTGCAACCCATCAGGTTGAAAAATATAGGGATTAGAAAATTTGAGTTTGTGGCAAAGATTCTACACCTTTCAGCAAGTTGTAAAGATATCAGAATTGAAAATAAAATGTTTGAAAAACGTTGAATAAATTTAGGATGAAAAGGAAGGGTTCTCAAGGGAAACGAAAAGAGAAATTCGGAAACTAGATCTCAGCAAGGTTTTCGAAACCGTTCAGGACTCCGGGATTCAGGTATACTGGGACTCATGGACATATATCATACAATAAAATGTAAATAATTTGTAACTTTGTAAAAAAAAACTTGCGCTTACTTAACTTTTTCTTTCATTGAAACTATTTTCATTGTTTTATCAAAGATGCTGTGCATAATTGCCGTGTCTCTTGAACCATTCTATGAGATCGTAAAATCGTCGTTGTATTCCACATTATGTCGGGGAGCACTGTCTTTATCAAGAAAGTTCTCTTTCAGAAACTATGGATACAACAAAGTTTGAATCCTAAAGTCAAGTTCTAACTTTCTGATCTCTATATCTTTGCAACCGGATGTTGCAAACCGTTGATATTTTTGATATTTTACGCCAACAGATTGCAAAGATATAAAAATAAGAAAACCAAGTCTACAGTTTCTTTTAAAGAATCCCAGGGTTAACGCTCTCATGTAAAATTAGAATAGTATTTTGCTAATTACTCCTTTGACACTTAACTAGGAATAAAGGCGTTTAAGTGACTTGGTGAGGTAAATCCAACCTCCATGCTGTTGCGACACTTTAAAGTCGAGGCTAGCTGTCTAAAAATTTGATGACTAACTTTCATAGTTGTCTTTAGACATCAATGATCTTTCTTGAGCCTTGTTATGCTTTGTTAGGTTCTTAATTCATAATTTCAAAAATTAGTATATTGTTTGCATATCAAAATAGATAAATAATCCTTTTAAACTTTTCTTCTTTTGTTTTAGGAACATCGAGAGGAATCGAGTCCAATCCAGGTTGGAAAATTGCGGAGCAGTATCTTTGAGCAGGTTCAGGTTCAAGAGAATAATGAACCAATTCCTGTTCGTGGAGCAAGGCGGGTTAATAAGGGAAACAGGATCTCCTGTCTCATAGAAAACCTTGGGACGGAGAGAGCGGAGGAGGTTGAAGAGAGGAGGGACGAGGACGACAAGGAGGTTGAGGATCTCAAACTAGGTCGGAACAGGATGTCTCAAATTCAGAGCATGTTCTCCGGTTCTCAATCAGATTCTGTCTCTCCACTCCGAACCCGGAACTTAGGATCAGATCGAGGAGACTCAGAAACTCCTTACTCCGAGTTCTCTGAGCTCCGGGACGAAGGACTTGTCTCTACAAACCTGCATAGATTCACCACAGGAAATATTTTGGGTGGAGGATCTAACACGACAGGAAGAAAACCATCCTTGGTAGAAACTAACTACATTGATAAGAAACATATAGAATCCGTCACCGCCAAGGAATGAAAAATCTGTTTTATTGGCTCTATTGAAATCCTTTATACTATTTTCTTCAAGGCTCCAGGCTGATATAAAAGGGATAATTATTGTTTTTGGGTTCTTTGGAACATAATATTTGTTTGGAAGAAGAGTGAATTTTTGTAGAAACTTTTCACTTGAACACACATTGATAATAGAATTATTGGAATTATTCCAAAACGGTTTGATTCCCTTCTTCCATACCCTCACCCCCTTCACACAACAAAGATTTTAATTAATTAGTTTGACGGAGGAATATCAACAGATTCGTCCGTCGAACGACGAGAGAAACTTCCGGTCGGAAAACTACGAAATCCAGAATCTTTCCTCCAACAGCAACAGGACACTGAGGAGGAAACCCATCAGAAAGTTAGGGTTGGAAAACTAAACTCAGATATTTTCAAGGTTCAGTCGGAATCTGAAGAGCCATCCAAACCCATACTCCGAGTGGGTAAACTAAATACGGAGAATCTATTCCCAAAACCTGAAGAAACCCAACCTAAACCTCAGCCTAAAGTTGGAAAAATCTCGACAAAGGAAAGCATAAGCCTAAAATTATATCAATCTTTAAATTCTACGTTTTAAAAAATCATATAAAATCAACATATATCAATAATATTCCATTTATTAGGACCTGTTCGAACGAGATGGGGGAGGGATGGAGGAGGAGGTGGACGTATCTTGTATCCGGGTTGGTAAACTTACAGAGAGCAGGTTTAGATTGAGCTCTGACATATCGGAGATAGAGAAAGATACAGATACAAATATCGTTCCATCAGGAATGGTTGCTAAGGTGCTGAAATAATAATAATAATAATAATAATAATAATAATAATAATAATAATAATAATAATAATAATAATAATAATAATAACAATAACAATAACAATAATAATAATAACAATAATAAAAATAATTATTATTGTAGAGTGCATCTGCATTTATACAAACTGGTTTTGATGAAAAATCTCCAAGTAAACTGAGCAGAAACAACACAATCACCAGGAAATCAAAGTAAGAAAATACATCTTTTAACAAAACTTAGATAATCAATCAAATACAGAAGTTTAAATAAATGAATTGAGTCTTTGCCACAATCTTTTAATTTTCTAATCCCAATATCTTTGCAACCCAATTGTGTAGATATGAATTTTTCTTAATTCTATTAATCTACACTAGAAATATCAAAGGTTTATACTATAAGGTTGTAAAGATATAGGGATTAGAAAATTTAAATTTGTGACAGAGACTCATTTCTTTCATATCTTCTATCAATCTCCTCCACCCGAGCCAATCACAGAAACCACTACTGCACATACAAAGCTTATTTGTCTTGAATACTTGAGATGTTTTTTTTTCAGTTTTTTTACATTAACAATAGAATCCAGGTCAATGCGAGGCACATATTGTTAGTGTGTAGCAGAGAGCAGCACATCTTAAATTGTAGTTTATTCTAAAAATATATTTCTTGTAAAATGTACATAATATACCAGATAGATAGATACATATTACATACAGTATGAACTAGTTTGTTTTGTTGTATTTTAAGAGTTACAAGTCGTCATTGAAATTTAATCCTACGCGAGTAATTACTTTATTTTGCGTATTCATCTTTTAAACAATGCGCTCCTGTTTATCACAATAAGATTTTCAATAGTTTTAGAACTTAAATAAAAAATATTATATTAATAATCCCGCAGGAGTGGGGACTGCGAGCTACAGAAGAAGTATATGGAGCAAACTGCGGGAAAACTGCAGGTTCGTGCAACCAAAATTCAAATATGTAAAAAAATATACCTAATATACCTATACTAATATATAATTTACACTGGATTCCAAGTAATTTTTTCACTAATTATGCAAATTTATTCCTTATAACTCTATTTTTAGGAAAGGAACTGAGCTTTTGCAAAACAAAACTTTCAAACTTTGAGTGAATGTTAGATCAAATATTCTAAGTTTGGAATATCAAATGTTTACATCATCAGGTTGCAAAGATATTAGGATTAGAAAATTCAAGTTTTTGGCTAAGACTCAGTTCCATTATTGAAGAAAAACTTTAAATTGTGTTTCAAAATTTGAACACTATTATCCGTTAAGATCCATGTCTAAGTCACAACATAACAAATTGAACCTTCGGAAAGTCATATCAAAAGATTTTCATGTTGTTATTAAAGTCTCATCCTTTGTGGTTAACCCTGTCCTGTAAATATAAACAAGCGCTTCCTAAACCTCACTCTTTAGGAGTTCAAAGACAAGACGGCTTCAGAAGCAAGTGAGGATTTAAATAAGATTCAGGAGGGATCCGTCCGAGGGGTGTCCTCCAGGTTACTCTACGAGGATCAGGCAAAGCCTGCGGAGAAGATTGAGGTGTCAGCAAGAGAAAAGAGGGACGAGGAGCTCCAAAATATCAAGGTTGGGGATGCAAGGGAGAAGTTCTTTAGTTCAATGATCTCAAGTAGTGAGACTAAATCCAGTAGTGCTCACAGACTGGGCACATCTCTCCTTCCTACAGGTATCTTTAAACTTAGTAATCCTACTCTCACAAATAGTTCGTTTAGTTCGTTTAGTTCGTTTTTTGGAATTATTTAATATTGCCATACAGAAATAATGTGCTTTCTACCCCTTAGCTAATTTGTACTTATCCGAATTTCTTTACTTAGCCTACCCCTTAGCTTATTTGTACTTATCCGACTTTCTTTACTTAGCCTACCCCATAGCTAATTTGTACTATTTATTCTGAATTAATCGCTTACTCTACTAATCAGTAATTCATATTGGAACTTCAATCGGTTTAGAGTGGTTTTAACCTATAACGCAGTCAAAAAATGTTCAATTCTTAAATCAAAGGGTTCATCCTAACTCATTCTGTATTCCTACTAGCTAATCGATCTATATTCCCAACTAGACTTAATCAACCTGTATTCCCAACTTATAGACTTAATCAATCTGTTTCCCAGCTATGACTTAATCAATATGTATTCCTAACTAGACTAAATCAATCTGTATTCCTAACCAAACCTAACCAATCTAAATTCCCAATTGGTCTAATCAATCTGTATTCCCATCTAGACCTAATCAATCTGTATTCCAACTAGACTTAATCAATCCGTATTACTAATTAGACCATGTGATTTGTATTCTAACCTAGATTTCATAAACCTATGCATATTCGTATCAAGAGCTATATATTACCCAACCAAAAAAAAATATTATTTTTCATTTAGTTCCTGGTGCAGGAATTGGGGTTGGATTCAACAAAGGAAAAGCTCTGTTCCAACGGTGCCAGGAGAAGGTTGAGGAGAAGAAGAAAGAAGAATTGATCCCTGGAGTAGATTTCCAAGAGATCGAGGACGAATTCGAGAGGTTGCATCGAGAAATGATGGGAGAACCGGAAGAATGAAATTTTCTTAATTTGGAAATTTTTGGATTTTTATGACATTTACTCTGATCTTCCACGCTGTTCTTTTATTTTTATTTTTGTAAATAATTTTCAAGTATTTTTAAGTGGAAATGTAAATGTCTGATTCTGGAAAAATTATTTAAACAAAATAAACTTGAATAAATGTCTTAAATCGCTGTTAAAAACAACCCTATGTTTTATTTTGTCTTGGCCCCGGTTATAGGTAACAAACATAAACACATACAAATACGAAGCTCCACCTTATGTTATAAAAGATAGTAATATATATATTTATTACATTCAAATTGTTTTAGACAGAAACAATATATTAACATGATATATAGAATATATTTCAGGGTAAGTAAATATCTTTCTTTAAAATTAACAAGTTAGAAAATGACAACCCTATCTTCTCTCCGGCTCCTGTCATGAAATTCTTTTAAAACATTTATTATAGACATTTTCCCGCCTGCACTGCGTAGCTGATCAAAAACCCTGTATCATCCGCGACCGTCGTATCCGTGAGTGGTGTTTTACCGTCCGCGTGGAACCACAGTTGGAACGGGCCCCCGGAGAAATCTCTGACCCCCTTTCCATTAACTCCGGGTTGGGTTGAGTTCGTATCTACTCCTAGTCCCTGCCCACAATAGAAGCTTCGGTAGGAAGAAGGTACGGATGTATCTGAACTCTAAATTTAATGATTTTTAAGCATGTCCATAAAAACAACTTGTATAACGAATGTGACTGAATTACAATAAGAGTTTTATTTGGAGCTTCTAGAATAAATGATTTTCTTTATTACCGGTATACCTGCGATAATCATTTAAACATATTTTACATGCTTTATGTCATATTTATCATGTCCTTGATTAATATAATAAACCCTTTATGACTATGCGCTCACATGCGGCTAGCGCAATCAGATTTAATTTAAACCATTTTTTTATATAATGACCACAGAGATATTCAAAGATTTTTTTCCAAAAATCTTCCCATTTTTTTGTAGAGTCGTTCTTACTTTGGTAAAATTCATCAGCGTTTTATGTTAAATACTAAAATTTAGATAAAACTCATTTTAATGAATTTCAATGAAAAATAAACTTATTTTTAAAGTTTTAATTGTACCTCAAGTTGACCCATTGGTATCGCAATCCAATCTCCATTGGTTGGGTCAAGGCATGTATCTCCGCAACCAGATGCTGTAGTTCCAGTTCCAGTTCCTGTTCCTGAACCTGTTCCTGAACCTGCTCCGGAGCTACATGCAACCTGAACCTTCTCTTTTCCCACGGACCTCTTCATCTTTAATGTTGAATTATACTCCGGGTTCATGTATTTTATCCCACAATCCTTCGTCTCTTTTTTCACACAGATCGTATAATCCTGGTTCGGAGAATACGCATTCATCCCGTCATAGTTGAAGGATTGGATAGTTCCTGCTGGTTCAGTAAAATACTGGAGACATCCTTTAGGAGCTTGTAACTGTCTCATCGACTCATCCTGAAGTAACAAATATATTTCAATTCCATTAAAACGACTTGACTTAATCATGGAAATAATAATAAAACAACTTGACGAGTTTTGTGATAGTGCATTACTATTTACAAAAAAAATTATAGTTTGCCAATATTTTTGGTCAGAATCTCTAGAAATCTAGAAAGGAACAGTGAACACTGAACACTCGCCACATTCTCTAATTTTCTAATCCCATTAACGTTGCAACCAAACGTGGCAGACCTTTGGAATTTCAAACTATGAATTTTGTAAAATAGTTTGAAATATTAAAGTTTACACCCTCAGGTTTAAAATATATATGAACTAGAAAATTAAAGTTTGTGGCGCGGAGTTTAGATGAAATTTAACAACATAAAAGAGGTTAGCATTATTTTTTATTGTTCAAGATGTGATACACCTTAGAATAGCAGTCTATCTGTGTAACCCGGAGGCTGAAGAGGAAGGTTGAGGCCGCCATGGCGGAGGTGGAGGTAAACTCTAGATCTATTGAGGCTGGATAGGAATCAACATGTACGTACACGTGCTGTCCAGTATTATTCCCACAGAATATGTTCTCAACTCCCTGGAAGACAGAAAGTAAAAAGTATATATCATACAAACGAGCTAAAAATGGATTATGGATATCGATATCAATGCTTGATTTCCCAGTTTCGTTAATCTGCAGATTGATATTATCTTTATTTTGATATCCAGAAATTGTCCAAAGTTAAAAAATCAGAGAACTCTCATTGGTCGGAACCAAGCAGAGGATTAAACAGAAGATAAAAAGTGTCCACAGCATGGGCACAATAGTTTCCAGCTCAGCTAATATAATAAATAGTTCTTCATTGCTTATATATGTATTTAACATATTGTATGTTTAGGGTTACCCACAAAGGATGAGACTTTAATGACTACCTAAAACTCTTTTGATAAGAATATACGATGTTGGATGATTTTCTACCTGTATTGTAAGATACTGTTCCTCGCATACTCCAACCCTGTTCTGAGGACTGTTCACAAATTTGTCAAAATCTATCCGAACCTGCCATAGATAAAGATAGATTGCGCATAAGACAATATTTTTCATCTTGAAAGATATAAATGTACAGAGATGTTTTAAAGATATTCCTATTATATAGATTAACTAGGTCGGTTGTGAACATTGGCTCTTCTTATGTCATTGAGTACTTGTGGTGTACATGAGTTCTGTAGAGAGAAATTTAAATTAGTTTAGTCCTTCTCATCTCCTTCTTCAGTTCTCGTCAATATGATATATTGCTCAGTGAAATATTATTGTTCAAATAGTTCCATAAAATTCACTCCTGAGTGGTTTAATAATTATGAAATCCATTAAAACACCAAACCACCCTGCTTATCATTGAAGTACACTTTGACCCCTAGAAGTATGAGTTCGCGGACTGTACAATTCTTGGTGATTTTGCGTACATAAGCTATCTATGTTTATTTATTTATCTATGGAACCTACACATCATAAAAAGTAAAGAATTGTTTACTACGTCTTAAAGGGACTGTAACCGTAATTTCAAGTGACTCTCCATGCAAATATTACTATGCAGACATTACCACCTTTGCATAGGGGTTACTTGAAATTACGCTTACAATCCCTTTAACCCAATCCCTGCTAAAACCAGGATACGCTAGAGGGGTGGGGGCTCAATTTGACCCCCCCCCCTCTAAATCCCATTTTTGATGTCCAAATATGACAAATGAACATGATACATCATTGGAAAGATCTTTTGCTCTACTTTTAGAATCTGCAAAAATTAAAAAAATTGGCAAAAATTCGTTTTTTTTCAAAATCCACTTATGTAGTAAAAATTTTTGCAAAAAATGTCCAAAAAATGATAAAATATAGATTTTTGAAAAGCCCTTGACCATGCCATTTCAAACATGCAAAAAAGTGTTGCAAAATTTTGAATAACGTTAATATTTCTTTGGAAAACTTGTGCAATCCGTTTTCTTATGTCATAGGCTTTCCAAAAGCTAAAAATTATCAAAATCTGACAACGAAAAGTAGGTTAAAACAAAGAGTTTGTCATAGGAAAAAGTAGCTATTCAGGCAGTGTGCCTGAGAACTCAGGCAATTAGTATAAAAGCCCGGACCTAAAAGGAGGGGTATGGGTATTTAGGAAAAGTCAGAAATTTCAACACTTCAGACTAATACTTTTTAAATTATGTAATAAAAACTACATGGGGGGTCAAATAGCATAAAATGTAAAACTACTGACGGGGAGGAGGATAATTAATATTTGCGAGTATACAAACCTGACAAACGTTGGTATCAGTTACTTGTACTGTTAGTGTTCTTGTATTAGCTTCTGGTGAAGAATTGGCGGGAAATCCTGGATTCCGGAAGTAAGAGACTGGTTCGTCAACGGTAGATCTTAACAATGGCTGCTTAATAGTTAGGATAATTTAAATTAGGATAAAAGGCTTACTGTGTTTAGGCCAGATTGTTAAACTATAGAAGAGAAGAGTGCACTAAAAACATGTGCAGTCCCTTCCTTCAAGGAATATATTATCAATAGTCACGTGTTTAGGCCAGATTGTTAAACTATACAAGAGAAGAGTGCACTAAAAACATGTGCAGTCCCTTCCTTCAAGGAATATATTATCAATAGTCACGTGTTTAGGCCAGATTGTTAAACTATACAAGAGAAGAGTGCACTAAAAACATGTGCAGTCCCTTCCTTCAAGGAATATATTATCAATAGTCACGTGTTTAAGGAGAATATAAGCAAAGCGCCCGAAAAGCTATAATGATTAAAAAGATGGCATCAAAAAATGTTTAAAGGGAGAGACCAGCAAGACATAGAAATTAAGCTGAAAGTGCAGTATTTTAGAGAAAAACTGTAGGATTCATTTAATATCAATGAGACATTTTCACAATTTTTAGATAAGAGCGTAAAGTCTTTTGTAATATTACATATGTTTTTTCAGTCAGCAGAAGAAAGTTTTATTTTACAATTCTTAAATAACATGGACAAAAACATATATCAAATACTATTCTACATACTAGCTGCATGTATACAGGTTGATAAAAATAATAAACTTATATCATTGTAAATAAGTTCTTAAAATCAATTTTAAAATCTCGCAGGTTTCTGAAAATTCTTTCAGCTTGGGTCGCTTGTAGGAGGCTTTTTTATTTCAATTGTGAAGACGACATTTTGAAGAAATCTGCAAAGAAAATTATAGAATCCGCAATTAAAGGTAATAGTGATAATCAAATAACCAATTCTACGGTTCTACTATGGCTTTCATCGATAATTTTTTTTTTAAAAATATGTTCCTAAATAACAAATTAGTTTATAAAACATTTTTTACATGTTTGTCCTGGTTATCAGATAGTTGCAGATCAGTCCTAGCTAAGCAATTTCAAGTTGTAAAAAACGTTTCTACTACTGACCAATACAACTGGTGAAATATCACAAACGACTTTACGCTCTGATTTAAAAATTCTACACCGTAAAAATGTCTCATTTGTATTAAATAAATTCTAAAGTTTTTCTCTATAAGTACGTTGCACTTTCAGCTCGACTACCATGTCTAGCCGGTCTCTCCCTTTATATAAATTATTTGAAGTTTACAGTGCAAAGTCAAAGATTTCTGTATTTAGAGTTTAAATCAACTTCTACTTAGAGGTTTAATTCTTGTGAGATAGAAAACAGAACAAAAAGTTAAACCTTAAATTTTATATTTTTGTATGTTTACAGATTCTTTTATTCTTTCTTTTTTCTTGAATTAAATTCTTATTTTCTTTCCGTTAGAGTAAAATTGGAACCGAATCATTCTGATAATAATTAAAGTGAATTATAACAGCAAATAAATAATAACAAACCTTAATTCAGAATTTGTAAAAACGCAACATCTTCCAAACCCTGAAGCACAAGAACCCTGTTCTTCTCCTCCTCTGAGAAACAGAAAAATAATTATTATTATCATAATTATTATCATATTCATTTTTATCTTTAATTTTATTTTTATTTTTATCTTTATTTGTATACTGGTTATATTATTATTATGTATACCTAGCAGAACACTCCCAGGAGGTATAACAGGTTCCGTTCGGAGAAGAACTGTTTCCGGTTCCGCACCCAGTGTTGGCAAACTTGATGATATTAAAGATATTCAGGAATCGTCCAGAACGCGGTTCGTCGGACGAGTCTCTGCCACCCCGGTCGTTTCTTGTAAACCCAAAATTCTCCCCCAGAGGTTTGGAGGAGAACCGACTGTTTCTGTCTTTTCTAGAGAACCTGGAGAAGGTTTTCTCTCGGAATCCTCCAAATAATCCATCAATGTTCCGAGTAAGGACTCCTCCGTCCCTAGCCTCAACACCAAGCACGAGAAGGATACAACACCAAGCTCTCATGTCGGAGAAATACTGATTAAATCTCATCTACAATTTTATTTATTCTCCCTCATATCCGTCCTGCACCAACTTGAAATAGGGACCCTCAGAGCTTTCATTAAACCCTTTCTGAGACATTTTTTTCAGGGACGAACTCTTTCTTTTCTGCATACTTTACAAAAAAGCTACTGTTTTTTTCTTTAAATAACCATTTATATTTTATATTTTTTTTATTTGAAACTTATCAGTAAAGATTTTGTCCGTGGGTCCCTAGAAACTTACGTTTACATACAATTAGAACAACCACCCTCCCGCCCTCTCTCTTCATGGTCAGCAGTAAAAATATTTACATGATCAACACTTACAGCAAACCCCTACAGGGTGTCCTAAATTACACGAGGCATTTTCTACAAACTACTGATGTTTACATTCAATGAGGTTCCGAACATAGCCGATTTGTGTTCTGCAAATGATGCCATATTTTAGAAATTTCTACAAAAATAGTTTTTTCTTGGACACCCTGCTTATAGAATAAGGACACACTTGGGATTTAAACAAACATGCCATTAGACTTGAGTCTTGACCCAGGAATTGCCTGAATGCATGAACTGCCTCAATCTAGGTATGTTCTTGTTTATTTGTTTAGTCTACAATTACAATGCAGGACTTAACTTTCGGGCAGTGAAAGGGGAAATATTATGACTTAATAAATCATACTTCACAATTAAAACTTTACTCTCTTATTGTAGAACTTAATATCTTAGTATTAATCTTAATATTTCAGATCTCAAGAATATCTTAATAGGGTATACATCGGGGATTTTAATTAGTATTTTCAGAAATACATTTTTTTGAAAATATAATATCTCAACTTTAAAGTTTAACCTCGATATATATTTATTTCGAAATAAAAATATGAGAAAAAACCTACCTTTGATTGAATATTAAAAAATGTTACCTTAAGATTAACCCTAATAATGTACAATGATATGAATTAAATACATATTAAATTAACTTATCAAATTGCTTTATATACCTTCTAAAGCAAATTTAGCGTGCACAATGGCACCTTCCTGCTTTAATCTCATTATTTGAAGATTTACTTGTACAAAATATTTAAATAAAAGTAAAGGAATTCACGTGATAATAATTCAATTCTATTTCGTTTCAGTTTCAATAACAAAGTATATTATATAATATCATTATTATTACAAAATACAAATATCTATTGCAATTTATAAATTATTATAAAATCTTCTATTTACAGATAAATTTATAACAGAATTGCATGGAATTGCTTTATAAAACAGACACTGTTTAGATATGATCCTTTTCAGACTGATTTAGATACTTTTCTGAAACTACTTATCCTTTTTTGAGCTTATAGACTGAATCTAATACTAATAGGACTGATTTTAATCCATCCTGGAACTCAAACTATAGAATATAGTCCTCACTGGAGTAGATTCAAATCCGTCCTGGCACTAAGTCTAATTCAGCCGGACTGATAAATCCATCCCAGGACATATTTAAATCCCTCCGGAGAAAAAGTCTAATCCATCCAGATTTATGATTACCCGCCTTTGGACCAATTCTAATTCTTCCCAAGACTAAAATCCTATTTAAGACTGTTTTCAAGCCTTCCTATGACTATTGAACATTTTTAATCGTCCCAAAGACTGGTTCTCTCTGTAGAGGCGTGCATATCCTTGATCTCTGTTTTATATTTCTCCTCTACAGCGTGCCTTTTCATCTTCATGGTTGGTCCTAGTTCTCCTCCTGATACTGAGAAATCTACTGGAAGAAGAGTGAACTTTCTTATTCTAGCAGCCTGGCTAGGAGAGTCCTTGTTTATTCTGAAATAATGACATAAAATAGAAAAGCATATTTTTTCTCAAGAAGAATATAAATTTTCTTCAGGGTGGGTCAAAAAAAGCAGATATTAGCGTTTTAAGTCTCAATGTCGAATAATCGCAGAGTTAAACTTGATGGCAGAAAGTAATTTCCAAAGATGGCTCAAAAAAATCGATTCTTTAAATGTTACTAATTCATCAGAGTTTAAAATTGATGCATTGTTAGAAGCAGTTGAAAAAGGTACGGCTAGTCGAACTACTTGTCTAGTGAGGCTAACGGTGCACGATCTATACGTTAGTACAACTACTTTTCGCTTTTAGCTACTTATGAAATCTGATCTCTGGGTTTGAGAAGAATACTTACTGTTCCAGTACACTGAGAATGGCATCATACACTCCTGAATACTTCTCTTTATTCTTGGCAAGGTCGGATACAGAGCTAGGTTTACAACCATGCTTCAAACAGAACTCCCAAGCACAGGCTTCAAGCTGATCGGTCACCTAAACATAGATACGTCCTAGCTGAGCAATTTCAAGCTGTTCCATCTCCTAAACATAGATCAGTCCTAGCTGAGCAATTTCAAGCTGATCTATCTCCTAAACGTCATAGATCCGTCTTAACTTATCAATTTCAAGTTAATCCATCTCCTAAAATTGAGCCTTCCTTGCTTAACAATTTTAAGCTGATCCATCTCCTAAACATAGATCAGTCCTAGCTTGGCAATTTCAATCTGATCCATCTTCTATACATGGATCCTTTCTCTAAGCTTAGCAATTTCAAGCTGATCCATCTCTTAAACATTGATCAGTCCTAGCTAAGCAATTTCAAGCTGATTCATCTCTTAAACATATATCCGTCTTAGCATAACAATTTCAAGCTGATCCATCTCCTAAACATAGATCAGTCCTAGCTTGGCAATTTCAAGCTGATCCATCCCCTAAACATAGATCAGTCCTAGCTTAGCAATTTCAAACTGATTCATCCCCTAAACATAGATCAGTCCTAGCTTGGCAATTTCACGCTGATTCATCTCCTAAACATAGATACGTCCTAGCTTAGCAATTTCAAGTTGATTAATCTCCTTAACATAGATATGTCCTAACTAATTAAATGTATTTAAAAATATTGTATTGTACTGTACCTCAAGCGTGGCAGGGTCCAGCACTGCTTTGACAGTGATAAGACACGTCAGATGTGTTTGTTTATTCCCAACAACCATACAGTGACTCACAAGATCCGCGAGCATTCCCTTTATTTTCTTCTCCAGAGGATACGGAGCAATATTCTTCCCTCCGCTCGTGATGATAACGTCCTTGATCCGTCCTTTAATTGTGATGAATCCGTCCTCTATAGTGGCCATATCTCCGGTTAGGAGCCAGAAACCTCGGTCAAATGTTTCTCTGGTTCTGGTCGCGTCCCGGAGATATCCCATAAACACGTTCCGACCGGAGCAAGCCACCTCTCCTATTCCGTCCCGAGGATCCTTAAAAAACGTGTATTTACGCAAATGATCTTTTCCGTCCATCTTGTAAATTTTAAGTAATTTACAAATTGCTAAAACTAGATCCATAAGATAATGAAATAATATATCTATACATTTCAACAGATACTTTTCGGGTACATTTAATGAGTAACATAAGTAATACTAATTATTTACAGATAAGTTATTCTTATAATAGTTGAAATGTTGATGACAATATCCTATATATTTGTTTATTATTGTTTATACCTGGAGATGAAGTTTGGTTTGGCAACCTACTGCGCTCCGTCCCACGCTTCCAAGTTTATAATGTTCCACTACGTCCTGCTCTAGAGGCAGGAACTGGTTGGCAGTCTGGTTTGGGTTCTCAGTCATACCTTAACATATTCAGTATATATTCAGATACTATTTTCAAAAATTTTGTTTGTGCACTGGAATCTTTACTATTTTTTACAAAATACATGGCTTCAAAATTATGATTATTAAAAGTTCAGAGATGGAATTTAAAGAATTTGAGCCGCGGTTTAAATCCGCCAAAACCCGGTTTAAATTTAGCCCCGGCTTAAATCTTGAAACATTTGATACAATTTTAAGTGGAACCAACAATATTTGAGCCGCGGCTTAAATTTAAACCGCCGCTCAAATTCTTTAAATTCGGCCACTGGATTAATAAAAGAATTGAGTCATTCCCACAAAATCAAATTTTCTAATTTACTAATATTTATATTAGTTTACCATAGTTTGAATTATCTGAGGTCTACGAAATTGGGTTTGAAAAAATATAGAGATTAGTAAATCTGAGTTTGTGACAAAGACTTAATTCCGTTCCAATCTAGGAGTAGTGTCTTATTTACCATATATTTCAGATACAATTAATCCCAAACTTTTCATAAATTGGCTGGTTTCCGTTGAAAGAGGAGCAGCTCCGCTGTACAGTCCTTCTAGGCACCTGGAGCAAGGTTTGAACTACATAATTATCCTTTTTAGGGAGAACGTAAAAAGATATATTTCTAAATCCTTAAACCAGATAAAGCTAGTTTTAATAATTTACCTTTCCATTCCTAGTTTCTGATGAATCTTGCTGAGAACAAGTTTATGAGCAAGAGAGTATTTAAGTCCTAAACCTTTTCCACCGTTTAGGATTGAATCGTAGTGTTGAGTTGAAACATTCCGTGCCCAGGAAAGAAGTTTTGCGCGTCCTCCTCGTGCTTCTCCGAATGCTGCCTCTAGTTCGGATTGGACCTTTTCATACACCCGGGGAACAGATACAAACCTAGAGATTGGTTTGATTAGAACAAAATAATTTTTAAAATGTTGGTTTAAAACCATTCAAATAAAACTAGATATCAAGGTTTAGGTTTCCCTGTTAGAACGTGCTTGAATGAGAGAGTGAAGAAGGTATAGGTTTACCTCACAGGATGTGTTTGAATGAGGGACTAGAGAAGGTGTCAAGGATAGGGTTTCCTGGTAGGACGTGATTGAATGAGGGACTGGAGAAGGTATCAAGGTATAGATTGTCCTGGTAGGACGTGCTTGAATGAGGGACTGGAGAAGGTATCAAGAATAGGTTCACCTGGTAGACGTGGTTGAATGAGGGACTGGTTAAGGTATCAAGGATAGGTTCACCTGGTAGACGTGGTTGAATGAGGGACTGGAGAAGGTATNCCTGGTAGGACGTGCTTGAATGAGGGACTGGAGAAGGTATCCACGAAGTCTATCTCTTCTAACAAAGTGAAGTGTTCCTGCTATACTTGGTAACATCCAGATATCAGATACAACGGACACTAATTAGCCAAACACGTATCAGTCAAGCACTTTGAATTATCAAAAACACCCAGTCAACACTGATTTTAAATCTTTGATGCAATTAATTTGTGATTTCAGTGAGTTATTTAGCAGCAAAATTCAAGTATGGTTTAGATGCAGATGTATCATTTTAACTATTTAGCTTTAGATAATTTTCTATATAGGACAATTTCAAAAAACCATGACGTTGAGAAAGTACACTTTTTGCCTTTAATTCAGAAACTGAAAAAAGGCAGACCACATTTTTGAAATTGCACGACTGTCGATTAATATGCTTATGGTCTAACAGAATTACAATTTTAGGAATTTATGCCACAAAGATAAAAGCCTTTAACTTATTACCATGTTCATTAGATTTATGTTATGTTATTAATTTATAAATTTCAAACTAGTTAAAATTTGAGTGATATGCTTCCTATGTGAGAAAGAGGAAGGTAAGAGAGCATTGATTCTTCTCCAAACTTGAGCTTATACGTTTCCACCGCACTAGCAACTGTCCAGGTTATGTTATCCTGCAGTAGAAAAATAAATATCAAAGAATGATGTTTTTAAGAGCAAAGTTTCTCCGATCTTGATTGGTTTATTTTTATAGAAAAAAAAGGCTACAGCTTGGTTTCAGATTGACTGGATCTGAAAAATGCCGGTCAACAGTAGGACCAAGTCACCCGCCCACATGATTTGTATTTAAAAAAAAAAGATTGTCTACACAAAGAACGCACTTTTTGATCGATCGAACTGTAGATCCATCGGCTTTCAGAAAGGATTCTTCAGTGTATTATCATGGAAAATATATCTAGTTTAGCCTCAACCTGTGAGAGAAGCGCTCCCTTGGGCTTAGCCGTTGTTCCTGAGGTATAGCAGAGGATGGCCGGCTGGTTGATCGCCTGACCTTCCAGGCGAGATCTTAGCTCCAGGTCAGCAACTGATCACAGGAACAGTTTATTCTTAAAGGGATTGTTCATGGATTATTTGATTTACACATGTTAGGGCTTAAAATGATATACTAAACCATTCAAGAAAAAAATCGCCAATTTGATTGAACAGATTTTTGAAAATGAAATTTCAGTTCCGAATCAAGAGTTGATCGAATAAGGACGATTAATCGAATTAATCTCAATTAAAGCTATTATGAATGAATTAGTTCCCTGAGTTGCCAATATTTAGAAATTCCTCCCAGGAGAGAACCCCGTCCTCCTCAGGTATCTCACCGTACATTATTATAGCACGTAGGTCAGGTAGTTGATCCCTAAAACAAGACATTGATCAGGTAATTTGTAGGTCGTTATAGATAGGATATTTACAAATAACATCAACATAACGTAGTTTGAATTTTATAACAAACAAATAACCTGGCGTAACTATTGACTTCTTTATAACTAACCATAACATAACATACTTAGGATTTATAACTAAACCCTCATAACATGACCTAGGTCGGATGTATATAAACAACTTAAACATGACATTATTCGGATAATTATAATTAACCATAAAATGAAGTTGTTGGGATATATAACTAACTATAACAAAACGAAGATATAACATTTATAACTAGCAAATAACATAACATAGGTAGGATATTTTTAACTAGGAAATAACATAACGTAGGTCGGATATTTATAACTAGGAAATAACATAACATAGGTCGGGTATTTATAGCTAACAAATAGCATAACATAAGTAATTAAAAAATACTTAAAACTAAAAAATAATATAACGTGCAGGTCGGATATTCATAACTAACAAACGCATAACTTAGTTTGGATATTAAAACTATTTAACAAATAACATAATTCATAATTTATAACCAACAAAAACCATAACGTAGGTCGAATATCATATAACCAAAAAAAACCTATAAAGTAGGTCGAATATTCTTCACTAACCATAACATATGTAACTTAGGTTGGATATTTATGACTGTAACAAATAACAATTAACGTAAGTTGAATTTTTATAACTAACAATTACAGAACGTAGGTCGGATTTTTATAACTAACAATTACATAATGTAGGTAATATTTATAACTAACAAAACGCATACTAACAAAAACATTATCGTAGGTTGGATATTTATAGCCAGCAAAAACCATAACGTAGGAAGAATATCATATAACTGACCTATGTGGGAGAATCTTTTTAAGTTGAATTTCGTCCTCAACAACAACTATGTTTGCTTTACTAAACAAAAATGGATTATACAAGAAATAAGATTTGATAAAATATCATATTTTTGTAGCTTTCTCTTTGAAATCATTTATATTTTGTAGAATATGTACATAGAATATCTGAAGTTGATAAAGTGTAGTTTCTGTACCTGTGCTGATGTTGATAAAGTACAGTTTCTGTACCTGTGCTGATGTTGATAAAGTACAGTTGCTGTACCTGTGCTGAAGTGGATAAAGTACAGTTGCAGTGCATGTGCCGATGTTGATAAAGTACAGTTGCTGTACCTGTGCTGAAGTTGATAAAGTACAGTTTCTGTACCTGTGCTAAAGTAAATAAAGTACAGTGTCTGTGCCTGTGATGAAGTGCATAATGTACAGTTTCTATACCTGTGCTGAAGTTGATAGAGTACAGAAGTTGTTGTATTTGTAGTATAAACCCCAGAGTACAGTCCTCCTAAACGTACAAGGTTATAATAATCTAGAGTTTTCAGACTTTTTGTCCAAATAAGTCTCGAGTTTTACCCCAATAATCTGGCCTTCGACGACGACCTCTAGAAATATTAGTGATTCTATTTTATTTAAAAATTTACTAAATCTCTAATTTCTTGTATTTAGTTTTCAATACAATTTTCTGTATATTTCAGTTTTTCATTTTAGACCAGATTATTCTGAATACCTTTTTATGTTATAAAAATTGACAATTTAACGTTTGATTATCTTTCCTGCAAAAACTGCTCCGACCGCGGAGAAAACCCACTCTGGACTGTTGCTTCCTAAACAGAGAAATCAGATTAGATTTTTCACAAGTTTAAAATGATATCGACAAAACCTACACAGGATGAGACTGACAGTTTTTAACTCACTCCTATGTCTGAAGTTCAGACTTGATTTAGTTTTAAATTTGTTTTTAGGTCATTTATTAGGTTTTTTATCATGAATAATATTGAATGTAACCTTCAGATCATTCACTAAACATGACAACCTAATAAGCCAAATAACGTTCTCAGAACGTTAGATAACGTTCCTTTTAGGACTCATTAACTTTAATTAACGTCATTATTTTATGCTGCAGTAACGTAAAAACAAACCAACTTTAAGGTTGAATGAATTGAGTCTTTATCCTAACTCTGAGTTTCTAATCTCTAAATCTTTGCAACCCAATGCCTTAGATCTTAGTTATTTCAAACTATGAATTCTGTTTGGTCAAATGATCTAAGTTTTAAATATTAAAGGTATACACCAGCATGTTGATAAGATATAGGGATTAAAAGATTTGAGGATGTGGCAAAGACTCATATCCTTTCACGTTATTTTATTACGTTATTTAATATTACATTTAAAATTAAATAACATTGATTAAAGTTAATTAAAATTAATTAATATATATTTAATGTTATCCAACGTAAACATAAGGCATATTCAAATTCTAATACCAAAATGTTAAAAACTTGATGACTATAACTTTGCATGCACAAAATTCCATCATATCCATACAACTAATTCCACAAATTTCTTGAATCTATATTCATATCAATAAATTTTAATCCAACCCATGTCTTAATGGAAAGACAACTTAAAGATCTCTCATAACTATCTAATAACAAAAAGTATGAATCTTGAAACAATGATAAAAAAACACCCCAATGTGCTCGAAAATGTGCTCTTTCTATTTCATGCCTTTAAAAGTACACTTACTGTAATAGTTATCAAAGATCAAAGACGATTAATGCGTCTTTAATTGACATTTTTTAATGGGGCACCCCTAGCTTTTATAAATTCAACAATTGTTCCAATTTAAACTAGGCTTACAGGGCACTTCGCGCCCATTTTCTATTTCAATTGTGAAGATTTTCTTTTTGTACAGTGTACACATTGTAAAACAAAAACAAACAAAAATTTGTGGATTTTATAAAAAATATTGTGTGGAATTACAAATTTTGAAAATTCGATCATCCAGAAACCTTCGGTTCAGCCGTTTTGATGTTTATTGGGATACAAACAGAAAAACAAACTGACAAACAAACAGACAGACAAGAAAAGTATATACTGATGTAAATGGTAACCTATAATAGCTACAGTTCTATGAGGTTGAAGACCCAGCTCAATGAATGCTCGACTTACACACAAGATCTGTTTAAAGTACTCTTCATAAGTCCAGCTCCTGGATTAAAAATACAAATTTGGAAAGTTTGGAGACAAAATATTTAAAGAGACTGTTGACGTAACTTGCAATGACCCTCCAATTAAAAAGTTACATGTCGGATTCATATTGTGTAATAAAGATATCATGGATTCTCTCCCAGCCAGACTGTGGGGGCCTTCAATGAGAGCTTAGGCGCCCCTGGGCTTAACTAAGTCCTCCTTTTTCTTTACTATTTGCAAAAAAAAATATAAATTTTTTCCTCAACGGCCTCCTGAGGCGATGCTCGGTTTTACAACTGGTCTCACGGTTTTCAATCTGCAATTAAATTAGAAATATTTTTTTTTGACTTAATATGTTTTGAGAAATAAAATTCTTTCAATTCAATATGTTTTTGTAATAAATTTTTTCTGACTTGGTCTTCACAAGTTGTTGTCAAAACGGGGGCCTACACAGGGCCACCCCTCCAAAAAAAATATTTTTTGGAGGGGGACCTTGTGTTCCTTCCTCCCCATCCCCCAAAAATATTTTTTTTAGGGGGTGAGGGACCTTCTGTAGGCCTCAAACTTGACACCGACGTGTGAAAACTCAGTCAGGACGCCCTCTTGAAGCGTTTCTATGGCACCGTGAGGGCATACCTATAAAGCCAATTCAAGGCCTGGGGGGAGGGGAGTGGGGTGGGAAATAGCTATAAAAACGGCTACCAGCATCTGTTGACGCCTAGAAATAGATAGACAGATAGATAGCAACATATGGACCCCCGGACAGATGAGAACCCATTAGAAATATGATATGGCCGATATTGATGTAGGACAGTGACTTCACTCCCGCTTCCTGGTCTATTGAAGGCTTCATAAATAGATATGTTGCCCCGACTTCAGCGGCACCGTAACCCCCCGACTTGAACCCAAATCAAGGCCTCCTTACCCCCTGCCTTGAGGTCTGACTGGGCTATGTATTACTTTCAATTTTCTTCCTTTTCCCTGCTGTGTGTAAACAAAAAAAGAATATCTCCTTTATTATTTTAGTAAAGAGGTTAAGGTATACAAGCTACACTGTTGTAAATGTAAACAATGGAGGGTCCCTTGAAATTACGTAGACAGTCTCTTTAACATTGAAAAATATATTTGAAATTACGTAGACAGTCTCTTTAACATTGAAAAATATATTTGAAATTAAGTAGACAGTCTCTTTAACATTGAAAAATATATTTGAAATTACGTAGACAGTCTCTTTAACATTGAAAAATATATTTGAAAGGCCAATTTAGAAAACTCAGATACAATGTCAGTACTCAGTATACATTCGATCAGAGAGTCATATCATAACAAAGCATTTATAGTTTATATACTAAGAATTCTATGTTAAACCAATTGAGTAATAACGTGTTTGTGTACGTAAAAGATAATTATGTACAAGTTGTTTATGTTTATGTGCGTCCAATGGGTCTAAAAAATAAACAAAGGAATTGACTCTTTGCAACAAACTCTGATTTTCTAATCCCTATATCTTTGGATTCCAATGTCGCAAACCTTTGAAATTTCAAACTATGACTTTTGTTAGATCAAAAATTATAAGTTTGAAATATCAAAGGTTTACGACATTGGGTTCCAAAGATATTGGGATTAGAAAATCAGAGTTAAAAGCAAAGAGTCAATTCCTTTTTCATTGAAACCAAACCTGACTCTGAATACTGGCATAGCTAGTAAAGTAAAATTTTAATGGTGGTAAAAGGAATAAAATTATTATATGATAAATACAAAATCAACACATTATTACTGGGATTTTCTATTAAACTTAGAACTTAATTTCTCATTAAATCAAGCTGACCTTGTTGGATCAACAATAGCTGTTGCTCCAGGGACGGTTTCAACTGTTTTCAGGATGGAAGAATAACAGGATATAGGTTCACGACTTCCTAATCCTTCCCCCATTCTAGATTTAAGATTATTATTTGTTATTATCAAATTTTCAAAATTTTCAAAAATCGAATTTTGTTAGGGGCAAATTTTTGAAAATTCGATCATCCATTAATCTTCACGTGAGGTCCCACAAAAAATTTGGACCCGATCGGTTCAGCCGTTATGACGTTTATTGGGTACAAACAGACAAGCAAAGTATATATATTATATATAGTTGACTTTTCTGTTTAGCCTTAATCTGAAGATATTTTTTTGTTTAGGAAATCCGTTTTTTGTATCTCCTTACTTATTTATTTACCCTCCTCTTTTAACATTGATCCTTGCCCTGTATCTATCCGATCCTCTTCCCCATTCCCTCCCTCACTCCCTCCCACCCACCTCAGCTGAACAACTCCATCTAGATTAACAGTAACAGGGCTGATGGCAGGAAGGATTCGATCAGGGCCTAGTTTTAAATTAATCCTGGGTTTAAAACCTAGTTCCGTACTAAACCATCGCTGCTGGTGGAGTTCATTGAGTCCATGGAATCCGGAGACAAGTTTCAACCTGCTCTGGTAGTTTAAAGATAGAACCTGAACATAAACCAGTTTCTTTCACAAACTGTAAAATATCCAAGTGTACACATTGCACTTATTGGACAACCGTTAAGCATAGAAAATGCATTAACAAATGTATTCACAAACTGTAAAATATCCAAGTGTACACATTGCACTTATTGGACGACCGTTAAGCATAGAAAATGTATTAAATCTCGTCTTAAACTTTATAAAGCAAATAATGAATGCTGCGTATATCTAAGACGATCGCAAAACATTACGATGTTTTCATGATATTGGGACTATGATTTTATCAAAGTGAGTACAATTTAAACAACGTCAAAAACATTTAAAAAATTTCTCCAAAAATATTTGAAATTTATTAACACGGCCTAATTACTTATTTACATAAAAAAGCATTTACCTTTGAAATCACAGCCATTTTAGCATATTTTGATTGTTAGCTTTTGTACTTCATTTTAGAATCACTTTTCTATAAAATAAATAATTACACATATTTATATTATATTCAATTAATGTTGTTATTTTCATACACTAAAAACTATTGTAGCAGGAAAATGATTTTGTTGATCTTTCCTGCGATCAAGAGAGATTCCCCCCCCCCTTTTTCCATCCCTTTTACAGACCTAATGGATTTATTTGTGTTTATATGTGAATTCTACAAATAACCCAAGCCACGCCGAATGTTCCATTATTCCAGAGGCCCGGGCGCTGGTGGAGATGGCCGGCCAGCTCCCGGGTAGCTAGGGTTTAATCTAGGCTAGGGTGGAGTGAAAATAAGCAGTGGAGCATCAACTCCCTGGATAATAGGTTGCCCTAGAGATTCTCCTCATCCTGGATTATCTATTCATGCATTATTGATCTCGTATAGTATTTTCCTATTTTTATTCGTGTTTGTATAAATAATAATAAATTGTAAAACCGTCTCGCTGAATATTGATAATATGAGTTGTTGACTTGAATTTTTAGCATATATTAGACTATTAATATATCAGGGGCATACAAGAGCCTTTGTGTATGGGGGGGGGGCAGTGTTTACGCGCGTCAGCGCGCACAAAAAAAGTTTGGTGCCCCCCCCTCTTTTTTACAAAATTATTTATACCTTTTTAACTTACTATGCATATGTTAAGGTTAACTATTCGATCATATTATGTTAATTTAAATTATTTATGTAATTTTCTTAAGTGGACTCATCAAACACTCCCTCTTAATACTGTGGTGTAAGCTTCAAGGAGTGAAAAATAGGGATGGAAACTTTTCTTTAAAAAGATATCTATATTTTCATAGGATTTATTACATAAATAATGAAATAAGACAGTCTCTTTAACATTGAAAAATATATTTGAAATTACGTAGACAGTCTCTTTAACATTGAAAAATATATTTGAAAGGCCGTTATAATAATCTAGAGTTTTCAGACTTTTTGTCCAAATAAGTCTCGAGTTTTACCCCAATAATCTGGCCTTCGACGACGACCTCTAGAAATATTAATGCTCCCCTTCTCGTGCGCCCATGTAATATATACTAACTATGTATATTATATGTATATTTTGTTTATAATAAAAAAGATGAAAATGTACGAGTAACGAATAGTATATGAAAATATTGCAAGTTCTTTGGAGAAGGTTTTAAAACTGAGAACTCAGCTGTTCGTTGCTAAGCCGCATCTATGCACTCAGAATCAGCTGTTTAGGCCTTAAAGTTAGGCAGCTATAGGTAGTTCAGGTCATTTACAGGGGTGGTGGGTATAATAGAAATATGATGCATGCAGAAAATAGGGGGGAATGACCACATACAATTATTTTAACATGAGACAAAATTGTTACTATCTCCATCATATTTATATCTTTCCCTCCCTCTTTCTATCTTTCTTCTCCCTCTCTTTCTGTCTTCCTCCCCTCTCTTTTTTATCATTCATCTCCCTTTCTTTCTATCTTTCCTCTCCCTTTATATATTTCCTCTTCCCGTCGTTCTATCTTTCAGCTCTTCCCGTCGTTCTATCATTTCCTCTTCCCGTCATTCTATCTTTCCTACCCTTCTCTTTCCTCTCCCTCTCTTTTATCTTTCCTCTCCCTCTCTTTCTAGCTTTCCCTTCCCTCTATTTCTGTCTTTACTCTCCCACGCTTTCTATCGTTCCTCCCTCCCTCTCTCTTTCTATCTTTCTTTCTTTCTTTCTCTCTTTCTTTCTTTCTTTCTTTCTTTCTTTCTTTCTTTCTTTCTTTCTTTCTTTCTTTCTTTCTTTCTTTCTTTCTCTCTTTCTTTCTTTCTTTCTTTCTTTCTTTCTTTCTGTCTTTCTTTCTTTCTTTCTTCCCTTCAACTTATAAAATACTTTATTCTTTGAACGACTTTCACATCGCTTTTTTCTTTCCTCCTCAGCCTCATAGATACTCCTTGGTGCATCAACACTCCGCGCCTTTTTGGAATTCAGGGGGCTAGCTCCATCGACCTACTCCACCCACTTTAGGAACACAGGGGACTAGCTTCAATGTGACCCCCCCCCTCAGTTAAGACATATTTACAAACATACAGAGTGTCCCACATCATATGTATTAGACCGAGAACGGGTCTAAATTACGATTTTCGGGACTAATTAGAAATTTTAATTAGAATGAATCATTTTGAAAAGTAACATAAGGCTTATATAAGAATTTTCTTGCGGAAAATGATAAGTTTTTCGAGTATTAAGGGTTTATTTTGGTGTTAAAGATTGGAGATAATCTAATATGATATGGGACGCTCTGTATTACTAATTAGAAAGACGACATTTTGAATTTTGAATTTGCCGCGTTCTCTCAAACTTGAGATTGAGAGTAGTAGAGTACCAATTCTGCCATTTTGGCATTACGCTGTTGGCTGCATAAACCGGTTAAAAAAAAGTGCTTGACTCACGATATAAATTATAGGATCTTGTTGCATGATTAAAGCAACCGGAAAGTTAAAATTGGAACGTTTTCACTAAAAANACAGTTTTAAAATAGATTCAAAATTAAAACATTCAGTTTTCGTCTTTGTCGGTTAAGCGAATCTCTTAAAACCTTTACATGGGTGATTTGGGCCAGGTTGAGACAAATTCTGAATTGAGCCCAATGGCATAGGCGGGCTAAGGGGCCGAGCTGTGGGTCCATCCTATTGTGAGTACCTTTTTTGAAGTGATGTTATTCAGGGTGGGGGGGGGGTCTATATTCCAGACAATTTCGCTTAACAAATCGGTATACTAATAAAGTATTTATGCTAATTTGCATTGTTCTATTATAATTTGGAATTTATAGTTTCAGACTAGAGATGGAGTGCGAGCATTTGACAAACATATGTGGCAAAGGCTCTGACTTCTCCTTTCCAGATTTCTCCGGGTCAGAAGACGAACTCTGCTGTTCAGTATGTAAGGCTAGTGATAGTATCTGGGTGTGCGTGAGCTGTGGCGTGCTTAGCTGCGGCCGCTACGTGAACGCGCACGCGCTGAAACACAAGGAGAAGACAAAGACTCATTCTGTGTGCATTGAAACCAAAGAGCTGACCGTGTTCTGCTACGACTGTGATGAATTTGTAATAAATGATACACCAGACAGACTTATCGAGACATTACGCGGTCTCATACTAAGACGTAGTTTAAATAAAGAACCAGATTCGGCTCCAAGCCGATCGCTCCGCCCCCGGAGAAAAAGAACTGTTTCGTGCTCTGTCGCAGGTGGAGCTGCTCTTAAAAAGCAGAAGGCGCCTAAAAAAGTGCAACAGTCTAAAATTCCCAAGAAACGGTTGGGATTAAAAAATTTGGGAAATACATGTTTTATGAACTCAGTGCTCCAAAGCCTGGGAAATATTGAAGAATTTTGTAATATTTTAACCGGCCTACCTTCCTTAGAACATCAGTTAAACACGAGTAAAGGAGCTAAAACAGCGATAAATCGTCTCTCCGCCGACGGTATAATTGTTACTGAAGAGTTAAAGAAAGTATTGAGAGCGTTAAAGGAAGGCGAGGATAAATCCGCAATATCTCCAGAATCATTGTTCCACGCGATCTGGAAAGTTGTTCCAAGGTTCCGCGGATACCAACAGCAAGACGCTCATGAGTTCCTGAGATATATGTTGGACCGATTACACACTGAACTACTTCTCCTCCTACCCAGCAGGTTCAGGAATGACCGAATTGACGAGGTGCTCCGCGGCGCTTCCTTAGCCAAGTCTCAGTCTGTGGTGACGTCAGTGTTTGGTGGAACCCTGCAGAGCGAGGTGACCTGCCTCAGCTGCAGAACAACCAGTAAGAAGCAGGATCCGTTCCTAGATCTATCTGTGGATATACCACAGCAGTTTACAGGAACCAATCAATCAAGAAATCTTTAATTTATTTGCATTGTTTCATTTTTTTTCCAAACAGTACAATTACTATTTTTTTTATTAGGGATAGTTATAAAAAATATTTTAAATAATCACAAAAATGTTTTTTTTTCTCATCTTTCCTATGGTTTGAATCCCGAAGTATAATGATTGATTTGTATTGTCAGGACCTGTTCGAAAGCCTAAAGAAAAGGACGGAAATCGAACATGTCACATATATGATTGTTTACAGAAATTTGTCGAAACAGAAGAACTGGCGGATACAGAACGATTCTTCTGCAACGTCTGCAAGTCGAAGCAACCGTCGACTAAAAAGTTCTGGATTCGACGTTTGCCAAATGTCCTCTGTCTGCACGTGAAACGATTTCGATGGACGACCTACGCCCGGACCAAGCTGGATAATCATATTGAGTTTCCTCTGAACGGTTTAGATATGTCCGGATATCTTCTCAATAATTTGTCCGGGACCAGGTACTCTAACGCAGGAACAAGTTTGTATGATCTCGCAGCTGTGATTGTTCATCACGGAAATGGAATAGGATCAGGGCATTATACTGCCTTCGCTACAAATAACAAGGTATTTTAATGGTTTCAGAACTCATTCTAATCCCCCCCCATGAAAATTAAATTAATGAAAATTAAATTTTTTTCCTTAAAAATTATTAATTTTACCTGGTGTACAAATAAGATCTCAAATAATCAGGGAGGGGGAATGATTTTTAACTATGTAATTAAAGGATTTGTTTGGTATGAACTTTATTCTCCGAAAATAGATCCATTTTATGCAAATTATCAGAATGTAGTAAAAGGTGTGTTTTAGTCCCAATTTAGATTATTGCTTATAATTTTTGAATATTTCCCCTGTTAGAAACATTTCATCCGTTTATCATTTTTAAAATTAAATCAAATTGACGATGAAAATTAATTGTCAACTCGCTTAATTTTTGCCCCGGTCCCTTGTCCACCTTATTAAATGTAAATCCATGATTACTCAGAATTATGATAATTATTTTTAGGCCTGGTTCCACTTTAACGACTGTACGGTACGCGAGGCAGACTTCCAAACTGTTGGATCTAGTAAAGCATATATTCTCTTCTATGTACAGAGAGAACTAGATCTCGGCAAAGTTTAATCAGCTTTTTTGGAATTAAAAATTCATAGCGATGTCAAGGTTTTAAGCCATTTTCGACTCACTTACCCGCTCCTAATTATTCAAGGAAAATTTTTTGACCATTAATTCAACCTCTTCCAGTTATTAAAGAAGAACTTTTAAAGGTAAAGGAGAAAAAATTGAGGACAAGGAAACTTAATCTTGCCCTTTCAGAGATAATAACTCCACAAACAGGCAGAAGAAAACTCGGCCAATCCCTGGTTTAGAAGAGAACTCAACCTTTCCTTGGTTCAGGAGAAGAAAATTTATCATAGCAATAGAGTATAATCTATGGTTAAGAAGTAGAGAATAATTTTGATTGAGCAGTAACTTAAGTAAAAAATTCGTGAATTTCGAATCTAAAAATATTCAGCAGCTTATACATGATAATCTAGGTCCTAAACATAACCCGGATATTCAGAATCAATAAAAATCCAAACTTTGGTCCAACTAGTTAAAACTAGAGACGAAAAAGATGGATATAAAGTATTGTTATGGTTAACTGTTTGTATTTCAGATAAGGATGGGGGGAGCCCAGGAGTATACTAGCTCCTGGATGGAAGATGAAGGTTCTAGTATTGACGGAAAGGTAGAATTTATAGTTATGCTAAAGAGCTAGAGGATGAAGATACGTCCCTAGACGGAGTAATATAAATTGTTTATATATCAGTGTACGCCCTACGCATGGAACTGAATTCTATACTGACAGTTTGATATATAAATCCATTTATGTATCTCGTAGAATAATCATTAGTCTACCTCAATATTACTTACAGGGTGTCCCAATAAACATGGGAATTCAGTGACGAATTCGATATAGTTTTTTTAGCCAATTCTTTGATTTAGTATAGTGATACCTACTGAGAAAGCTGTAATCTGTAAGAATTTCGTCTGCTATGTTCACATTTTGTTTGTTTATGTTTTGACTGCATACGGTTGTACTTAGTAAAACAAGAAAATTGCAGTATACAAACAGAGTAAACTTGTCCGTCTACACTGTTCAACCTTCGGAGACGTTATAGACACATCTTTACAGTCTTTTACCCTTTTCATAAAATAAACTCTAGTAAACATAATAATATGGCTTTTGAAATTAGGTATCACAATGCTAATTCATTACAAAAACGATATCCAATTCGTCACTGAATTCCCATGTTTTTTGGGACACCCTGTAGAACTCTAAAAAGCTATCCTGTTAGTTCTTTACTTTACACATTTGAAAAAACTCCTATATATCAAATCATAGTACTAATACTAACTAAACTTTCAAACTTTTATTGAGCAAAATACTAACTAAACAATAGCAATTTTTGAAGATAACAGACAAACACCATACTGCAGTCCGTATATACCACACAAAGGTACATTGTAGCAGTACTTTATTCTGACATTTGCTATATCGGATTGCTCTCATCCACTTTACATTTTGTTTCTGAATTAGCGTACATTACCACCCCTGGCCTATATACATCTCAATATATTTTGGGTTCTATGGAAAAATGGACGTTTCCATCATTGTTTCTATTCCAAAAATTGTTCAGGTTCCATTACCTAAGTCCCAACAATAGGGTGTATGTTACAATATATGTGTTATATAAAGAAGTAAATGCTTTTGTTCTAAAAGATGGGTTTAAGTTTAAATAAGATTTCCAATACTTTTTTGATAATACCTTGGGCATACTTTATCCATCTACGGAATTTATTATTAACTCCATGCATCCTTCCCTGAAAATATAAGAATTATCTCCTGTCCTAATAGATGTATAAGTTCAGTTCTAGAATAAAAAGAAATAACTAATTTCTGATCAGGAGAAGAGTCTGGACGAGGGAAGTGTTGACTATGAGGAGAAGATCTCTGCTCAGGAGATCGTGGGGAAATCTTCTACAGATCCTTATCATTGGGAGGAGGAATCAAGCAATAGTCAGGTATCTCGTTGAAAGTACACTATTAAAACTATATTAACTACTGGTGACTCACAATTTATAGAGTGAAATACCTGATTCACAATGGTCACATTAAAACTTGCGAAACTGTTTTCATTGTTTTCTTATTTAGAAATAGATGATTTGCAATTGTGATTTCTCTGTAAAATTAACTTAGAGATAATTGATGGAATTTAACACTTCTTTAGATATACATAAGAATCTGGCATGCCACTATAAATGGTGAGTCACTAGAAGTTACGTACACAGTTCCCTTTAACAGTGTACTTTCAGAAGATAAATATGTAAATAACTTAAGTAGGTAAACATTACGTCAATGTTANTCCCAACCTCATTCGATATAAGTCCTAAGAAGAATGCAACACCGAAGGTTGTTCGATGCAAAACTTGCCGCAAAGTTTTCTCAAGAATGGCATCTCTCAAGATTCATCGAAGATCCCACGCAGCGTTTACTCCGGGACCCTATACACCTAAGGATTTTGCCAAGAGGTTTAGTACTGAGAAGGTTTCTCGTGAACCCTATCGTCCCGCGGCTCATCTTAAACTACTGGAGGGTGTGAGTCCACATCCTAGAGAGTATCCAGGATATTTTGAGAACCCTGGCCCCCTTCCGTTCATTAAACCTGGGACATCATTACAGCTCAACAACGATATTTTCACTGTAGGAGATATGATCGGAGAGGGTGGGTTCGCCAAGGTAAGAAATATGTATTTACAATCCATTCCATTTTCATGCGGAACCGGAACCGTTCTGTGTCCGTCTAGTAAATAAATTATGATTTTTAGCTTTCTTTTCTTCAGCGAACGTTTTGAAATATTTTCTTATTTTTACCCCGCCAACTTTGATACTTAAACTTTAACAACCAAAAAGAGTTCAGAAAGTTTAACATATATTTCTTAAGAATTTAAAGCCGGTGTTCTTATGTGGAAAAACTAATTAACAAAAAACGTCATTTTGCAATGAGGGAAAAAATTTAGTTTGTCCCATTGTCCAGGTGTACTCTGCCTGTTGGGTGAACGGACCTGCCGAGGAGAGAAATACCGTGCTCAAGGTTCAAATGCCAGCCAACGATTGGGAATGGTATATTCTAGGACAGGTAGATCAACGGTTCGATCAGCTCCAGCATCCATTAAAGGAGGAGGAGACATCCTGGAAGAGAGGATTCATGACTGCTCCGCGTTGTTATACCTATCGGGACGGAGCTGTTATTATCTCCCAGCTTCAGAAGATGGGAACCCTGCTTGATCTTGTCAATCTCACCAAGAACGCAGATAAGAGTATTATAGAACCCATAGCAATATATTTAACTGCTGAGCTCCTTGGTTTAATGGAGTTGCTGCACAGCGTCAACATTGTGCACGCGGATTTAAAACCAGATAATTTTCTGATGCGTCACACTCCATCAACATCAACCTCACCCTCTCTTCAGTTAATCGACTTTGGGAAAGCCATAGACCTGAAGCTTGAGGCTGTTGAGGAGGTTAAAGCTAAGCAAAACATTGTAGATAGGTTTGAAACCCCTGCTGGAGATGATGCTGGGCAGAAGATGGACGTGGAGAAAAATGAACCCGAGTCGGAGAAATCTGAACCCAAGACGGATAAAATTGAATCTGAGTCGGAGAAACCGGAACCTAAATCGAAAAAATCTGAACCATTGTCTGGTCTAACGAAGAAGACTGAGAACGGAGTAAAAAATGAGCAGGACGAGACGGGACGAACTGGAAAATATCATCTAGATTATTTTGGAATTGCAGGTGGGTTCAATATTTTTTATTATTATATTTTTTCTTTCAAACTTTTCACCCCATAGTTTTTCTTATTTTATCGTTCTACTAGTAAAGATTTATCAACGATCAACATTCTTTGTTGCAAAAGACGGCTTACTATGTTGGTTTTGTGTACACTGAAGTAAATTCTGGCGTAAATAATTTTATAGAAAATCAAATACAAAAATAACTATTTATAGCAGTTATTTTGGTTCGCAGTGTATAAAGTTTTTAACAGAAACTTTCTCTGTATCGAGAAGGTTCAAGCCTATTTAGATTCAATTTTGTCCCGAGCTTTAGCGAGGGACAAAATATAATTTAAAAAGGTGAGAACTTTCGAAATACAGAGAAAATTTAGTGTTTTAGATAATTCTATGAAACGTTTTTGTGCTCGTCTTATTTCAATGGCTGTTTCTAGATCAAATAAGCCTTGAAACAAAGCAGAAGTCAAAATAAAAAGTTTATTTCAATTTTACTTTCATTTCAATTGAGAAAAATATTTTGGAAATATCCTTATTTTTTTTCGGAGGAAATCCGGGAACCAATCATAACTTTGTAACACACGTGCTATAATGTACAGCTAATTAAACATTATTGCACGATGATTACTTTTATAGCACGTTCAATATGAAATTCACGATGAAGTGAGTAATAAAGACAATACAGTTTCTTAAATATAACTTGTACACTATACCTCAAGAATTGAGAAGGATATTTAAAATATCGAAATATATTTTCTCTGAGAACCATCAAATTTTTTTGAAGCAGTTAAAAAACTCTCCACAAAGGAATATTTACAATTTTAAATTGTACATAAAATTTGCTTCACCCCAAAGGGAAAGTATTAAAATGTAGGAATGCAAAACTTTATTTATCAAGCAAACCTTTTTCCAAATCAGCTTCCAAAGCTCAATCGAGAATCTTTCAAATTTGATTATGTAGCTCCCTTATGTCGAATTTGTTTGAGATCACAAAATACTTATTTCTGACAATTGATATTGATTTAGGTGCTGCGTACTGTCTATTGTTTGGGAAGTATATAGAGGTTGGAACGGTGAAAAACCGATGGGTCGTCAAAGGATCCTTCAAGCGCTGGTGGCAGGTGAAGCTCTGGGAGCAGTTCTTCGACGACATGCTAAACCCCAAGGGGGAGGAGAAGGAGTGCCTGCCCTCTTTATTAGAGTGGAGGAAGAAGTTTCTTCTTCTCTTTGAGATTGAGGATCTACGAGAAGGACTTGTTAAAGCTAGAGAAGTGATAGAAATAAAACTACTTGAGAAATGGAGGCGTTTGTTGTGAAAACTGCTGATTATTGATGCAATATTCATCGTTCATTTATTTAATACTTGAATTTTAGTATGTGAAAATATTTTCGTCTAAATTTATATTATTTATGAAACTGTGATGGGTTGAAGAGTATTATTATATATTCTTTTAGTTGGTATTCTTACTTGTTGCCTGATGATAGTTCAATTAGTGATCAAATTATTAAATTATTTCGGCACTTTTCATGAAATATTTATTGTTCAAACTACTTTAAGTCTGATAGTTTATTGAACTCTATGCATGCTTTGTGAATCTTTTCCTTTTATGTGTAAATTAAACATATTTTATCTTAAATATAACTATAAATACTGAATTTATGATTGACTATTTGTGAATGTTCAAATTGATGATTTATTTTGTTGAATTAGTGAGGTATTGAGAAATCCGTGCTGGCTATCTCATGATGAAAGTTATATAAACGTTCATAACAATTTTCCTTTTAATTAGCGGATCATTTGGATATTTATGATGTGGTAGAAGCTAATTAGTGAAACATGTAATCTATAGTGATTATTTATTTATTCAATCGTATTTTCTTTACCTATTTCGGGATCTTCTTAATGCTAAACCTCATATAATTAAAACCGGTGTACTTGTGGAGATATTCTGATATCCTAAAGAAATCTGGTAGATCTGGTAGCTATACAATATATAATATGATATTGAACCTGAAATGAATTGATGAGACCTCTGATTTAAGTATCGTTGATCTCGATATCTAATGTGGGCACTTAAATTTGAGTATCAATGCTTGATTCCTCAATTAAAGTTATTCCTTCATGGTATGACAATCAGAGGTTATCGAAGATGAATTTAACTATTCTTTAGATCTTTATAACATGGAGATCAATGCCCTTTAACCTGAAAATCCGAACACACGTTCTAAACTCTGATTTATAAATATTCACATATTCCATATATTCAGAGTGAATTTTCATTTTTTAGATATCAAAATCCGGTTCTACAATGTCGGAGCCTTTGTCGGAATTAGAGAAGATGGTTGCTTATGATCTGAAATCTGTTCTGGGGTATTTAACCAGAGCTGAAAACTTTAGAATGAAATATCCAGATATCCCGTCGAATAATTAATCTGGAGTTTAAATTCATGTGGAGAACAAGCAATATTTAATCTGGATATTAAGGATTTAGGAGCTTCTCTGGATATTTCATTCTAAAGTTTTCAGCTCAGGAAGGATAAGATGTCCCTAAGAGCAGCAAGTACTACACTACTCAGTCGGATTAATGAGCTTGAGACCACCTTCAAAGTTTGGAGAATAGAAGAAGTTAATTCAACCAAACTGAAGAGAGTAGCAGATGAGATAAGTATCATCCAAGGTATCTTCTAAGAAATTAAATTCTTTTTTTATTAATAGAATATGTTGCGTTAATTCATTAAGTTTAACATTTTACCTTTAAAATATTTTAGAGATAGAACTATCTGTCGTTTGTTTTGATGGTTGTGGTCCAGTCTTTACGTATATGGTGGAGAAGCATCAAGAGCTAGAGACTATCAGTATACTTTGTAACAGAAACAATATTAGCTATATCTCCGGGACACAATATAGCTATATTTGATGACAATTTTCTCAAATTCCAATATTAGATCTGTTAATATTCATGATAAGATGAGTTCAGGAGAAGAACTAGGACACCTGCCTGTAACTTCTTCAAAAGTGGAGAAGCTATGCTTAACATCATGCAGGAATCTCACGGATAGAGGTCTCCAGGGATTACTCTTAGGGATTGGAAACAATTTAAAGGAATTGGATTTATCCAAATCTTATGTGACTGGGGAGGGCTTTCAGCTGCAGTCGGTGAAATCTCTTCCAAATCTTGAGAAATTGAACCTATCTGGCAACACCCATTTAACAGACGACGGACTTTGTCAGATATCGAAAACGTGTGGGAATAAACTAAAAAAGCTAAATCTATCCTTTACTCCGATAACTGGAATCAAGCTTGACAAGAAACAGAGTTTGATGTTCCCCTGTATCATAGAGCAGGATCAAAGTCATCTTGATCCCATTGAAAGAGCTCATATCATTCACTTTTATTGAATGTTTAAATAGATGCTTTCATGAAGAACTTACTAAAATGTTTTGGTAATGAATGTTTTGGTACAATCACAATGAGTAATCTTATGTCAGCATGCTGTAAAAATGAGTTCCACTGCTGAGGCATTAAACTATCTATCATGAAAGATAGCTGAAGAGTCTGCAATTGGATATTCTCCAAGGAAAAGCTACATCTTAAAGAGAGGTGAAAAAGTTGTTAACGTCAGGAAATTGAAATGTTGTGAAATATGCAGAAGAAGGGTTAAACAGCTGCCAAGGCACATCAAGACTGTTCACAAGGATGTTGAACAGAGCATAAGGCATGTGTTGATTAGATTTTAAAATGTTGTTTACTACAATAGAAGACATAGGCAGACTACATTTAAGAAATCTCATGAGTATTTTATGTTACAGAGCAAATAATTTTACCATTTGCTAGAAAATCAACCGTGCAATTGTGTTTCATGAAGCCTATCAACACATGTTTTCAGAATGAAGGCACTGGTACTTGGCAGCCCATACATGTGCTCTGAGTCTAGCAAAAACACAAAATGCGTCATATGTGGGTGTAAAAGGGCCAACATGTCAGCTCATCTTCTTAGAGTGCACTCTGTTAGCAAGAAAAAATCAGAACTGAAGGGGGTTGGCTTTAAAATTCAGGCTATAAAGAAAATAGCTGATGGAAAGTAATCCTCTGTTGAGATTGTTTTAGAAAGGTACAATCGGGAGTATTTTAAAAACCTAGACGGAGCACGACGGTCATTAAAACCTGAAACAGATGCAAAATATAAGAAGAAGCTTGACACAGTGCATTTTACTGGTTGGTGGACAGGACTAAGGAAACCAAGTTGAATTCTCTATTGGCAGAGATCAGATGTCTTGGGGAAGATTAAACTGGTTATTTTGATTTGTTTGGAAAGGTCAACAGTTCTAAAGGTAATTTTCCATTATTGAATTATTCTTTCATCTCCCATATCTTTGTTTTCAAACAAATTGTACTGCAGGTTTCTTGGAGGAATCTAAACAAAACTGTGCCTGAACAGCACTGTGTTTGTTTACATTCCTCCCAGAAACTGCAGTACACTTAGTTTGAAAACAAATCTTTGGGAGGTCCTCTTCTGTTCATGTTATATGCATATTTTTCTTTATCCTCTCAGATGCTGGTTTCCTGATAGAATTATATGACAATCAGAGGTTATAGAAGATGAATTAAATTATTCTTTAGATCTGTATAACATGGAGATCAAGGCCCTTAAACCTGAAAATCCGAACACATATGTTCTAAACTCTGATTTATAAATATTCACATATTCCATATATTCAGAGTGAATTTTCATTTTTTAGATATCAAAATGCGGTTCTACAATGTCGGAGCCTTTGTCGGAATTAGAGAAGATGGTTGCTTATGATCTGAAATCTGTTCTAGGGTATTTAACTAGAAGGAAAAGATGTCCCTAAGAGCAGCAAGTACTACACTACTCAGTCGGATTAATGAGCTTGAGACCACCTTCAAAGTTTGGAGAATAGAAAAAGTTAATTCAACCAAACTGAAGAGAGTAGCAGATGAGATAAGTATCATCCAAGGTATCTTCTAAGAAATTAAATTCTTTTTTATTGATAGAATATGTTGTGTTAATTTATTAAGCTTAACATTTTACCTTTATTATTTTAGAGATAGAACTATCTGTTGTTTCTTTTGATGGTTGTGGTCCAGTCTTTACGTATATGGTGGAGAAGCATCAAGAACTAGAGACTATCAGTATACTTTGTAACAGAAACGGACACAATAATAGCTTTTTCTCCGGGACACAATATAGCTATATTTTCAGGACACAATGTAGAGAACATGAGCATGATATTTTGATGACAATTTTCTCAAATTCCAATAGTAGATCTGTTAATATTCATGCTATGATGAGTTCAAGAGAAGAACTAGGACACCTGCCTGTAACTTCTTCAAAAGTGGAGAAGCTATGCTTAATATTATGCAGGAGTCTCACGGATAGAGGTCTCCAGGGATTACTCTTAGGGATTGGAAACAATTTAAAGGAATTGGATTTATCCGAATCTTGTGTGACTGGGGAGGGCTTTCAGCTGCAGTCGGTGAAATCTCTTCCAAATCTTGAGAAATTGAACCTATCTGGCAACACCTATTTAACAGATGACTGACTTTGTCAGATATCGAAAACGTGTGGGAATAAACTAAAAGAGCTAAATCTATCCTTTACTCCGATAACTGGAATCAAGCTTGACAAGAAACAGAGTTTGATGTTCCCCTGTTTACAGATTCTCAACCTAGGAATGTGTATGAACCTGTCAGTTGAAGGACTCATTGGACTGCTATGGAACTCAAGATATAGTCTCAGAGAGTTGGATTTATCAGAAACTGATGTATCTCTTGTTGGGTTGGAAAAGGGTGTTGAATCTCTCCCTAATTTGGAAAAGCTCCACATTTATGAGAGTCTTGGCCTGTCAAACAAGGGACTTATTGAGGTTCTGAGGATCTCTGGGACCCACATGAAGGAGCTTTACTTGTATTCTACCTTCATAACAGGAACTGGGATAGAAGCCAATGTAAGATCTTTACCTAGCTTGCAGATCCTCGACCTTAGTTCCTCTAAGATTACAGATAACGGATTCCACGAGATTTTAAGAATCTGTGGAACTAAACTAAGAGAGTTGAACTTGTCGTCTACAAATATAACAGGAACTGGGATAGAAGCCAATGTAAGATCTCTACCTAGCTTGCAGATCCTCGACCTTAGTTCCTCTAAGATTACAGATAACGGATTCCACGAGATTTTAAGAATCTGTGGAACTAAACTAAGAGAGTTGAACTTGTCGTCTACAAATATAACAGGAACTGGGATAGAAGCCAATGTAAGATCTCTACCTAGCTTGC